TATATCTCTTAGCATGAAACTGGTGGTTCATGATTATGAAGATCCAATTGATTGAATTTACTTAACAAAACAGCATAGTGAGTGGCGTGAAAAATGAGCGCACTAACAAAAATCGTCATCCTTGGAAACAAACTAAAACGATTTTTATAACTGTGCTGACTCAGAATTTTACGAAAAAAAATTGTTTTAGAAGAAAGTGGTAGAAAGATATTAATGAATAAATGATGCAAATTCACCTATCAAAAAGCATGCAGACTCTTTATTGCTAAAAACGCTGGTTCAAGGCATGGGCACTCGCTTAAACGGGTGTTGGTCCAGAAACCTGTTAGAGCAAACTCAACGGTCCACAAACGGTTTGTCTCGTGGAAACATTTGAGAAATAGCAGGAAAGTGAGATTTCATTTTTCTCTATCTCAGCCAATTATTTGGATTAAGTTTGACAAAGAGGCAAACAACAAGCAGGTGTAAATGTTTCATCTTTGCTTCCCATAAAACGGTTATTCCATGTTACTTTTCTCATCAGCAGACTTGGAAACTCATAACATACTCCATAAAACCTCGCGTATGCAATCTGATTGAAGAGCCTAAAGAAACCACAACAAACACACCGACTTACGTCAAGCAGTGAACTTTATATACCAAATATTTTGAAATGCAATGCATTTGAAATTAATCTTCTTGTTTTGTAGTAAACCCAGCGATTCTGAAGAAGATCTTAAGACTTTTAACTAGCTTTCCAAATTTCTTATGATTCAAATAACCATCAACTGATAATAAATCTACATCAAAATAAAGACTTTACAATTTATAGGATTACAATATAATGGAGATTGGATGGAACTATGAAAACATACAGAAACATGTGCTTGTCGAAGCGCGTGTAGTTTTTGTTCTCGGGTTTTTGATGACCATTAATTGCGTTTATATACATACCCTTAATCTAAAGAAAGACTATGTTTGGCAAATCTTTTGATGCCTAGGAATGAACATCTTCATTAGATGAGGATGACTTGTTCTTAGAGACTAATAACTCTTACATTCACTCAGATATGAAAAGGGCGTCTGGAAAACTTCTTGAGCAGCTGGGTAGATAATATGAGCTTAAAGCGATCCCATTCAGGGTAGGTGAAAAAACAGCAGTCACAAAGGCAGAAAAAGATTATTCTGGCATAGAACAGGAAAACATTTACAGTGGCTTTGTATTAGCCTTTGAATTGGAGCATGTTTCGACCCCAAAAGGACACGTGTTTATATGATCCCAATACACTGCGAATATTACTTATAACTATATCAAATTACAAAAAAATCGAATTGGCGCTACAAATTATCAAGAACATATATTAAGATCCACTTAGCTCACTGCTTGGTTAGTTCACTGGGACAGTTTTGGCGTGTTTCTTTCACCCGTTCGTCAAGCATTATATTTGTGTTAGGGTTCTCTTCAAGCCAGTCTGCTACAGCATCAAGCCAAGCTAGAAAAAAACATATAGTTTAACGCGGAAAGACTATTAATAATGATCTTCTTGGACAACTGATGAGACTGTTGTAATATCATTGTTGTCTTAAGACAGATATCATTGCATCAATGCATGATCAAATGGGTAACAGGTTCACCTGGCCATTAAAGGTTTTGACTTTTAGCATCTCTTATTCTTGAAAGATTAACAACCACGACCAGCAATAAATCGCTTTTGACACTGCTGAGACACATCATGTCTTTTACATCATAAGTATGGCAGAGCAGAAAATAGTGCTCCGTGTCCGAGCAGAAAATATGAACGACTTATGATGATTATGTGCCTCTAAAATTTTGATAGAATTGATCAATGAAAGATTTGTGATACTCTCCTTCACTTTTAAGTAACATGTGACTATCATGTGCCATGACACTTTTTTAAAACTTAAAGCTTAAAATTTTAGGAATGGTCGATGCGATGATATTGAATCTGCGGAAAACCGCTAATTTAGAAAAAAGGGTTAAAAAATCGATAAAAAAAAGGCAATGCAACACAAAAATGAGGTAAACATATGTGACAAAAGAATCAAATCGTTTTACTGCTTCCAAACATGAAAAAACGTACCCAATGGAAGAACTTTATCAATTTAAAAGATCTGTTATGATTTAAGGCGATTTTCTGTTCAGCATATCTTCTTACGCACCACATCCACAACAAAATATTTTACGAATTGAATCAAAGGGGAGAGGGCAATTAAAGAAGTCAATAGCGAGCAATTCATTATTGCACTTAAAAAGAGCTGAATTAAGTGACGCAATATGCTTGCCCGAGTAGTTTCAGATTATTAAACGCGCTGTAAAATTGCATGTATCACAAATTGCACCAAAAAAGTTCTAATGTTTTGCGCAATGCTTCGTTGATTGCAAATCTTTGCTGACTGTAACGATGGCCAAAGCATCTATTGTTGATCCATCTCAGCCGTCTGAAAGCGTTTTTATAAAGAACATCTTTGCTCAACGCTGTTGCCCTTACAAAGCAAACATTAATCTAGAATTGTTGTTGTATTGACTTGTTGACTGAATTCAATAAACGGTACGAAGCGGAAATGGGGAGGAAGTGTCCGAATCGAATAATAAAACTCTGACGTTAACAATTACAGGGAAAAACTATGCCCCGTTTAATAGCAACAGAAAACATTCGGAATTTGCACCGATGCTCAAGCGTTGGCATCGGGCCTGCACAGCACAAAGCAGGCAATCAGAGTCCCAAGCCAGTACGCTTAAACGAAAATATTGGAGATTTTAAATCAGAACATAGCAAGTCTAGCATTGAAAGCGCGTTACTTGTGTTCTTTAATCAATATCAGGAACCTTGAAATTGTTTAAAATGAATGCTTCGATATTTCCAAAAACATTTTACATCTTCTAACGTGCTACCAAAAGATTTAGTATAGTAAATCATTCAGACTCAGGACGCGTATCTTTGACAGATATAGACCAATATTAATCTATAGTAACAGTAAGGATTTTTCAAAAGTAGTGATTGAAATGATACCATCAACTTAGTTTTTAAAAAAAGGCAACACGTTGAGAAATGTTTTTCTTTATGTTGATGATTTCATTCAATAAAAAGTTAATGGCTCCATCAATACGATTATAGCGCATTTTGCGGTCTTTCATATTAAATCTCATCCCATTATTTCGTCAAGCAAGAAAATTCTATTTATTTGTTTGGGTTTGTTCTTAACAGTCTTTCACAGCATCAGACAAACATATAACAAAAAACATCTAGATACACACATTTTGCTTGTCTGTTACAGTTGTTCTTAATGACATTACTCACATGGCTTTGTTTGAGCTTGTGAAACCTGCGGAGAGAAAACACAGTTTGAAGGAGCTATCGAAAACAGAAATGGGCTCGTAGAGCATATCGCTCATCTATATCAAGCATGGACGCTTGGATGCTGGCAATTAATGAAAGCTATAGGAATCCGCAAAAAATTTAAGTGGATAACCGCCATAACCTTTATTTTCAAACTGGAAATGGAATGCAAGTGATTGACTTCAAACCTGATACTTCTCTGATCGCTATACCTTATAATGCGGACCGTAAATCATAGGAAGGTAGGAGCACGCAAAGCAATTGCCCTGCAAATCCCCACATACCTTATATATTTAAAATATCAGGATGACATACTATGAGTAACCCTATTCAGAAAAAAAAAAACAAAGAACAACAGTATAGTTCGCGAAATCCCAGATATTAGTTCGCACCGAGGCACTGTAATACAAACACTAACGAAAAGCATTGCGTTGTTGTTTCTCTTGTGGGACGACAGCTTCTCCTGAAGTGCCGTAAACGGGTGCTTTTTTGCATAAAAAATTAGGGCTGCGTAAGGAATCTATTTAGAGAATAGGTAGCCCGCATGTGCCGCACTATATTGTGGAACTTCAAAGTGTAAGCCATGCTTCATACAGTCTCTAACTCCTTTCAGTTGATCTGTCTCCTGAGTCGCTGCCGCGTTATCACACCATTCCGTAATCCAACAATCTGTCAATCACCAAAACATCTTTATTATCTTTAAGCGCCTGATTGTTCACTGAGTCATGAGGATTCGTTCGATCATAAGAAGCATTATTATTTTTAAAAGTCCCGCTCGTCGTCTTATGTTTCTTATAATCCAAACTGAAAACGCCAATCCGTTAAAATGTCTTAAGCGACTGATTTTCACTAGACGCGATGAGGATCGTATCCGATTTCATACGGAGCATAATTTTTAAGTTCCGTGTCGCTCATATATGTTTCTTATAATTCCAAATGGAAAACGCCATCAGTTAAATGTTTCTTAAGCCTGATTTTCACTAGAGTCATGAGGGTCCGTAATTCGATCATAAAAGCATAAACTTTTTTAAGTTCCGTGTCGCTTATGGTTCTTTATAATCCCTGAAAAACGCCATCCGTTTTAAATGTGTTAAGCCTGATTTTCACATAGAGTCATAAGGATTTCGTATATCGATCATAAGAAGCTATAATATTTTATAGTCCGTGTCGCTTTATGTTTCTTATAACTCAATGAAAACGCCATCGCTAAATGTCTTAAGCCTGGTTTCATAGAGTCATAAGGATTCGTAAATACGCAATCATAAGATAGCATTAATTCGTTTAAGTCCGTGTCGCTTATGTTTCTTTTAATCCAAATTGAAAAACGCCATTCGTTAAAATTGTTCTTTAGCCCTGGTTTTTCACTAGAGTCATACAGGATCGTACTCCGATCATAAGAGTATAATTTTTACGGTCCTTCCTTATGTTTCATCTTTTATCCAAATGAAAACGCACAATTCGTTAATAAAATCGGTCTTAAGCCTGGTTTTCACTAGATCATAAGGACTCAGTATCGATCATTCAAGAAAGCATAATTCTCTCGGTCCGTTGTCGAGCTTATGTTTCTTATACCAAATGAAAAACGCATCGTCTAAAATGTTCTTAAGCCTGGTTTTCAGCTAGGAGTCATGAAGGGATCGTTCGATTCATAAGACACATAAGAAGCATAATTTTTAAGTCCGTGTCGCTTATGTTTCTTATAATCCAAATGAAAACGCCATCGTTAAAATGTCTTAAGCCTGGTTTTCACTAGAGTCATAAGGATCGTATCGATCATAAGAAGCATAATTTTTAAGTCCGTGTCGCTTATGTTTATTATAATCCAAATGAAAACGCCATCGTTAAAATGTCTTAAGCCTGGTTTTCACTAGAGTCATAAGGATCGTATCGATCATAAGAAGCATAATTTTTAAGTCCGTGTCGCTTATGTTTCTTATAATCCAAATGAAAACGCCATCGTTAAAATGTCTTAAGCCTGGTTTTCACTAGAGTCATAAGGATCGTATCGATCATAAGAAACATAACTTTTAAGTCCGTGTCGCTAATGTTTCTTATAATCTGTTCTGATAAAGCCCCGTATGTCGAGGCAAAATGGTAGTATACTTATAGTTTAATTTTGATATTTTTGATTGCATCGCGGGGTCCTTACCTACTATCAAGTTAAATGTGCTGTTGGTCATTAAACCTTAAGGCTCAATGAAAGAATTGGGAGCTGCTTCTGTATGTCATTGAGTTGTTTATCATTTAGAATGATACCCTAGCCATATAAGGTCATTGATAGCTTGATCGTTATATGACATAATAAAAAAGAAGAATTGGGTCATCAGTTGGAGCGAGATCTAAAACTAATCAAAGTGGCTGTGACTGTAAGCACCGATTTGACATTTTTCAGATTGTCGAACCATCCTTCAGCAACACGCATGTCTTTCTTTGCAAAACGAAAGGTATGTTGTACTCTAAGGGGCGCTGTCTTGGGGCAATTTCACGAGGGAAAACCTATCACTGTTAACAGGATAACGTCTTCCTTCTTCTGCCAAAGCACCGGAATTTTCGGGTACGGCCTTGCGTGAAAGATATACGGTAAGCTTAGAAGTTATCAATACTTCTAAGCAATCAAATTATTTTGAAGACAGCTTTCTGACACGAGTTAGAAATTAGTTATATCCGCATTTTGCGAAACACATGGTTAAGACGGATTTCGTTGAAGCTGTTATTGATCTTACACTTCAACATTCATAACATTATAACTGATAATATCTCGAAGAAGGAAAATGATTGTGAAGGTGTTCTAAAAACTAATCTTCTTCATCTCCAAATGTTTGACAAAAACATCTTAATGTAATTATCAGTATAAAGGGTCTCGCTGGCTATTTAGACATATCGGAAGAAGTACAAACGAAATACGTCAAAAGCTGCAAGAATTGAACCATAACAACACTAGAAACGTTCGATTCTAAAAACATAAAGATAAGTAGAGTAAAACAAAACTGGTAGCAAGCAAAGGTTTAATGGCGCATATTGTGTCTTTTCGTAGAAGGACTTGCACAATAGTTCTTTATCAGATAAATGTTGGCAGCATGAAAGAAAAACATTAATTTTGCAGGACTAGCATGTCGTTCACAGGTAAGTTAGGAAGACAAGAAACATAAAAATTGGTTGGTCTATACATCTTGCAGGCGGCAGGAAAGCGATATAACAGTGCTGGATTTAAAACTGATATCTTCCTAGGCCTCCCTTGGCCACACAATAATAGCCAACTTCTAAAAATTAAATAATTAAAGGGAAAGCGAAATTAGTCAAATTATGGAAAAGTTTGAATGAACGAAAGTTGTCGGAATCATAAGACTTGTTAATCGAAAGAATAAGTTTTTAACACAGGACAAAATAGTCTAAGCAAGACCCACGTTTGAAGCTGTGTAGAACCATCCTATCTCCACGTGTAGAACACATCTACACGAGATGATGATTATATTTCTACTGCACAACAGAGGGGAAAAACCATTAACATATACAATACCTTATTCGCGCCCTTCAACAGCTTAATTTCGTTTTTCAATTTCCGATTTTCAGTTTCAAGCTCCCTGAGTTTGAGATCAACCTCGACCTTCTGCCTCAGCTCATTTTCATATCTACGTTTGATATCTTTCAGCTCGATCATTAAGTCTCTCATCTCCTCAGCATCCACATGGTCCCTTGCCCAACGATCCCCGAACAAGATATCATCTGATTCTGAGTCCAGATTCCCTTTCATGCTTTTTCTCTTGACATCAGCAAAGATAGAATCTTCACCATACTCAGCTGCATGGTCCGCTACATCAACGTGACTCTTAATTTTATATTTGTTTTTTTCAAGTCTTGCATTAGTTCTCCAAGGGACATGGGAACCACTTAAGCCTGTGTCTGATGATTTAGCAGTTTTCTTTGGTTTGATGGTTCTAAAATGCAAATTATTTACAAATATAAATTTGAAATAACACGATCAAGTGGAAACATCGCAGACTATTCGTCCGACACTCCTCAGAGTGTATAAGCCGGATAGTGACTAACGGCAAGCAGAATTTTCAGAAATTTTATAGCAGATTATTGCCGCCAAAAAATGTAAATAACGGTTGTCTAATATTGCGGTATTGAAATGCTTTTAATTTTTAGTATAGCGATTCAAGGACAAATCATCACAAATGGGAATGAACATTAGATCAGAAAACAACATTGTTAAGTCATGGCAACATTCGGTTTCGACTTCACAATAGCGATCACAACATCCAAAAAATTATCAAATTGGTGCTTTTGACAAAAAGACGCAAGTGCTAAAATCACAATTTATAAGATACAGCAACTTGAATATACGCTCCTTCGCAGCTTCCTACCATATTGTCTCCATCAGTTTCTTGCAAAGAAATATTGATCAGTAGTATCACATGTCTTCGTTTAATACGTTTGTCGATTTTAATCTAAATCTGTTGTTGTAGAAATATTGTCAAAAGCTTATTTCCGCAGTCCAGTGTGTAGCAGTTTACGGGTGTTGTCACTTTGCGACACTTATCGCAAACGCAAAAAATGGAAGACGGGAAGAGCGTGATATTGAATCGAGAAAAAACTGCGTTTGTGTCTAACGTAGGCGTTTTAATAAGCAAGCCAAGGCCAATGTTGCTGGTGGTTAGAACAAGTTATGAATCAAATATTCACACTATCAAGTTGCTTATACTTGACAAAGAGGCAAAATGACGTAATTCAACCTAGTATCACCTGTTTCTACAGCGTTGAGTCTGGGCCTTAATCATCGACTTATTCAGAGTAAATCGGATAGGCTTTCGGCTTCGCTTTGTTTCTTTAACTTCATTCATCGATTTCCATGGATACTGAAAAATTTAAGGGAATATTTTGATAAAATGATCTTTTACCAGAGTAACTTATATGTTTACAGAATTATATTCTCTATTAGTGTACCTACTTTTAACAAGTAAAAAGGTTCATTTCGCAAAAAGAAAAAGCAAGGTTCGTGAACATTGCCTGAAAAAGAAGAAACAAAGGTACAACCATTGCCAAAAGTACTTGGAACACCAAGCAATTTGTGTCGTGTTTTTATATTTTTCAATTCTTTTTCCAGATACTTCTATTTCCACACCCCCTTCCCCCCGAAACAATGTTGATAATTTGGAAAATATCATAAAAGGAGCGCAAAAGAAAGTGCTTTCTGAAATCCTAACCCGTTTCATAGCAAACCAACATTGTTCCGTGGGGGAGAGGGGGATGATTGATTTTCACCTTGGAAACTGACGTCAGTGTTCCCTGACTTTTAGCAGGGACTGTAGCTTGCAATGCTTTTTACCAGAGTAGCACCATTGTGGTTTAAATACTTAAATAAAAAGGAAATTAAAAGATTCTCATGCAGCAAATAACAAGACTAGTATAGTGATATTTTCAAAATTGAAGGCAAAAAAGTCTGTGCTAGCCTTGGTACATTTTGCTTGGATACAAAAAACGCATGTATTAACATTCTGCATAATTATGAATTTCCCTAATCTCTTTAACTGGGTTGTATAGTGCATATCAGGCTATTACATCGACGCTTGCTCGGGTTTACTGCGGCTGTTAAAAATAAAACCATATGGTTTAATCACATATGAGGGGTTGTCAAATTCAAATCATTCTAACACATAAGCCTGTTTCGGTTAGTAAAATTTTCATAGAATTTAATATAAAGCCCCGGCCAGGATAAATGCTACGCTGGTTTGACCAGCCATGTTGGACGATGTTGGATGTTGAAATAAGGCAATAATTCAAATTAAGAAGAAGTGCTTATGTCTTCAAATAATCCCCTCTCGCGTCTCCCCTTATTCATTTTCTGACTTTGCCACGCTTAACTATGCTTCACTTTCTTCTTTGTTATCATTCAAATTTCAAATAGTCCCAAAAACACTGCTGCTGCTTGTCGCTATATTTTTATCGAGCCACCATGTTAAAATTTCTAATAGAGGCTTGAGTGAATGAAATTAGGCCCTGTAGTTGCTGTTGGATGAAACCGTCAAACGGACAAATGCTGGATGAAATGTTGCGCTGGATTGACCCACCCCTTATCCAACAACGTCTAACAAATAAATGCACAAGAACAAGACGTCCAACAATGCTGGGATTTGTAGGGGGAAATGTCACAGTGGCTTGGCAATGAGTTAAAAATTAATAAGCTAAAGGAAATATTTAGAAAAATAGGTAAAATGCAAGTTACAACTAAAAAACGATGAATCAATAAAATCGTTAAGTTGACAAGATTTCAAACCTGTGGGTCTTCACCACCAGAATTCAACATAACTTTTTCAAGCACGGCCTTGATCTTCGCTCTTTCTGTAACAGTAACAAATACATACCTAAGTAAAATAGCTACGAATAAAGACTTCAAATAATTAAAAAGCATTAGAAACGTACAAGTATAACGACAGTTTGCAAATATGTGAGGGACAATAGAAACACACCTCTGACAACTGAAAGGCACATATGGCTCCCTCATTACGATTTAGACACAAAAATGGCTCCCCCAATTAATGCCTTCAAGTCAAAACTCAAGGAAAAATAATCCTTCATTATATTTTGAGGTGTATTGTTGTAAATTTATACATCTTTGATTTAGCCATATTCCGCTCTTTTTATTGTAGATTTTACAGCATATAACTTTTTAATTTTGTAAGTAGCTTTTACAGGGCCAATTGTAAAACAGTATTTAGGCTGAATTTTTATCCCCGGGTCAATAATTTTAAAATAAATTACTTAAAATGAAAAAACATTTTGCTGACGTCGGCACAGAAATACCTGACTTTTCACGAAGCGCTGCGGAGATGTAGAAAAAAGGCAAATTTTATAAACCAGAGCTCAGATGGGTTCAAAGGGCGACGAGCATGCAAGGACAGGTAGTGATAGCCGAAAGCTCTAACCGAGCTGGGGAGAGGGTGAAAAATCTTAACGGGCATAATCTTTGAAAAACTAGAAAACGATTATCAATCAGACAATTAAGTGGTGATGATTGAAAAAGAAACAAAAATTCCCAGAATATCTTAAATCTTAAATCTAATAGGATTGTAAAGAAAATAAAAAAAGGACAAAATATAGTCTTGACTTAACCTACCAAGTTTTAGAAGCAGCAATAATTCAAATATTAGTTAAGCCACTAAAATTTTATGTTTATAACAATATAACATTTTTTTTAAATTTTTCAAGATAGCTCTGATAAATTCTTTAGTCAAAGAAATAGGACATATTTACAAGCAAAGTTGATATCAATTGACAAATTCTACCGACAAAAACACAAAATAGTGTGTTTTAACTTGTCTTTAATTGTCTCACCAAGTAGAGGATTCAGTCTCACATCAAGAACGCGAACTGATCTGTTAAAATCAAGAGCAGACAAGATTGCATCAGCTCCCTGAGATGATATTCCACAACGCTGAAGATCCAGAGCTGGGATGCAAACGAAATAAGGTCAGTTGTACGTATTTCAAATTAGTATTCTAAACAACAGTAACTAAGTAATATTTATTCCACTAGCCAAATTTTAGAAAAGAAATATAAATGGTTGTCTTTTAGGAAATTGATTATTCTGATAAATAGAGAAACTAACCTAAAAATTGAAAACCAAGTTTTTGTTTTGCTTTTGCACGGTGAGCAACAACGGACAGGGCACAGTATTTTTTTGCGGCAGAGTTGTATATTTCTTTGGTACCCTTCTACATTGTACATTCCATATTTCTCAGGGCACATTCTCAATTTCCACGGCACACTTTTATAAATCTAACGGCACACTTTTATATTTCCACGGCACATTATGAAATTTCTACAGGACTGATAGCTAACATGCATTAGCTAGTCCATATATACTTGTTCAATGACATTAATTCAATGCCTCCTTGAAAGCATTGCACAGATATCTCTATGTTCCAAGCCTTGATGAGAAGAACGTTCAATGAACTTATCTTTTCATCTTTCATCTTAACATAATAACAACGGGGAACATAATCATAGTGGAAGAGAAAGTTTGCCGTGGGAATTTTTGAAGTGTGTCGTGGGAAGAATGAAGGTTGGCCGTGGCAAAATAAGTGTGCTGTGAGAAATATGGAAATGTGATGTGGAAGTATAAATGTTTTCCGTGGAAAACGATTGTGCCGTGAAACAAGATTGTGCCGTAGTCGACGTTGGCAAACCGTATTTGGGTCATTAACCCTAAAATATTTAAACTCTCTTCAGCAGGTTTGTACTTGAAATTGACATGTTTTCTTTCCCTTATCGTTAACAGTTGTCAATTTTGTAACACCCACTTTATTTTATGCAGGAAATTGGAATAGATAGTGCTACTCATTTTTGGTCTATGAACCTTTTCTGCTTAGGATAAACCTCAAGGATTTTTTTAAGAAAACACATTATCTAAAGCGAACAAATTATCTCTCTAGGTTTCATCCGGATAAATCTTTAAAAATGACGAAATATTTTATATTAATATGCAAATCAAGACAGCAATAATGAGAATTACAATAGGTATCTAATAATTATCCAACAATTCATACGCTGATAGCTGTCGCAAAAAAACAATTTTAAGCACAGATTCAAAATCTTCATTTATTTTTATAATTATGGAAGTATTATTTATGTTGACGTTGAACAGAAAAACACCCAAAACTGCTCTTTAAACATCTTACTTAAGTCAAGCAACAGAGAGCGACAAAGTAAGGAGTATTATTGCTGGTAAATTTGAAAATGCTTGCCAATAGCAGCGCACCTTTTATCCACAAGTCATCCTTCAAAGAATTTGCAAGGATTTGAACGCCTTTATCCCCGATGAGTGCATTCTGGCAAAGATCGATTCGGCGTAGACCTAGCATGCCGTTAAGATCTGGCCTTCGGTAGCGAAGACTTTCCTGCCATGCTTCCCCATGACGTTTCGTTGCTTGATGCTGAGAAAAAAGCCATCAGTTAATATTTACGTGACCACGTCTTCTCATACAAGCTGCAAACATTATCGACCCTACTTATCTAGAAAGTTTTTATAAGCTAGCCTGGTCATCGCAATGTGTTTGACAAAAAGTCCTATATGTTAACAGTCCAGACGACACATCTAGACTGGACAGTACAGGTAATACCCACAAAAATATAGGAAATGCAGGTCCAAAGTTAAGAGAGAAATATTTGATTAGAGAAAGACTAAGGCAAAGCGAACGAAACACCCCATCTTGGGCATGCGTTTTCAGGCATTTTTCTCGCTACTTGATGCATTTAAATACAACATGGATCACTTTTTCAACGATGTACATCAGACAGCTGTAGAAACAAAAGGTAGAAGACGTGCATCTTTGTCAGCCCAAAACTATTCTTTTCAGCAAAACAACGAACAAGAACAATTTTAGAGCATGATCGACATTTTAGCAGGTGATTTGGTCGAGTTCTAAACCGATAAAGCATTCATACTCATATGATCGTCTTTTTCAACAAAAGGAGTTTGGGATGATCGGTATAAGAACAGAGACATTGGCTACGTTTCTTAGGCTACAACAGAAGTGATGAAAAGATTGTAAGATCATTGTCAACATATATCCGAAGTGTGATATTGTAAAAAGAGGGATATATGAAAATCATTGTTTTGAATCAGACAGTACAGTTTACTCTGAAAGGAATCAATTCTGGAAAAGGTTGATGAGTTTCTCAAAATAACAAATAGCATGACACGTATACATTTTGACAGAAAGCAATGAGTTTTCACGGAGCAGTGTTTGATGATTACTCAACTGACTAAAAATTTTCGCTTAAAAAGGAATAATATGACGTCAAAAGATATCGTCAGAACAATTATATTTAGGTTTGTGTTTGGGTTAGAAGTCAAAGAACAAAATGGTGCCTGCCGCCAATTTTATCCATTTGTAAACACTTTTCAGTCTTCAGTTTCCATTTTCCACTTTTTCAGGTACAGAAGAAGCCCAAATGCAAATTTAAGTTCACAGACAAAATCTTAAATTTCCAACAACTTATAGAAACGTGATGAATTGCATTCAGTAAAGAATTCTATGGAGGAGCATTGTTTGATGAGCAAGGTCATTTTTCACTCAGTCAATATAGTGATCTGCATGCAGAAATATTCATTCGGAGTCAACAGCAACATGTGGAAAATCAGCAGAAAGAATTAAAAACATATTTTGATGGGGCTTATCAAACGAAGATCGGCTACCTGATTGCACTTTGCTAGAGTACATGCAAATATTATTGACATAATCGCCGGACTTATCAATAAAAATAGGAAATAATAATCATGACCACAGGCAGTCTGATTGAAATTGTAATTCACATGTAATAAACTGCAGCCTAGACTTGAAACTAAGATGTAAATCAATCCAAACATGTGGCAAAACCTTCGTTTATCTTTCACAAAAGCGGTTGGCTAGACTAGACTTTGATTATGGCGGAATCTGGTTTTATTTTAAGCCCGAAAAACACGTAAAACTTATCTTTCGACACAGAAAACTGATGCTTCTCATCTTGAATAATTACGCAAGGGTTACTTAGAAAAAGACAAACTATTTGGTTGAAAACCAAATTTCAAGAGCAATGGTAGCTCAGATATAAGAAAACGGCACAGCAGTTTTTATGCATGGATAAATAAGTGAATGGTCATGATATTATAGAAGCTATAATGCTGAAAAGATTGCTGCAGGGCTTCAATCAAAATTTATGAGACCATGTATCTCCAATTCCAAACATATCATGCAACATCCATATAGGCAACATTTTGAAGATTCACTGCCTTTATTTTTTGCTTTTATTTGCCTCAGGACATACGAGCTTGACCAGGCTGGGTAAAATATATTGGTTCTTGTGTGTAGGCTTTTCTGTTTTGTCATCTCTCTGGAAATAAATCTTACAGAGACAAGACACCTTAAACTTTAAACAAAAATACAATAAAATACAAAAGCAGACAAGATAACACCTGTCTAGATGACAGGCAATAAAAAGTAATCAAAATAGAACCTCCATTGACACAGTCTATTTCCCCAGTCCAATTAATTTGAAGCAAAAACCTTTACTTGCCATTTGCCCATTGACTTTGATCATATAAACGTAGCTAGTACTGAAAGGTGAAAGCTACCTGTATAATTTCACTAATGATGTCCATTCCTTTCCAAGTCAAACTGCAACCACTCAGACATACATACTTCAGATTCAACAAACTCTTGAGTCCAGGTGCTAATGCTGTGGAATAGACAAGTTGTCAGCAACCCATTTCAAAGGACCAGAAATCAACAGGACAACAGAAAGGTAACTGATGGACTAAGTTCCAAATAGATGGACTCTATCTTTATATCTTTAAAATAAAATCTATATATCTCTCTAAAATATATAGAAAAATTTATAGAAAAATATATAGGAATATATAGAATCTATATATCTCTCTATATATATCGTTCTAAAAAGGAAATAATTAAACACAACTTACTTATATTGAAAAGAACAGGATGGTTTCACCACACATAACCCACACATCAAGGACTTTTTAAGCTTTAAAAATATTTTTCCAGGATTCTAGAGCCATTCAAAAATCAATTGGGCATTAGGAAAATAAATGAAAAATCTTCTAGGTGTTTCTTACATTTTCCATAGAAGCACTTTCACAGAAGTGCATAAACAAACTTGTGAATGCACAAACAAATGAAGAAGATGGAACTTTCTACTTAAAATCAGTTGACAGATCATCTCTACATTTACCTTTCAAGCCAGCATCACCTATTTGCGAAGATTCCAGCGAGATCATTTGCAAAGATTTGCTTTTCATAATACCCTGAAAAATGTATTTAAAGAAAACATCAATGTATCATTCTATTGAAAGTTTTAAAAACAAGAACTGGTAATAAAAAAAGAAGAAAATATTTAAATGCATTCTTTTGATCTCTATTTTCTTAAAATACTGATAGGATTACCTTCAATACTGAAAAAATTACTCAATGTATACTCGTCTTGCTTTAGGAAGCTTATCCAAATCCATTTGTTATTTTACAAATCTATAGGGTAATATGATTCAGAAAGTTTGAAAGTGTGATAAAAAATAATGTTATTAAATACATTTGCCAGTAAGTATGGCACATTGGTTCATATCATAGCATATTGTCATTTGCTCCAATCCAGAAATTGGTTCTATGGTGTTCCACCATGCTCTGCCATGTTTTACTTCTTTTGACCTCTATACTTTTGACCTTTTGATCTACAAGAATTCTTTTGACCTCTATACTTTTCAAATACTAGTATGATTTCCTTTCTTCAAATACTGATATGACTTGAAAATTAAGTCAAAGTATACTTACACTAGCAAGAATGCTTAGATCTCTCTCTCTTAATGGGATACCTTGTAAAACCAAACACTCAATGCAACTTGATGTTGTTAGAAAGTCTTTCAGGGCTCTTGAAAAAAGGTTTCACAGTTACACAAAATTCTTTTCAAAACACAATTGTGTACAATATGGAACATTGTCTTAGCTTCCTTATAAAAACTCTAAAATTTTCTTAACCCTTCATTTTGATAATTTTTCCAAATTTTGAATTATAGTGTTCTTGACAAGGCAAGGTTTTCTATTCATCTACCATGGTTTTCACTCTCAAGATCATGAGAAAAGTTTATAAAGAAGAAAAAATTATTTCACAAACCTGCAAATTTTGTTTGTCACATCTCTACTTCTTACTGCAGGAGTTCTTCTCCTCAATATGTACGCTCTTTGTTGTGATGTTGCTGTTTAACAAATATGCAACAGTAAGCTCTAACATTTCTTCACAGTGGTAATGAAAGGGCAATGACATGTATGATATAACATTTTTATAGATCAATATTATGACAAAAACTGAAAAACAGGCCTTGCTCTAAGCAAAATGAAGGTGCTCCATAAAAAGAGTGTGTATAGGCGCTCTATTTCGCACCTTTAAATATAATATCCTTGAGAGCATCCTTCAAGAGCTTTGGAAGATCGAGAGCTTCATATCGAAAGCTTTGGACGAGTGTTAAATAAGAAATTCAATGGTGATACCAAAAAGCACCATAATATTAAATAACAAAACATGCAGCAAACACTATGTTAATACAAATATAGAAATATAGGAAAACGCATGGCTTTAAGTCAAACATTAACTTTATTCCCCTTTTTATGCTATCCATTCTATAAGAGACACTAGAACATCTACTACTCGCAAAAGTAAATGAAAACTGAAAAGCAATGCGGTAATTTGGACAGAAATATGATCTCTGATTTGCAAAGGTGATTCTAAATTATTAAGAAAAAACAGAAAATAATACTTCAACAGAAGATTAACGCTTGCTCGAAAATCAAATAAATCTGCCGGAGAATACGCTTGATGACCTGTATCTTTGGTGGTTATTAGAGGGTTATTAGATTAAAAATGGTATCGAAAACCCAACGTTGAATTTGCTGAATTTTTTTCTCAAGGGGCAATCTTACGCAAATCATAATATTGCGGTCTATTGGGGAGATTGTTTTTGCTTGATCAAGTTTATTAGACAAAGGCCAAGAAATTATTTTGCTCCGTGGTAATATTGTTTTTACGTTTTGAGGGGCTCTATAAATCGCTCTCCAAGGCTTCTTTTGGGTGCGCTCTAGGCGCGCGCGCTCGATCGAGCGCCTTTCCGGGCAAGGCCTGCTGAAAAACTGTTGATGAATAAAATGTTTCTGTCAGGTTTGAATTATAAAGTGAAAAGATCTATTGGCATGTGTTCAGGCTAAACCAAAAGAATTTTGACAGCTGGTAAATATAGACCCATCCTTGATAAAGATACATACTCTGAGGTGAGGGAGGAATGGATGTGGAGGACATTGAAACAAATAAGGTGGATCTACCTTCAAAATTGCAAACATGGTTTTAAAATCAATAAAGATAAAGAATTGCTGTAAATTATAGCAAGACAAGTTCATATTGAAAATTTTAAGTCAACCTTATTCATTGAAGACACAAGGATCAAAAAAAGAAGCCTAAATAAAGGGATATTCAAAAATCATAAATAAAAGACACAGACATTCTATTAATTATTGATCCTAGAGTAGGCATAGTAAAAGAAAACCCACAAAACTCTGTAGACCATGGCTTTAGAAATTTGTTAGTGCTTATATGATCATTAATGTCAGAAACAATGGTGAGCTGGTACAGCAAAATTCACAATAGAATATTTTTCCATTCTCACTCAGAAGCTGCTTAAGGCATAAAGATTTTTTGTATGCTGTATCATGTATGCTATGCTATGTACATTGAATCAAAACCTTTCTTAATTATTCTAGGGGTATTGATGAAGAGCTTGCACTATTTGATACGAGTCAGGTTTTAAGCAACTTGACAACACCTGAATTTTCAAAACATGAATCATTAATGGCATTGCATGAGGTACTACTATTTCAGGAAACATTCTAATCTCAAATTCTGACTTGTTTACACAAGGTAAACTGAGCATCCAAGGGTTCAAAACCTCCAAACTTACGGACAAAACAGTTTATCCTAACAGGCAATGATTTAGGCCTTGGTTGTATTATTCCTGCCAGATCAAAGTTGAAGTTGATCTTAATGCTCAGCATCGGGATACCACACAGGAAAACTCGAGCGAAACATGGACTAAAAAATGCAAAATATAAAAATTCATACATTCTTGAGAATATGCATTTGGCTGCCAGAAACTTCTAAAAGCAATAGACTTGAGAGAATCGTCAGATTTTATGGCCTTGAGAATCGGTGTCCAGTCTGAAAGCCTGATGCGATCTGCGTTGCAGTCGATGAGGAGTTCTTGCAAATTGGCCGTAATGGTAGCAAGCGGGCAAGAATCTTGGATTGCACATAATTGCTCGTAATTATCTTTAAAATTTTCTTGCTTCTTTTGCTTTCCTTTTTTAAAATCCATCTGTTTAAACTTGAAGACGGTTTAATTTTCCTCCACAGAGAAATATATTACCAAATCAAATACAGCGCGCCATGAATGTGGCCTCTTTTGAAGAAATGTGAAACGAGGCTGGGATCGCTGGTAGAAAAACTTCGGATCTCTGGAACCAAAGAGAACATACCCAATCTAGAAGAAATATCTGCGTCGCAGTCAATGAGGATATCTTGCAAATTGGCGGTAATGGTAGCAAGCGGGGGGCAGGAAGCTTGAATTGCTTGGAATTGCCTGGAATTACTGGGGTTCCTTGGAAAAAAGCTTTGGACAGGGGTACTCTATAGATAGATAGAAAGATAGATAGATAGATAGATAGATAAACTTTATTTACAGAGGATAAACCTGGTTAGCCTAATAACTAATCTTCCCCAGGGTCCTCTCTACTAACTACGCAATAAGAATATAATACTAGTATTTAAAAAAAAAGTTCTTTAAGTTTCTAAAAAGCCTAATAACAATTTTGTTTAAAGTAAAGTTTAAGTATTTAAATCTGAAACGTCAAGGTAATGCTGATATAGTTTTCTCTTGAAAATTCCCAGTGATGTTGACTGTCTAATGTTAAGTGGAAGTTCATTCCATATTTTACTTCCTTTTATTGATATTGACTGATCAACCTTTTTCAGTTTTGATCTGGGCACATACAAGTTTTTGTGTGATGAACTTCTCGTCAATCGTTGTTTAATCTGATTTTGATGAGTAAACAAATCAGTCATATATTTTGGAGCTAGTCCATTTAGAGCCTTGTAGACTACTATGGCTGTTTTGAAGTTGATTCGTCCTTGAATGGGCAGCCACTTTAGTTTCTTAACCAGTGGACCTGAATGCTCACGGCCTGGAATGTCATAGCTCAACCTAGCTGCTCTTTTTTGAAGCTTCAACAGCGAGGATATCTTCGTAGAAGACCCCCAAACCACACTGCCGTAATCAAAATAGACTTGTATGAAGTTCTGATAGAACAATTTTCTGTTATCAAATGCCAGGTAAGACTTGATCCTACGAAATAGAGCAAGGTTGCGGCTTACAGTATTGCATACGTTTTTAACTTGATCGTTCAATGTAAGGTTTTGGTCAATAATAACTCCAAGGAGCTTTAGTCTGAGATCAAGGTACTCTAGAGCCATAGAGAAATAATGAGCAGCTACGACGAAAGAAAACTGGAGGGCAAGAGGTTAAATTCAAGAAGTGCGCGTAAAGGCTAATAGGAGCGAGGTAGCCAAAGCGAATGCAGAAAACAAACGAATGATATAAAAAACAACAATACAAAATAAAGAACAAAAATTGATACAATAAAATAACGGCTTTGTATGAGAAATAAATTATTAGTACTCATAATCCATCCCAGGTTTGAAAGTATTGTATCAACGAAAAAACAAACTTTGTGAAAAGAGGAGCGAAATTGCTGGCAGGTTTTAAGTCTTATTCAAATTAAGAGTCAAGGTGAATATCCTTGTTAAATAAAAAGGCGTCGAGCCATTGGGCTAGGGGGGATGAGTCCACCTTTTCAAAGATGTTTTTGCTCTGCGAAATTACTTGGTAGCTAATACTCTCGGTGCCAAAGCCGCAGAGACGTAAGAACGGGGACACTTCGGGGGTACGGACACTCCAAGATTTTGCAGTAAATTAAGAATTGCCCTTTTTCAGAATTGCTTATTTGGTCTATTTTCCCCTATAATAACGAGTCTAAGTAGACTGCAGACAAAATGCTCTTCCTGATCAAGCATTTTCCCTTGAATGATCCAAGTTTTGAAAGTTCATTTATTTTCACCTGTGTATCGGATATCTATTAAATGTACTTCTAAAGTCTCGTTCATTAGAGAAAATACAGTAAGTATTTCTGAAAATTTGCAGCCTTCCATATTCAAAAGATACATATATTCAATTTCCTGAAGTCTAGACTGAATCGCTTTGAAACCAACACCTGACTGCTTTAATATGATGCACCTGACTGCTTCAAGTTAGGATTTTGATTGTCTTTTCCTTGTGACCCGAGTAAAAATCTAGATTTATCACTACACAAAGCTGATAATCAGTGTATGCTGAATTTTTTATGTGACAATACAAAATAACGCTTGTAGATATTCAGGTGTTGCTAAATATTCGACATCTGGCTTTATCAAGGCAAATGAAAGCTCATTAATCGTTTAAGTTTAGGGAAGTTGATTGAAAAGGTTTTCGATGCAAGGCTTTGATGTCAGAGAGTGGATTATATTCTACAGCCAAAACATAAAAAGAGAATTCCCTTGAAATTATATCCCAGCCACAGAAAGAGCATTCTCAAAGAGTATAAAAGAAGAAAGCTCTCTAGTTAAACTTTACAAGGAAGTAAAAGGAATAAAGAATGTCATCCCATTTGTCCTGCTTCTCAGGTAGACGCTCCTCCTCTTCTTCGCTTGCTTTTTTATTTCCGCGCTCGAGTTTATGTGGCTCTGGTGCCCAGGATAAAAGAATATGGGCTTCTATACCTATATGTAGGTGGTACGAACGAATAAATTTATATTTTGAGTGGTTTCTCTGTCGTTAGGAGCTAAGTTATATCACGAAAAAAGCAACCCAGTAAAGAAAAATTAACTTTGATGTTAAAAAGAACACATTATATTTTATGTACAATCAATTATAAAATAACTAAAAAACTAATAATTGCCAATAAAGTCTGCATTTTCTTTTTCTATTTCCCTCTTTATCCTCATTTCTCTTCTCAGCTTGATGTAGAACCTCAGTGCATCTGGATGTGCTCGAAAGCACTGCCTGTTTAAATCGAGTATCCTCAAGCCTTCTAAACTCTTTGCTCTTGATAAAGCAACGTACGCCTGACCGTCTTCAAAAACCCTCGCCAACGACACTTCAACGCAGTCCAATGTCAGTCCCTTTAGAAATCAAAAGCATAGAATATTCATCATCAAGAAATTTGGAGTTATTGTGCCTCCAGGGCTATTGCCCCCATACCACAAGAGCTGTTATCTTTACCGCTAGGGTTATTTCTCTTAATTTTTGAAAAGTAAATCTTTGTGTGGTTCATTATATTGCTACTTTTATACTTCTGTTTCAAAGGTAGTATGAAACCGTATTGAAGATAGCAAGCATTTCTTCTGTAAAAGCCCCTCTCAGACATTCCAAGGGACCTTTCTTGGATACAAAACATCCTAGCCTTGTCAACATTATACCGCATATTATAGTCGTTAGAGAAAAAGAGTAAGATAGGGCGTGCTTAGAGAGACGATTATATGATCCTGGGCAACAAAATCAGACGTAGCGTTTGGGGACGGACTGGCAAGGGGAGCTAGGGTGCGATCGCAGCCAAGACCCACCTTTCTTTCGTTATTTCAATTCCATTCATTACCTGATAAAGTGACACCCTGTCCAAACTGAAAGCGTTGTAGTGACTCATATAGTTAGCTAATTAACCTGACTAGATTCTGTATTTTCATAACAACAGCTGTTTCGAAGCGTCACTTACCCAGGTCGAGACACAAGGCTGATGGTTTTGTTTTCTTATTTCAAGTACAACATGCACTGCACTTATGAATCAATAAAAATCAACTTAAAATTTTATTCATAAAGATTTTATGTCATAAAGATGACATATTTAAAAACTGTTTGTGGGTAATAAGGTAAAACAGGCAATTTCCTACTTTTAACATTTTTTTGAATCATAATTTCACGTATAGATAAATCTTTTGGGAGTTTTTTTGGAACGGGAATCTCACCCAAAATATGCTGCTCAAAGATGATTTCGCGGCGTTCTGAAGATGATTTCTGAAGCTGTTTCTCGCCCTACAACTTTTGCAAAACACTAGATATCCAAGACCCAGTGGGATTGTGGGAGGATTGCACAGTGGTTATTTGGAACAATTAATATGAGAATGGCCCAGTGGCAAGGGATGTGGACCACAGATTCATGGGTCTATGGCTCGAGTCCCTGCTATGACCAAACTTTCACTAAGAGTAAAGAGAGTCGGCAGCCTTCTATAATTCGAGTCCTAGGAATCCGGAGTTGTGGTCACAACGAGAGGTAGCAAAATGCTCAATAGCTTCTAAATGCCCTAAGAACTACCTTCGGAAAGAAGGTAGGAGGAAATAAAAAAACAAAAAGTTTCCAAATAAGGCGAATGATTGTTACCTGGCTTTTGTGTATGGAGATGGCCCATGCTAGTTTTAATGGCAATTGTTGTCTTGTTGCCAAACCACCTCCGGGGATACCTAATGTAAACCTTTCTGTTTTAAGCGCTATTTCTAAGCCATTTACAAACTTCACAATTGGTATATCTGCAAGAAAATTCATCATGTCAAACAATGTTATATATCATGAATGAAGGAAAAACAATATATTAAACTATTTAACACTATTGGAAAAGCTTTTGTTTCATTTTGTCAGTTATGAAAACATTTACAGAATTCTTCAGCTTTAGATTTTTAAAATGAAGATAATAATATTTTAACACACTTTGTCTCATTGAATATAATTTTCTTAAATTTGACTTTCTGTCTGTTTGGGGTTAACTGCAATAAATTTAATGTAAGCCGTAACTCTAAAGTTTGCAAATAGCACTCAGAAGCATTAGTTAATGTCTGAGCCGCTAGAACAACAGGAAAGCCTATTCTTTTCTAAGGTCGTGAGCGACACCTAGAAAATGAGCAGCCTTGTGAAGCAAAAATATGGAAATGAAAAATGGAAATGATTCTTACTTAAAGAGTTGCTTTGAAACTGCTTCACGATCCCCCTTGCACCATTCACCAAACCCTTTTGTAAATCCAGGTTCTTTGTAAGCATGACCTAAAAGTTAAAAAACAAACATGGTTGAAACTGCATATAATGTAAACCAAACACTATAAGCTTTTTTAGACCCCAAAAAGAGGCTGAAATATTGACCTTATTAAAACCCCGACTGAGGTAATTAAGAAATATTGGGTAAACTCTTTTAAATACTGGAATCGTGACTTAACGACTTGCACTTCAGCTATCAGGTATCTAAATGCACCCAACTAGTTGTTTTGAAATTAACTGAGTTCATCTTTTTAGCTATAATTGTATACCATGTGAAAATAAATCTTTCGAAGAAGGTGAAGACGCAAATTTCAAATTTAATTCAGCGCGCTTATTTTGGTTAAGGGCAGGCAACGAGGCCCAATTAAATTTAAAGAAGCGCAAAATTAACAGCCACGTGACTGTTTCTGCATTACTCGGAAAACAGCATGCAAACACAACTTGCTACTCAGTGTTTCTTCTATGAATGTATCATTTTATTTTGATAACTCTTATGATCTAATATAAATAACAGGATCTTAGCATTTATTTTTGTATTGAGGACAGGAGACAGTTACCCAGGGGCGGACTGGCTAATTTTTTCGGCCCGGGCACATTTTGATCAAACCGGCCCATAATAATACCAAATAAAAAACTCCTCGGAAAATGCTAGTAAATGTTAGTCTGTAAGGAAAACAAGTTTTGATTTTAGTAATTTTGTGCATGGATGAATGCTTAACAGAACATGGTTAACAGAACATGGTTAACAGAACATCGTAAATACGTCATTTGCTGACTAAACAATGAATAAACAAACATTTTAACTAATTGGTTTGACTGTCTCTAAATGCAGTAACTTCATATATGCAATCACAACAATAAGGTACGTCGGAGCTCTGTTGAAGAATTTGCGAATATGTTGATAATGTGATCGTTCTGGATTTCATCTAACAGGCGTTTTTCTAAGAACATTAACATGAAGGACTCCAGGTTTGGCTGCGAGATACTACTACGTAATCTGTTCTTTATATATTTTGAAGTGGAAAAGCTTCTTTCACACTCCACTTGTGTCACAGCCAAAGTTACCAGGTATTTATAAGCTTTATAAAGTTCTGAATAAGCAGAGGATTGCATGTTAAACTGGTATAGAAGCTTGAATACACATGAAAAGCAACAACGACATTTTCCTTCACCACCTGCTTGACATAAATCATCATCTGAATCTTGGGCATTCAATGATTCGTCCTCAGAAGAAGTACTTGCAAAGCCTTCTTCGTCATCGGCTCCATAATCCTCTCCAACTGTCTTCATTAGCCTTGGAAATGTTTCGTGGAAATCCAAGAGCTGTTCCCTCAATACGATGCTATCCAGTCCCATCCTCTTGCAAATGCTTTCCAGGGCCTCTTTTGGCAGGCCTTCTTTTTTAAATTCTTCAAAGCGGCGAGGGTCTAAGTATGAAAAATCTTGGTACAGCTCTCTATGATTGGAAAACCTACTTTTTATGCTTTGCAATACTTGATCCATAATCACGTTAAAGACTTCAATTTTGAAGGATTCATGTGGTTCACGAGAGACAGAATCGTCAGCCTCACCAGTGCGTTCATCAAAAGGTAACTTTCTTGTTCGTATCCTTTTTGTAGGTAGCCTTTCCTCTACCACAAAGTCGACATCGAGTTCCGCAAGCTTCCTGTTTGCATTCTTTGAAAAGTTTGTGGCAATCTTTAAAATGTTCTCAAAGTCTCTGCTAATTTTTTCAAGTCTTTCAGTTGCAGAGCCTACCATTCTCCAAACTTGCATGAGATCAAGACCTCTAGTCTGAAGATACTCTGACAATGGTGTGGTGATAGCAAAAATTGCGTGGAAAACAGTGGCTGTGACAATTGTCTCAAATGTCAAGAGTTTTCCTAGTAATGTTCTTGCATCATCCCTAGCAGATGTGTTAAACTCGTTATTGTGAGCTATGCCAGATAAAATTATCAACATGTCAATATACAAGGCGTTTTGTTCGGTGTGAATTAAATCGAAATCTCCAAAGACCTTCTGAATGGCTCCAGCTTTTGCCCACCAGCGCGTCTTACCAATTGTGTTTAACTTCTTCAGTTTTTCTGTTCCAATTTTACCTGCAAGATAGTCATTCCACTGATTCATTCGCTTGTGTGACTCTCTGAAGAAGGTAGCAACTGAATTTAAAAGAGCGAATGAACTCATAGCAGGAGTGGTAGCAGAGGTAGTGTCTCCCAGGACAAGATTCAAGGTATGTGCATAGCACCACACATGAATATTCATGTCTGCAACTTGTTTGATTTTTGCCTGTACGCCATTGTATTGGCCTGACATATTGGCTGCTCCATCAAAACTGTCTCCAATGCAATCTTTAATATCAATGTTGAAGCGTTCTAGGTTTACCTTAATAAGGTCAAACAAATTTTGTGCTGTTGAACCTGTTGCTTGAACAAGAATCAGCAACCTCTCGAAAATATATACCTTTATAATTTCCAAGAAATTTCCATGGTTAAGCGAATCATCGTAAAGTTTGTAAAGTGCCTCGTTTCGCTTTCCTCGGAAAGCGAGTCCTTGCCGACCTAATAATTTTATTGTTTCGATTACTCTTACAAGTACACTGCGTCTGAAATTGATATCGGCGATTTGCTTGTTTAATGACGCATGATCAACTACATTTTCAAGCATAGCCTTAGACCGGTACGCCAAGTATGCTTCGGCGCAATGAGAATGCGATTTCAGCTGCTCATGCTCTTTTATTCTTGTGTATAAGTGCTTCTTATCTTTGATATTACACGAGAATACTGGATCAGCATTGTTTCCAAATGCAAGACATATTGAGCAATGCATAGTCTGATTCTCCGCAAAATACGTCAACCAGTGTCTTCTTATTTTCTCTCCTTGTTCGCATGGGCGGTAATAAGCAAGGTCAACATTAAATGAAGCATCAACACTAGGTTGAACAGGATGAAATTCTAAAAAGGTTTTCAGGCTGGCTACTTTTGGACGCTTGAAGAAGTGGTTGTTGAATGACGCTGAATGTTTTGGGGACGGGCAATCAGGAACAAAATCATTCTCGATTTCCTCGGTGCATGCTTCTGTAGATTTCGTGCTTTTTTGTTCCTCTTCTGAATCTGATTCTTAAAAAAAAGAAGTGAAGAAATTACAAAACTTTCTACTGTAACATCAAGATTGAAAAGCACTAAACGTCTCGAGGCACAAAGAGTAGGGTTAAGTATCTACGTATTTGTTAAAAGTTTCTAACCGAACACTTCACTCTAGCTGAAAACCATTAGTGAAAGGCGTTGGAAAGTAATTGAGATCAGATTATACAATTAACAATTGAGAGTAGAGAGGTGCAGGGTGGGGGTGCTCTCAAGTATCACTAATGGGTCTGGAATAATGGAAGGCTACCAAACCGATGTTTTACCATACATACGCATTTACTCATAAAGAACATCTGATACCTGCTAGTATTCTAAACTAACTGGTTCCAGGATGGGCTGGGGCGACCAGTATGTTTTCGGATAGGAGTGCTCCTTTTGGCTTACCAAAAAAATAGCAGGCCTCAAATTCTAGCCCCAAAAAACAGCGCAAAGATTTGAAACCCAAAAAGAGCCTTTATGTTTAGCTAAAATTCTTCATTTGTTGAAAAATAATTTCTAAACCTCCGTAAAACAACCATGACTTTCAGAAACCCAAAAATATAAATTTGTCAAATTCTGACCCCAAAAGAAAAACATGAGCACCCCTGTTGAAATTTTATCGTGTAGCCCCATACCCCTATGGGGGTCGGGTGCATTTGACTTGATAGTATAGACTTACACTCTTTTTTATAAGGAACCATTTTATAAGGAGCCTACATGTAGAAGGCCGAAATATTTAAAGAACTTATACTACTAAAAACGAAATCCCTAAAGAAATTTTCGATTTGAAAATTTTTTATAACTGCAAGCATCAAGAACTAAACAGCCGGTTCCATTCATTTGCAGCCAATACTCGCGTAGATGTTTGCTATTCGTGTGTCAAGTGCTTCATTGAGTAGTTTCCATCATATGCTGCCTCGCCTCTCTTAAATAGACATTAAATGTAAAGGCCTATCTAGTCAAAACAAATTAAGGAACTATTAAGGAACTTTTGGTACTACAATTTGATGATTTGAGGTCTACGAATAAGGAACTTTTGGAACTAGGCCTTGAAATAGGTTCCTTATAAAAAAAGCCTGCAATGAAGTAAGTGTTTTAGATTTACTTACCATAATTTGTATGAGTTTTTTTAAAGGAGCAAGACGCTGCTGTTTGTTGGGACGTTTGTGGCTTTTGTTTGGTGAAAAAGTTGTCGAGGCTTTGTATCCCAGCTGAATCATTTTTTAAGTCTCGCAGCTTTTTCTCGCGAAGTTTCTGTGCACCACCTTTGGTTGAAGTCTTCTTGCTCTTCCCTCGTTCTACGTATAACCTCTTCATTGCTTCACATCACAGAGCAGATCGCGTAGTGAATTTTTAAACTTTTAAATTTATTACATTTAGCAATAGCTTGTGCTTAAGCAAAAACATGACCAGCTTCAAGCAAAAGCTAAATAAAAAGACATCAGGGCAGGGTAAAATCTCAAGTATCGCATTCAAACGGGGCTGTTGAAGTATAATATGCCGCCAAAAGGGAAATACCGTCAAGAGTATAACAAGGTGTCAATAACATGTTTCCTGAAGAAGTCTCTGGGCTGCGGTGACAATAATGAATTCGTAATTTTGATGGTTTTGAAGTACTCGCGTGCAGTGGCGAAGCTGGCCTTAAGTCAATGGTCATGCTTTGTATGGGAGAAAAAGGGGATGGGGGTCTGGGGGCATAGCCCCCAGGAAAATTACACACAACCACACCCTATAGATGCTCGGAAAAGGGGGGTAACGCCCTTTTTAGTATATTGAATCAAATAGCTCTTGTTTAGATCGCAATCAATGATGTCAAGGACTTCAACATCTAAATGTTTTTTCCACCCCATTCTCCAATGTTGTGTTTTGGAAATATCTTTGGGACAATGTTTTTGAAAAATTGTGCATTTGAAAACCCCCAACAAACACTACTGATCATACTGGAAACACATTGCAGATGAGAGAATATTATATCTACAAATATTTTTCAAAATCTAAACTTTTGATAAATCAGCTTATTTAAATCAGCAAGGGCTAAGAAATATCCATTCTCTTACTATTGATTATTGACACTTTTGATGATGTTTCTGAATTAAGATGAATTAGGCAAGATAAGCCCTCAGTGATAGGTAGGCCCTCCCTTGTTTATGATACAGGGAATTGTGGGATGCTTGTTTCTTGGTTCAGAATTTTATACTTAGCTTCAATTTTATAAGCTTAATTTTTACATATCTAAAACAAATGTATCAAGGATAGTACTGTTTAGCATATACAAAAAGTTTTGACCCCTGTATTTAAGGTGTAACATGCCATAAACATCAACAAGTTAAGTCCAAGCCCAACATCAAGGGCTTTCCTATAACTTTGGTCTTCCATGTTTAAGAAACTCCATAGTTTTCCTGGCAACCGAAAGTCCTGGGGAAATCAAACTGCACTGAGAAGGTTGGCTGTGTGGAAGCTACATATATAGTGTGATTAAAAATCATTTCTAAATTCTATCCATCAGCGAATTATAGTCAAATATCCAATAACAGGCAAGTTCCAGAGTGCAATTTCATTATCATCATCAAGTCATGGTGTAATATTGAATAACAGGCAAATTACAGGGATACAATACATTTGCATTGCATAGGGTACAATGCAAATTACATACATGTATTAACAAAAGTTATAGAGTAATATTGAATAAACAAGCAAATTTAAGGGTACAATTTCATTTATCAACAAAAGTTATGGTGTAATATTGAATAAACAAGGAAATATAAGAGTACAATTTCATTTATCAAAAAAAGAGTTGGTGTAATATTGAATGCAGGCAAATTTCAGGGTACCATTTCATTTATCAGCAACAAGTTATGGTGTAATATTAAATAACAGGCAAATTGCAAGATGCAATTTGAATTTTATTTTATACACAACAAGTTATGTTGTAATATTGACTAAACAAGAAATTTTTAAGAGCACAATTCTTTCTATCAACAACAGGTCTTGGTGAAATATTGAATAAACAGGCAAGTTTTCAAAGTACAAGTTCGTCCCTCTCAGCAACAAGTAAGGTTGTAATATTGAATAAACCAGATAGAATGGACAGGCAATTTCCATCCATCATGTAAAATTCCATCCATCAGCAACAGGTTATTGTGTGATTTTGACAAAACAGGAAATTTTCAAGAGTACACAGGCAGCCATGAGCAAGAGGTTTTGGTGAAATACTGAATACACAGGCAAGTTTCAGGGTACAAGTTCGTCCATCAGCAACAAGTTATGGTATGATCAGCAACGTAGTGGTAGGATTCTTCATCGATAAGGGTCGGCCTTTGGTTTTCAATTACAATTTTGGTTTACAATTACCTTGCTCAGCCACACGCAAGTGATCCCTGTAGCAGTTAATAGACAATATATCTCTCGGAAATAGCTTCGATTGAATTTCCCCACTCCCTTGCAGCAATGTTTCTCAGCTCACAAGTAGACCTTAGATACTTCATGTATGGGAGATTTAGGTCGGTCATGCTGAAAAAAATGAGCATGACTTGGGGTCCAAAACGGGCCAAGATAGCATGCGCAAGATAGAATTCAGCCAATCAAATCAGTGCTAGGTTTATGATTATAATGACGAGGTCATGCTATTCCAAATGAGCATGACTTACCGCAGGGATACCAACTGAAAAGTCATTTAAACTCAGCCGACTCACAGGAGCGGTTGGGCTCTCTGAGGAAAGAAACCCTATGGCAGGTCATGCTCTCCAGAATGAGCATGACTAACCACAAGGGACCAAGGTAGGGAAGGGCAGTGAAATAATAACAATCAACTGGACGAATGGAGTTTTGAGGGTACTTTTTCAATAAAGAAAAGTTTTAATCATTATAATAAATGTCTTAAGCTCTGAAAATTTTTAGTCATGCTCAGCATGACCAGCATGACCGCTAGCTTCGCCACTGCTCGCGTGTATATTTATTCTTTTCCACAAAGTCTCTGGAAATTCAAGGCAAACAGATCAACGCATGGGTATATTTTTTTCGCCTCGCATTAACTTTTTAAACCAATTTATTTTTTTGCACTTTTATCAACCGGCCCTTAAACCGACCGGCCCTTCGGGCGATCGCCCGAATAGCCCGACCAGCCAGTCCGCCCCTGCAGTTACCGAATTGGCAAATAATGAAATCTGCAGAATGAAGGAATATCTTAGAAAACAATGGAGGTGCACTTGCCGTTTTGGTCCCTCCAGGCATCTACCAGGTATCTACCATGCATTAGAATAAATAACTCAATTGGCGCCAAGTTAATCCCTATCCTTACGTTCGCTGCAAAAATCTTCATGTTTTCAAGGTCAACGGGAAAAGCAACAGAAGTTTGGATCTGCACACAAAATTTATCAATCATTCAAAGTCCCGAAATGATGGCTTATCGAAAAATGAAGCAGAACGTAAAAGAATACCTGAGCACCAACTTTAAGCTCGAGACGTTGCTTAACAGGCAGATATCTGTCCATTTGATTTGTGAATAGGGAATCGCTATCCACAGCTTGAAAAACTTTCAATTCACCCCTGAGCTCCTTCATTTTAAGATTGTTCATTTCATCAACATCATCCTTGTGAGTGCAAAGTCTTGTCGCTTGTATGCCATGGCGGTTATTGACATTAGAGGTTCCATTTTCCAGTACGGCCAGAATTTCTTCCGGGCACCTAAAAAAGTTTACTTCATTATTTTTCTTTGAAAGGTACATCTAGGTTCAGAAGAACATATTTAAGCTCAGAGATTTACTCGATTCTCTTCAGTTGTTTGCTCCATTATGACTACTCCCAATCTACAAGATGTTTTTCTATAACCTTCCTCAAATATTTTCTTATACGTACACGATGAGGATATGGTGATCATGATTGTATAAAACAGCTGATTTCAGATTCCAACACATTAAAAAAGTATTTCGTTAAAAATTCCTCAGAATTTGTGAATTATTTTGACTTGAATCTTGCATAAATTTCGATTTCTTGAAGATAAATTAACAAAAACTGATATTTGAAATAAAAACAGCCTGCGTCACAAGATAAGTCCAGTCTGTATGTTTAAGCCTCGGCATGGCAAATGACTAGAGCTTGCAATATCGTTATGCAAATTTATTTCTCTTATAGGCTAAAAACTTACTTTCCAAATCTGATGTATTGTAGAATATTAATAAAGGATGTATCATCTTGACGTTTCACTTCCGTTAGTTCAAAAACCGAGTTGACACAATCTCTCCAGCTTTCAGCCTAAATAAAAGAGCAATTATTTAGATAGCACAGGTATATTTGAAGCTTTAGCATAATTAAAACAGTGCTCTTGCTTATAACTGGATTATAAAAACATCTTATATTGATGGTGATCTGCAGTTCTTTGAAGACTATTTATCAATTTTCTTCCCGTGTCCATTGCTGCTTTACATTTGATTACAGACTTGCCTTTTGTTGTGGAATCTGAAAAACTAAAACATTCCAAAGCATACTCCACACATATTTGAAGGACCTGCTTGCAAAAATTTTTACCTACCTATCCTAGCCAAAAGTAACTTGGGTATATGTACTTTTAGTCAGAAAAAAGAGAGACAGATTTTTATTGTAAGATCTTAGCCAACCCAACCAAATAAGATTCAAATGTCAGATAGCTTTGTAAAAGAAAGGTTCTGATGATTTCGATATGACTTCTGATTATAAAAGGATGAGAATAAATCATCTCCCAATTAGTTTGCACTTAAAAGGTAAAAAGGAAGTGTTTTCATAAAAGTTCAAGAGGGATCCAAGTTGCTACAAAATTTCAAATGGGGGGCTAGGCCAAGGGGCTTTTTTAGATTTTAAAAACTTCAGCCAATGGTGACCAAAGAGGCTTAAGTTATTCTCAACCAAAGAGGCTTATAATAACTGCAGATACCTTGCTCATACAATCAATAAAATAGCATGCTTTTAGCAAGCCTGGCCATTCATTATTTTGCTGATGAACTTTGAATTGCTTGCCTGACTTGTTCAGATGAGCTATATCCATGACAAAATTGATGTGTATACTTGAAATTTGTGCTGTATGAGCAAATTGATGCTGTAGTATTTAAAGTAATTTTCCCTTCAACCTCTGATGTTGAAAATTTTGCTGGCACATCTTTTCAAGATAAATCTTATTAGAGCTCAGAAATACACAGCTTCTTTCATGTTTTCTTTAGGAGACTGATTCACTGCTCCATTGAGCACATGTGGAGAATAGTGAAGGGAGCACAAGCTATTTCTCACCCCAAAAGTAGAGCAGTTTCTGCTTTTTAATGAAACTTTACCTGAAAACAGAACTTTTTCTTCACTTTTGAATCTTTAATTACTGGTGGCAGCTGCAGAAAATCTCCACAGAGAATCAGCTGAATCCCTCCAAATGGAAGGTCACTTTTCCGAATGTACCTGGCTACTGCTTCAATTTTATCAAAGTAACTAGCTTCAACCATTGATATTTCATCTATGATCAAAAATTGGCATTTTTTCCACTGTTGTTTCACTGAAGGCCGTGATGATAATTCATAGCATTTTTCTAATGAAGCACCACCAGTTCCAATCCCTGAGAAATATACAAATATATTTTCATTATAGTCTCAAAACATACTAAAATAATATGGAGGAAAACACATGAAAATGCAATGATACATTGAATAAAAATAAGTTTTAAGATATATGCTTTTAATGGTGGCACATTTATGAACTATTCTAGATTTAGGTGAGTTAGTTTTCTGGTATATAACTATCAGCAACATCTTTTCAACTATTCCCAATCCAAAGAATACAAAAAGAATTTTAGGAAGTATAGCATTGTGGCTGGTTTTAGGGTTCAAGGGCACAAATAAGATTAAATTTGGGGATACCTTTTACTGGGGTAGCTGAAATGTTTTTTGGGAACTGGCATTCTTCATTTTCTGAAGTCAGAAATCTGGAATTGGCAAGTTTTAGATTCTGGAATTGATGGTCAAGAATTGAGCTATAAATTTTTTCAGTGGGATCGATTCTCAAAAACAACACTTCTATGATTGATGCAAGCAGCAAAAGGAAATGAGAGGAAATTCTACTATTAGCAGATAACAGGAATGGCTGTTAATAGAAGTGTTATTCATTCATACCAACCCTTCAAATCATACTTACTGTGACAGCCCTCAAGTCCATATGTTGGTGGTTATTCTTGCTACTTTTTAATAAAACTTGACCAATAAGAAACTTTAGTATTATAAAAAAATACTCTTATGAGAAAGTTGTATATCAGAAGCTGAGACCACATATAACTAGTTAAAAAATAAAAATAAAAATTGACCTGCAAATGAATGTAGAGTGATTCCACCAATATGACACGCAGCAATTCCTGTACTTGCAGATGCAACTGTAGATGCAGGGGGTAAAGCACCGATTATTCTCTTCAGAAGATAGGATTTCCCCGTACCTGCACATCCAGTAAAGAAAACATTTTTGCCCAGTAACACTGCATCCAATACCTCTCGTTGTTCAGTTGTCATTTTCAAATGTATCTTTTTGTCGACATTTGGTGTGACTTTTGTTATGTTCTCACTACTATTAATTCTTTTTCGGGGTAAAGAATAGCCATCTTCCTTTCCTCGCTTCCTTTTGGGTGTTATGTCTGTAGCATGAACTCTAGATTTAAGACCCGAAGGCACCTTCTGGTTTGAAGGACTTTTGTTGCCCTGCTTAGATTTGTCCTGAAAAACCAAGCAATCCTTTTCCGTAAGTGGACTAATAAACTGGAATTCCTTTCGTACAGTGCTGTAAAGTCTAGCCTTATCTGTTGCATGACCTTTCATAATTCCGAGTTTAATTGCAAGGGTTTTAAGAAACATCGCAAGCCTGTCAGGAGGACAATTTGATATGAGAATCTGTGTTTTATCTTGTGTTCTTATTGAAGCCTTCCCCTCTCTGAGAAACTTTTTAAATATCTTGACATTCTTCATAATAATATCTTGAGTCTTTCCAGTCTTTTTAGTAGCAATTTTGATCACGATGTCTCTGAACTGATCCCTGCCTAACGACACCATGCAGTTATTTAATTTCTGGCTCTTGGTTACATTCCCTGTTGGTGTCAAACTTTCGATGGCGACACAGCAATCAAGCTCGTACTGTTCTACTTGCATGTTTGTAGGCTTCAAATGAGTCAAATGGATACCTGGGAAATCAGCGAAAATTCCAGCGAAATTTAATTAAAGAGCTTTCCTTCGATCTGGGAAGACATCTTCACTTCGAGGCGGTCATGATTCAAATATTCCCACAACAAAATAGGCAACCAATGAATGCTCGAATCGAGCTCGAGTCTCGCTACCAGAACGAGGACGTCCGTACTAAATCCCGGACCAGCCAGCGTGGATCTCAACACCCAATTAAAACAGGTAAAAATCCAAAGTTCAAATTCCAAACAGAAAATTAATTATCGGGAAATAGAATTATAAAAATCCTTTCTTTCAAATGCAACACTAATTTTTCCGAACCTTCTCAAACTATGGTGCAACTCCAACAACTCTATTCTTCCTATGCACATGAGGTGCCATCTCATTCAGGGGCGAAAATACCGGAGGGGGGGGGGGGGTATGGAGGCACACCCCCAATCTACAAAAAGTCAATTTCACAGGGCAATAGAAAAATTCGCAGGGGACCAAGAAGAGATTTATTGCCGCGCAGAAAGGCCACCTATGAAGTTCGTAAAGGGCCGTTTAGGAATTTTGAAATGGAAATATCATATTTGATTCTTGGCATTGCATTTAAGCGATGATATTAACATACATTGCATGCAAGTACGTGAATATCATAGTTTTGGTGGATTTATCTCAGGAAAAGTGTGCAATTTATATACCTGCCATTAGTTTTAAAACAACAAGCTCAGGCACAACGGTTAAAAACTATGCGATGATTTACTGCCAGCAAAACGTAGATAAGAGACACCAGTAAAGTTTGAAAATCAAAACCAAGCAAGTGAAAAGTAGATCGGACAAAGTTGTCTGTTGACAAATATGATGGCTCTTTGAAAATTTTTTTTTACCAACTGTTAAATTACATAATAACCGATTGTGCACACAGTTGCTGGAGTAGCCAGCCACACAGGCTAGCTTGAAGGCGTTTCGCTGTTCTGCTGGGTAAACATGAGTCCAAACATCACGGTAATTAAATTCTTCTTACGCTCAATTTATCTTAACAATTAGAATATACTTTGCAGACACGCCTGCTCTTGATTGCCTGGTTGAAATCGCTACCAATTTAATTGCAGCGCTACAACAGTTCGTTTCAGCAGCTGCATGTTGTAGGGTGGATTTTAAACCCGAAGATCAGTCTTTAGATAAAAGCAAATGCAGAAGGCGATTTATCAATCGTACTGTACTATACTTATGGAAAAATAAAAAATATTTTAGGTTTTATTCTGAGTCAGTAATTTCATTCAAATCTCATTCAAATCTTACTGTATTTTCTTAGTATTTTTTAAAGAGCTAGTCAAGCCCGTAGCCAGGCCTGTGGAGTAGGGGTGGCAAATCCCCAGACCTTTTTCATTAAGTTTTCTTTTAAAGTTTTTGCTTAGCAGCAAAAGTTTTTTGAGCGCCAGGAACCATCCTAAGAGATAACACGAGCAGTGACGTGCTGGGGATGAGATCACAGGGGGGGGGGGCAAAGGATCCAAATGGCGCCCCCTCATTTAGCTACATTCAAATTTTCCTTCATAGTCGTTGAATTGTGTAGAAAAGTACAAGAGCTCGGAAGCACGCCGATCTATATCTAAATATCTGTGGCGTACCGGAAGACCTTCAAATGAGGGGAGAGAGGCAGGGACGTCACTTCACTAATTTTTTGGGGGGGTGTAAACACTATTGCCCTGCAAAATTTTTCCTGTAAAACAAGTATAGATGTACTGTACTTATGCATATATTACATGAGTACATATATTATTTTCAAAAAGCAACACAAACCAACAATCGCAATAAAAAAAGTCAATAATTAGTCTACTTTCACACTAATTTACTTAATTGAAATTCTTCTCATTTTTTTTCATGCCATACTTTTAATACTCTATCAAGTGGGATAGTGTCTGTTAGGTCTTTCTCACAAGCAAGTAGAATGAGATCATTCAATCGTTCATCATTCATCCTTGATCGCAGCAAATTTTTAACAATCTTAAGTTTGCTAAAGGTTCGCTCGTCTTTAGCCACAGACACAGGTGCTGTAAGAAGAAGGCTGTAGCATTTGTAAACCGTTGGGAAAAGTCGTCTGTTTTCATATGAAAATTTGGCAGCCTCTTTGACGGAAGTTGGCTGGATCTGTTGCTGTTCAATCATTGACTTAAAAACATCTAGCTCGCATAATATAACCCCTGCTTCAATATGAAAGCCTGGTGGGAAAAGCTTTCAAAGATCGTGGACTGTTTCTGGGTTTATCGTTTTGAGTGGTGGCTGCAACGCCATTGCCAATGGCTCAATTTTTTTTAAGCATGCCTTGATATTTTCACCATACTCTGCTATCAGAGAATCGAGAACAACACACATTTCCGTTCTGTAGAAGGAATTAAATTTAAATTCCGCTGATGTTTCTGGACCGTTGTCAATCTTTCTTGGCTGCAACGTGAGTCGATATTTCCACTAAACTCAGCCGCTGAATCTATTCCATGCTGTTTAGCGCACTCGTTTAGAGCATCCAACTCTTCATCCATAGCCTTGTTATCAATGCGAATCTTCTTAAGATTTTCTACTGTTGCTTCAATTAACTTCATCGCATCTAGGATGTTAAGCTCTTCTGCTTGGAGTTGCATCGTCAAAATCTTTGTTTTCTTCATAATTAATCTCATGAACATCAGTGCAAAAAGAAAGTCAAATGACAGACACTTTTTCTTTATGTCTTTACCCTTCACTTTTACCCTTCATTTCTGTGCTGTCGTCACTGACAACTTTTTCAATTGCTTTGAGTATGCTTTGTAAACTTCGCCACACTGCTTCCATCGACTCTGAAGAGTAGACCCATATCGTTTTAGACATGTTGCGGAGTTTCAAGGAGTACTCATCAACTTCTTGAACTTCTTTATTGTAAATTTTGTTTCGTTTGGAGCTGGCACTGAAGAAAACATATATATCTTGAAGATTATTGTATATCGACGTAATTATGGCACTTTGTTTTGCACAATGCTCTTTGAAAGTATTAGATCGATGCCCTTGACATGGAATGTACGGGACTGGTCTTTCAAGAATATCTTGTAGAACCCTCTGTGCCCCTGCAATTCTCCCAGACATATTATTTACGAAATCGTATGTTTGGAAGCAGAGATAATTCACATGAATTTCATTTGCTTCCAGACACTTGAGAATACATTCTGCTGTCTTATCTCCATGTTTGTCATTGCACTCTTTCATTTCCACGACTCTCTCGCGCGCAATTCCATTTTCACCAATATATCTTGCAGCCACAACCATTTGATCCGTATTGCTAACATCGGGTGTTGTATCGGCCGAAACCGACAACATTTTAGCACACTCAATCTCATCTTTTCATCTCATCTCATCATCATCATCTCATTCTTTCTCTAACATTCTCCCCCAAGATCTCTAAAAGTTCATTTTGTGAACTAGAATCATGTATTTCGTACTGAAAGGCTTCAATCGTTTGCTATCAAGCCATTCTTTCATCTGTAGACAGTGCCTGGACAACTGGACAACATTCACAAACTGGACAAAATTGCCGTTCTGGTCTCCTGCGGAGCCTCTGAAAGCAATTCCTTGCCTTGCCAATGTTCTAGCAATATCAAATAAAATGTTCATTATCGATTTGCATTTTTCTTCGTCAGCCTTCTCCTGAATGATGATGTCCTTCAGATGCCTATTCATTTGAATGTCAATTTGTCCTTGTTCGATTGAAAACCTAGCAAAATCAGCCAATGCTACTTGGTGTGCTTCAGAAGAAAAATGCTGAGCAAGCTTGCCACTTTTCATTTTATGCCATGATGCGATACCGTTTATCCAAGCAGTGTCACTTTTTCTTCGCGAGGGGCACGGAAATAAGAAACTCACTTTACAATACCACAACAAATCGGAAAAACTAACATATGTTTTGGATTTGATAAGAAAGTAAAATGAATTAAGATATTTTGTGAAACTTGATTTCTAATCTCTTTTGACCTGCGAGAACTACTAATTCCTTCTGCTTTGCCCTGCAAAATGCTGTTTTTCAGGATTGGGGGGGTGAAACACCCCCCAAACCCCCCCAATAGTTACGTCCCTGGAGAGAGGGTAGTCAATCACTGACAGGACATGAAAGAGAATTTTCAAATAGAGTATGCTATTCTTTGTCAATCCTAACAGTATTTTTGAGTATCATTGTAGCAGGTGTATCGTTACCCTGGGTACCAGACTCACGCTAAATACATTGTGTTGATTTATAACATCTATTTACATAACAATATCAGACCTTCCAACCCTTTAGATCTATATATCAAAACAAGCCAAGGATATTACTACAATACACTGTTCGATGACGGGACCATGTTTGTCGCCGAAGGAAAGGGAAACTTTTGAATTTTGAAGCTTCCAGTTTGCTGAAAACTGCATTTTTTGAAGCAATTCTCAATAACGCAAGCTTTCTATGAAAAAAATATCGACAGACTGAAAGCTATTTTATGGTTTTAATCAACTTTCTGGTGTCGTTGTTTAAAATTTTAGCTTATCTTCAGATAGGGACATAATCTCTCGGCTTTTTCTTCCTAGCATTGCAGTAAATCAAAACTCCTTGCACTTTTCCAATAATTTTAGGGGGATCCCTAACAAGGAAAGGGAGAAAGGCGGCTAGAAGAGAGGAAGGTGAGACCAAGTTGTTTTATTTTAGCTTCGAACGATGACATGAGTCTGGGCAGCAAGAATAGTGACAAGAGAAATAAACAAAAATTACTGATTGCATAATTTTGACCAAGGATTTTTTTAACTCTAAATGGCAATTATTACTAAGTAAAGTTGATAAGCATGGTCATTGATATGCAGTAGACAGCAATGGCTCCAATGGCAATGCAGAGGCAACAAATCAATACTTTAGAGCTTGGTGCAGCTAGTCCTCCCATTTTCTCTGTTGTGAAAACCAGCATCTTCACCTAAAGAATGAGATTGAAACATCTACGTTCAAGGATGGGTGTTGTGCTAAGGGAAAAACAAGGGGATTTTTAAAAGATTTCTGCCCGGCCAAACTAGGAAACTTTGGCATACGATGTTCATATTTCACAAATGTTCACAGAATGTTTCCTAGTTTGGCCACCATGTCATATGACAAAGCCGACAAAAAATTTTCACAGCGATGTTTGAAGGTCGTTAAACAATTCGTGTAACATTTTCTCGTATGTAACAAATATTTGCTAGTTTGGCCTGATGCTGTCGGACAATTCAATTCAATGCTGGTCACATCCGCGCGCGGTCTACTGCGCAGTGCACAAAACACAACGATAGTCTTGACTCTTGAATTCGAACTTATTACTTGAACTTTAGTAGATGAACTTATTGGACTACCAAATTTTGTTGACTGCTTTGTAACATTGGAGCTATAAAGTGCATTGTTTGTTGAAACTACTTGTGCCGGGTTATCATCATTTCTATTTAGGCCCCATGTTTTCAATAGCAATTTTCTTGACCCAAGAAAACAAACCCAACTGATCCCTCCTCTGTAACCACTGTCTAACTTTGCAAGATTATTTTGTTTTGGGTTTTACGTAGTTCAGACCTTCCTAAAACGGGCATTATATGCAGGCAACTGCTCTTTGCTTTATCTCCATTACAGCTTTTTCCTTTCAGATTTTCCCACTAATTACCAACAAAATCAACAACAGCAAAATGTTGTCAGACAAGTTTCGCTACACAAATTTTGGGTCACACAAACAAATGAAAAAATAATTTGCGTTCTTGCCACAATGTCACATGACAATGATTTCTAGCTTGGTATAGCCTTTAGGAAAATAATCAGGTTTAACTAAAATTTGGTCACCTTTTCCTATTTACTAGAGCGAATGAGATTTAAATCGGACTCTTGGTTGTGAGATGAAAAGTAAAAAAATCCAGACAATTATTTGGATTCTTTCAACACCTTGAAGAAATCTGGGACATGTTAACCAGCTATTTGTTCATTTTGTTAATAATCCGTCTATTTAATGTTGTATCAGCAAGGTCTTTTGTGTTTCTACCAGTGGCTTCGCCAGGGGCGGATCCAGAGCAAATTTGAAGCAGGGGCAGTTGGTAGTGGGGGCGCTAAAAAATTTTCAAAAATTGGTTACGAGGGTACGCTGTACACAACAATTTCAGATACCTTCTCAGAATAAACAACATAACTTTGAGGTAATCCTTGAAGCAAATTACCCTATCGGTCCAAGAACCTTTTTCATCTGATTCTCATTCTTCAAAAGGGGCGCACAATTTCCAAAAAGGGGCGCCAGACTTGCTTCAACTCGTTGAGGGAGGGGCAACTGCCCCTAGTTGCCCCCCCCTTAAATCCACCACTGGGCGTCGCCACGGGGTGGACTGGGCTGATCAGATTGTTTTCGATTTTCGCACAGTCAAAAAAGCCACCTTTACGAAAAATGCTGCTTGAGAAAGTTGCTTGTCCAAAAATTTCAAATTAGATAACCGAGCTGGTGACGCCACTTGTTTCTACAGAACTGTTTCTTTCCAATTTTTCAATTTGATTTAGGAAGAATGTCCATAATTGTGAAAAAGAGACTACTGTATTTCGCTGTGTATTAGACGCAGGTAGCATTGCGGTTTGAACGAATTTTCTTCCACAGATTTAGTGTCTATAGTTTTCTTGAGTTGAAATATACATGCTTCACAGGCACTGAGAAAATAAGGTGCGTCTTGTACAGGGTAGGACACTATTTTTTCAGAATTCAAACATAGAATTAAGGGTGGGTCTTATGCAAAATACGGTAGATGAAATTCAGGATGCATCTTATACATGGCATAATACAGTAGATGAAATTCACAGGAGTGTCATCAGATAGAAAACATTTAGAGGCAGCTAAGTAGGCGTCTTGCATTGAAATTATTTGCTTGTTTGGGATAGGCCTCGTTGTAAAGGCTGTAGTCCTCTCATGTCTCAAACACCCTTAGAAATTCACATGAATAAAATCATGCAATGTCTGTGACCCTTAGCCTTATCCCTACTTTATTGGGCGAATAAACGGAACTCATTAACCAAATAGACATTTAATAAGCATTTTATTGTGTAAATAGCATTTTAAGCATTATGATTTTATCAGTCTACGATATCAAATTTTATCTCAAATAGAAAGTAGAGAGGGGCTTGCTGAAGTAATAAATAGCCATACTTACAGCTTTATCTAGTTTTTCACTGAATCTTTCAAACGAAAAATTTTCTAAGACATGATCATAACCAGCATTTCCTAATACTTCAACAGATGGACCTCTGTCTGCTATTTTCTTCATTGCAGTTGAGAAAGCCAGAGGATTTGGATCACAAAGGAAGCCAGTTACATCATTTAAAACAGTTTCAAGAGGCCCGCCAGAATTGCATGCTATCACTGGGCATCTCATGTACATAGCTTCAATGGGAACTAAACCAAAATGCTCTTTGCTTGGAGTATAAAGTAAGCAAGTTGAAAACTTCAACAGTGCCACTCTTTCCTTGTCACTAAATGATCTGATGAAAGTAACATGGTCAGATAAACCATTTTCTTCTGCGAATCTTCTGAGTTCTACATAATGCTCTTTGTTTTCAATAACTCTGTCATCATATCCTCCTAAAAGTACAAAATAAACAAATGAATAAATAAATTATAAACAAATAATTAAACAAATAAATATATAAATAAATAACTGCTATCTTAGGGCTCTCTTTTTGCACTTCTGATCAACGCCTATTCATACTCGAGCTTACAGTAGGATATGAAACTAGCTTGGATGTCAATGCTAACCGCAAAAGAGAGAAATACTTGCATCTCATTCACAGCCTAAGCTCAGCCTATTCTTCTATCATGTTTGTTAATCTTTCTATCAGTTCCCTAGGTATCTTTGGTCTCTCCTGCTCCTCTTTCATCAACATGTGCAACGCTCTAGATATCAGCAAGAATCATCTCCGCTTCATGATCTCCAAACTATCCAACTTAACTATCTGTACTACAGAAATAAGACTTCGAATAATCCTAAACTACTTCAATTCTAACGATCTCTGCTACTGACAACTTCTAAAACAAACAATGACGAATACACTTTTTCCTTTTTTTGTTGTTGATAATTTCTTTTGTTTGTGCTTGTAATAGTCTTTTTCTTTGTGAACCCAGGCTAGCCAATTGCAAATTACCTTTGTAATAGTGAAATTTGTTATTATTATTATTATTATTTTCATTATTATTATTATTATTACTATTTTTATTATTTCTATTATATACCAAGCAACTGTTTCACAGGGGCCTGTTTGTCTTGGGTTTTACAAACTCACTTGAAAGGGGCCCACCACGAAATTTCCTGGTGTCCAGCCTAGCCACATCACTCCTGTGTCAAGATGAAAAGGGGCTAAAAATTGTAGGTGAGCAATTCGCAGTTCACTTGGCTGACACATACAGACCTGTCTGTAGTATCCATTTTATTTTGGACACATGAACGCATATATATTAATATATTATACCCTACATCTATGGTTGAATTATCCATTCCAAGATTGCAGATTTGCTTCTTTTCTTAGCCTCTGTGTTCAATTCAAAACAACACTTTAGGGAAACAATTAATCAATTTGTTTTTCAGAATTTGTTGAGCATTCTGAAAAGTTTGATTGGGTGAAAATATATTATGCTTATTGCTAGGTATTCATTTCACTTAAAAGTACCACTTTATAACATACAAGAATCTGTTTAAAGAAAATACTATTACTTTAAATTGACTTTTAGTTATCTGCCTCAATGTGTTTTACATACCAGCCATTATCAGATGTGTCTTTCTCCATACATCCTCATCAACTTTCATTTTGTACTCCCTCATTGACTCCAATGCTAAAGCAAGATTCTTTTTTCTCTCATATCGGTTAATGGATAGAAATATATATTTGCAAGTGGGAGGTATGATATCCTTCAAAACACTCCTGTCTGCATCAATTTCAAAGCTTTTGATATTGATGGCAGGGTATAAGACTGTGACAGGCAAGTTCTTTAGTGATTTGAATGTCTCCCTGAATGTCTCTGCTGTAAATTTACTGTTCACCATGACATAATCTGCCATTCCTATGGTATAAATGAAAACAGTTTTACTATATATATAAATATACCGTCATTCCTCGAATTAGCCCCCTGAGGGCTTATTCATTTTTGATATTTTTGGAGGGGGGCTTATTCGAGAGGGGGGCTTATATGAGGGAGGGGGGCTTATAAAATTATTGTAGACAATAAGAAGACATTATTAAAAGACCTTGTTTATTTTATCAGGAATTTCTTTATGAGCATTCAATTCAGTTTTCAGTGAGTACATAAGGTGATGTGCACATAATCGTTTCATCAAAAGATTTTGAGTGTGACCATTTCATCTTTGTTTTCACTTAAAAACATATTCAAAGTACTTGTTTACATCATTGCAGGCCTCAGCATCTTTACTAATCAGGGTAGTAAAATAAAAGTATTTACCTGTAGTTGTCTCTTCGAGCCAATCTAATGGCTTTCTGTAGATAGCTTTAACAATATTTCTCCTTTGGGTGAGCAAAAGATCTGGAAAATGGCAGTAAAACATAACTCTGAATTTTCCTCGCAGCTTTAAAAACGGTATGCATGCGGACACCTGATCACAAAATATTACGTCTGGGCAAAAGTCAGAAACAAACACTAAATACATCGCCACGAATATCATACGAATGTAAGCAAATAAGGCATGTAAACGTCCAAATAAGTGCCTAGGCAGCCAGTCCCCAACAGCGGTGACATCGAGAGTTCCATCAATTGTTTCCCTGAAACAATGCTTGGCATCGTGGTGTGAAGTAAAAATTCTAATTTTATGTCCTTTGGTTTTAAGTGCCACTGCTGCATCAACGACAAACCTTTCAGCTCCGCCAATGCCGAGATCTGGGTGAATAAATGCAACATATACCATGATTGCTCCAACAACGTTTAGGCCAAACTGACAACTTCTTTCTGCACCTCCTTCTCTCAAACGAAACTAACTTTCATAATGAACTTGAAAATTGCAAAAAGCAGAGCTTCATCAGACTTCCAAAATCCTTTTTCACTAAAATTTACAATGGCATGTCGTACTTATTAATCGCACACCATACAATTTTCCCTTCGTTGCAACGTGTTGTATCGACGCCCGCGGAAGTGAAGCCTCGTCTACGAACGTAAAAGTCTCAGATCGACGACAGCTTGTGGCAGCCAATGAAATGGCAGCGTCAAAAATAATCATTCTGAATGTTCTAAGCAGTGGTGCCTTGTAGGGGTTCTCAGCCCCCTTGTTATACTCCAGAGAGATTTGGGGAGGGCTCAGCCCCTCAACAATTGAATTCATATTTGGTTGGACAAATTCTGTGTTGGCAACCCTTCATTATACTATAGGTTTCTCGTGAATGAGCCATTTCTTATCAGTTTTTGTGTCATCGAATAGTTTAATGATTTCTACACACAACGGAGTGTCTTAAATGCAAGTATATTTGGTGTGGCAAGGGTGTGTTCATGGGTGTGGCCTCTTGAATTTGCCTACATCACAACCCCCCATTCCTAACGTTTTAGGACAGCATCCCTGGTTCCAAGAACCCCCGCAGAAAAAGAAATATTGATACGAATGACTCACATTGAATTGAAGCTACCATATTTCACAAAAAAATTGAAGCTACCATATTTCAGCGAAAAATTATGCCAGAGACAAGGAAATTTTATGATAGACATTGCCTTTAATATTGAAAATTTTGGCCTGTTTGTTAAATATTTACCATTTTTTTCTGATGATGCGACATGTCGACCGTTGGTCTGGTCTCCTTGGTCTGAAATGACCCTATAGGTACTTTATTACAAAAAAAATGGAAATGGGCGAATCAAAATACTGCACACTTTTATGGGCGTCTTTTATCTGAAATATAGTGTTACTATTGCGAATAAATACTGAATTCGAGGCTACATTGATAGTAAGTTACTCTGATAAAAAACTGATAGAGAAAAGGTTGGTTTTGGAAGAGTTCCTCCTAGGGTGGTCATTGACAGCTCATTCACAGGCTGTGTCCTAGTTTTTGACAAAACCCCCTGTATCTCGGAAAAGCGACTATTCACACCTGATCAACATCCAGCTTCAAATTCTGCACCAAAAACAGGTTTAGTAAAGTTTCTCATCGGGTGACCATTGCCAGTGGCGAAGCTAACCAAGAACAGGTGGTCCTGCCCAAAGGGGGTCTGGGGGCATAGCCCCCAGAAAAATCACGTGAAGCCACGCCCTAGACACCCCCGGAAAAGGGGGAAACGCCCTTCCGGATATGTCGAAATCAAGATTGCAGCGAAACATTTTTAACTGCCACATTTTGGAAAAAAGGGGAAAAAGGCTCGGATCCTTTCAAGTTCCTCCTGCCTTACATTGAAGAAGTCAAAAGAGCATCACAAAAATTCTTTCTAAAATAAGCAACATTTGAAAATGTTTTCATTGATTAAAAATTTTGAAATCATTGACTAAAAAGAAATTGCTTGTACAGATAGGCATATACAGTTGTAATACATACTGGAAACATAATTGATTCAAATTATTTGAAAAAAAATAAAAATATTTTGTCACAGCATGGATATGTCTGATGCACGGTAGATAGGGTCTTGAATCAATTTGGTTTGAATATTAGAGGAGACCCTTAACATTTTGCCAGTACAATACAATCTGAGTCACCGAGTACAAAAGCTCCCAGTAATTACCATTGTTTTCCTTTTCATCCTTTTCAAAGCGACCTTTTCATCGGGACCTCTGAGTTGTAGGGTAGTTCCTGTTTAAGGCAGGAGGACGAACTTCTGAAATTAAATTTAAGCAAGCCATTTTTCTGTCATGCACACTCCATCTCCCCTCGATCTCGACTTTTCTGGTACAAAAAAAACGAAGATTCTCTCTCGGCAGCGGCGGCAAATTTTTCTACTGTTTATAATAGGCCTCTGAATATGACTTCCTTTGCCCTCTGCAGTCTGAGAGAAAACTATATGCTGTCAGGTTCCTCGCGATGTCTGTGATATTCCTGACTTTAACAGTAAATAGGACCAACAGAACGACCCTAAACAATTAGATTTCTATAAATGCCACTCGACTGAAACGATCGATTCTTGTATAAATCAAGTGACGACAGTGTAGGGCCGAAGCTTCCAGCAGCAAAAACTTCTTCAGCAGCTGAATCATGACGTCTACAGTTAGTTTTATACATGATATCAAAATAGTTAAGCCTGACTATGGCCTGAGTGAAAATTCTTTGTGACCTTTGACCACGGCGCAGAAAATCAACAAATTATACCGAAACATAGGGCTCCAAAAGTCTAGGTCCTGCCTTCATGAAAGAGCAGGACCTGAGGTCCTGCCATTTCTGAAGGGCAGGAGTGCTATTGTTTTCTTCTATTGTGAGGCAGGACCAAAAACAGGGCTACAAGGCGTTTGCCCATTGTTAGGCAGGACCAAACATAGGGTTTAGTCCTGCCTACGAGTATTGAGCAGGACTGACCACAGGGCTAAATTTTTGACGATATCAATTTACGAACGGGATACTCGAAATTCCATTCCAGTCACCCTGTGTCTCAAAATTGAAAAAGGGCACAGCCACGAAGTATAAGTGTAGAATAAGACAAGAAATGCCTTTGAATCAGGCATATAATGATTTCATAAAGTGAATCAATTTTTAATATTTTAAAAATTGTTATCTTTGGTAATTTGTGGTCCTGCCCGGCAGGACAAGCAGGACCTTTGACTTCGCCACTGACCATTGCTAGCTCACTCACAGGCTGTATCTAAGTTTTTGGGCAAAATCTTCCGCATCTCGGAAAAGCGTTCTCTCCTACCCGATCAACATCAAGCTTTGAATTCTACACTAAAAACTGGCCTAGTAAAAGTTGGTTTGGTAAATTTCCTCTTCGGGTGGTCATTGGCAGCTCATTTACGGGCTGCACTCCATTTTTTGGATAAAACACCCTGTTAGGCTTCTTCTTTGATTGAAATTTGTGCATAAGATGTTGACTGACCAGGCTGTTTCAAAACTGGAACAGTTTATTTTCAAGGACCCCATATAGGGCTACAAGAAGTTCTAATACAAAAAAGATAGTGGAAAGTGTGTAGATAGGTACTGCAAAGGTGAGCAAAAGTATTGCACCGCACCCCACAAAATGGCCGCACCGCCGCAAACTTTTTATAGTAAACCGAAATTCAAATAGCTAAAGCAAATTAAATAAAAGTTTTAAGATGACCGTTTGGGTGGTAAATCATGGAAAATTTATCAAGGTAGAGTAATGAAAATGAAAAAATGCAAATACATCCTTTCTTTCTTCTTTTTTTTAAGCTATATCGAAGACTGCGAAAACATGAAAACTGAGCTATGGCGATAAGAGTACCTGTAATATATTTGCAACAAAAAAGGTTTCTCTTTGCACAAACCTGTAAGATTTCAGTAAGGCGAACTTGGAAATACTTACTTTTGCTCGGTTGCTCAAAACTGTTAATTCTTTAAAGTATTTCTCAAAAGTTTCGGTCGATCGATTTTCGTCCTGCAAAAGGCCTAATTTCAGATACCATTTCGTAACATGTTGCAACAGAATACAATCAATAAAACTTGTCAGTAACCTTTAACTCCATCTATTCCAGCCAATTGCGATGTTGTTTAGGGAACAAATATTACAGCAATATGTTCAAAACAGCATTTCATCTCCTCGTTGAATGAAAATACTAAAATTTCTGCGATAAACAGTCGTAAAGAGTGACCCGACAGTGTCCAATAAACCCTCAATAAAAAATGGCTGTAAAAGTGTCATTTTTCGCTAAATTCAAGGCCAATAATGATCTTCTGGTCACCTAGATGTGATCTTGCCAAAGTTTACTTAAAAGTATCATGTGGCGTTTAAAATTAACCTGCTGCAAAAGTTTTTTATTGAGTTTAACAAGTTTTACAAGGGTTTTGAAGCTTTGAGACTGTCTAAACAGAAACTTACTTTTTTGATATTTTACATAGATATTTTTCTCAAAATTGAAATAAAAAGTGTTGCTGATTGTTTCAAGTTCTGTTTGATTAAATTTTAATCATGGAATAAAACTTGATGACACTGACGCCATTATTAATTCGTCGAAGTGGTGCAATACTTTTGCTCATCTAGTGAATTTTTCTATTTGACACTGACAGATTATTTTCGAAAATAACAAACTCAAACTTCAACCAAACGCAATTTGGAGGAAATCTTCTCAAGCAACTAACAAGCAAGAAAGATGCTCAAGTCAAGGAAAAGTCTTTATTTTCAGGTTGCTTTTCTTCGTGAACTGAAACCTCAAGTTTCTTAAGAAAATAAAAACATGGAAATGTAAGTCTTTCTTTTTGACAAGGTTCTAAATAGCAGTGCCCCATTACAGCCCTAATGGGTATACAAACTATGAATCTCAACTCTGAATTTGCAAAAAGACTTTTAAAGTAAAATCACCGTAGTTAGGACCTGACCTTACTGAGAGAAACTGAGAGCTTTTTTGGACTAATGGTCTTATAGGTGAGGCTTTAAAGACGTGTCATTAACCACGACGCTAAGATTAAAAATAATTGTGCTTATTCAATTTACAAGTTTTGGTCTTTGATTCATAGAATGTATTCTTCGCAAACAACTTTCACTTCTTGACTCTTTTTCTTTGGTATGAGATGATCAACAACCTGCAAGAAACAGACAAACTTTGATAAAAATGGCTGCAAATAACACGTGAAAAACAGTTCTCCTATTGAATAACTTATTTGCAAGAACTTAGTTATTGTAGAACAAGAAAATATAATTCACCTGAAGCTCTTTCGGGTCAACGCTGCATACGTAGTCGAGACTCTCTTGCTTACTTTGAGCATTACGACTTTGGTTGCAACGAAGGCGCACTTTTACAGGAACGTTGGTCTGAAAAATGAAAAGCAATGAAATTTTACCAACTATATATGATAAAAGCTGCATTTTTTCAAAGGTGCTTTTACGCTGAGAAAAATATATCCAGCTATTAAATCACGATAGATAAAAGTTGAATTAATTAAATTGTAGTAAACAAGGCGCGTTAACCTTTATATAAGGTATCATTTTGCTGAGTAGAAAAATTAAACTTTCCAATATTTAAAATACTAAACTAAATACTGAATTCCAAATTGTAAACAAAAACAAAAACATGAGATAAGTGTTTACCTTATTTTCAACAGCAATAGTAGATCTTGTGGCATTCTGGCACAAAAATAGCCAAACGTTTTTGTTTTCGTCAAACGGCCTTTGGTTTTCTGATGCCCTAATCGAGCTGATTAAGCAATTCTCCGCAGGTTTCCCTCCATTGCTTATTCCTATGACCTCTAAGGCCGAGTCACCTTTGCGTGTAAACACATCAATTTGAAACGGAAAAGCCTGAAAAATATTGCGCTAAATTAAGCCATTTGTTTCACTTTTTAGCTTACAATGACCAGGTTGATTTGAGGATATGTTTCTTATAATCCACAATTGTTGTCAACTGGAAAAACAATATCTTTTAGGCAGCCTGTCCACTAGCCCGGGTTAAAACAAAACCGGGTTAAAAGTTATCTGTTTTTAAGTTGGGTAGGTAGTTTTTAGGACACAGCTATGCTTATCGAGCAGTGTCCTGGTCCTTCCTCTCGATGTGACCACATCACGTGATTCCTACGCCTGGAATTACAGAGAGCTGGCGACTCTCCTCACTCTAGATGAAAGTTTGGATATGTCAGAGACTCGAACCACGGCACCTTGGGTCTGTTGTCAGCGCCTCTAACAACTGAGCCATTCTCGCACCAAAAGCGAGTCTTTAAAGTGAGTCAATCGAAACGGCATTTTTCTTCGACCCGTTTTTTAATGCGTTTTTGATCGTTCCCATTAAGCCGGGTTAAAATGTATTCAGAGTGAAATATTCGATTACGTACGCAGAGTTGTAAGAGAAATCAGTATTTGCATCAATAATCCTTTAAGTTCCATCGTTGTAGGCCAATGGGAGCAACCATGACATCGAGGACTTTGTTTTTTTATTTTTGGCACCATCTCAATTCTTAAACATTGGTGTTGTTGAAAGTGGGCCAGAAGTTATTCGGGTTGCGGCGTTTCCATTAACTCGCAGGTGGGTCAAAAGATACCCGGGTTAAAACTGACCCACACTGAGACCCGTTTTCAAATTCATCCGTTTTCCAAGTGAGTTAGTTAGAACGCAACGCAGAAACGGATAACTTTCAACCCGGGCTAGTGGAAAGGCTTCCTTGGGATCTTTATAAAGTAACAAGCAGCCGTTCTTCAGATTCTAAAGACGAACCACTTTATAACTGTCATTTTGAAGCAATGGCTTGATGTATCGAAGAAAATTTTGATTTATTGCCTTATGTTCAATATATGCTGCTGAAACGTTTTCGATGGCCCGCTCAAAGTCAGGTCTCTTCTTATTAAACGAATGGGTAAATAAATAAATGAATTAATAAATATATGAATGTAGCATACTTTGATTCTCAATCTGTTACAGCTGAAAATTTGGAACTGATATTATGTTAAAATGATAAAAGAAATAAACTGGAGGTGCAAATAGGGCAGTATCACTTTGTAACTCTTACTTTGTCATTTGTAACATAACACTCAAAATTTGATAATAGTTAACGAAAATATATCATTTTGTTAGGTAACATCTATACTCAACTCTTACTAATTGGTCAGTCCTAACGAGAAGAACGCAGATAGCTTGATTTTGTCAAAAAGTTTCATTCCAATTGTCAACAATGTCGATAAATTCTCAGCTTTCATAAAAAAAATTTAAATTGAAAATTCCTAAAAGCTTTAATTGTCGATAAGATCCCGATACCTTGATTAGATCCAAGCCTTTGTTGTACCCCATGCTCTCCAAAGTCACCCACAATTCATCAACCCCTCCATCTGGGTCTTTGGCTTCCATCATGTTTAGCTTCAAGAATCCTTCAGGAGTCAGCTCTCCCTTATTATTCATCTCAAAATTTTCTACAAAATTAAAAACAGTTTGTGGGTGGCCAATGCTGGTATGAAACTAAGGGAGCACTTCTTTATCTAATTTTGAATTACTTTTTAAATATACTCTCTGTTTAAAAATATTCTTTTTAAATCACTTTTTAAAAAGCTTATGGAAATTTCTTCAAAAATTAAAAAATGGCTTTGAAAAAAACAAACATTTTTAGTTATACTAAAGCTTTTCATCTGACACTCTTCAGAGTATTAAACGACAGAACATAGATCAAAACGCTACGCTAGGAAATCGCATGCACTATATCTAAAATATGGGATTCTGCTATCGGGCAGCATTTACTGGAAAACCCAGACTGTGCAAAAAACTATAATGGTGACAGGTTTCGGACCATTAGTAGAGCCCGATCGTCGTTCCAAATAGCAGTTTTTGAATCTATCTACATAAACATGGAAAAACCGCTATATTGTCTAGACAGAAGGAGTTCGTTTTACCTTAGAACTCCATTGGTAACATTCTCAATAGGCAAGCGGCACTGATTGGGCAACCTCAACAGTCACAGGTGCTCGCGTTTCTGATTGGCCTATTTCGATCCACAACTGGATATATATATTTCCTAGCGTAGTGTTTTGATATATGTTCTGACGTTTTATACTCTGAAGAGTGTCAGACGAAAAGCTTTTGCGTTCCTACAAATCCTACGAAACCGTTCAAGAGTCTAGAGTGAATTGCATTAATCAGATAAAAGCAGCTATGATTTAAGAACGAGGTGGGTTTGATAAAATTGTAACATTACGTTATTCATACATTTAGATTTTTGGCTTAGGTATCAGCGGTTCAGGTTTAGATTTAAAAAATAAGGGAAAGTTGAGATAGATATCAAAACTCATTTACACTCAGGGAGTTTGAAATTCCTAAACAGATATAAAACAGCGACGAAAGTCATCTGTTATCACTATAAATCAAAAGCACCTTCATTAGTTGATCCAAAGTTTATGGTGTATCTTTATAAAAGCCATAAAACAGGGCTTATATAAAAAATTGTTAGGTTCGTTAATTAGAGTTATATTTTGTCAAAGAAACATAGACAGATATAATGATGCAACGTATTGCAAATATAATAAGACCGAAGTTTTACATTAGAACTAGAAGGATTGGGAATAGAAATTTAAGTTAATTCAAAGCTATCATAAGGAGCTTATGACATGTATATGAAAACACCGTATTCGTACTCGTTACTCAAGATGAATGGCCTTGCTTACCTTTAACAATATCCCAGGCATCGTCGTCACAGCCCTCTCCGCTAGTCTTAAGCTGAAACTGAGTGAATTCTTCTCTATTCAAAAATCCGTTGCCGTCCATGTCGCAACGATAGAAGATTTCATATAGAGTTTCTCTGCAACGTAATATGAAAATAAGACCCCGCGGTTATAAGGACATTCTTTTATATAGAAAGATAAAATGGGCAACAATAGCAGGCCTCAATTTTTGTTTTTTCCAAGACAAATTGACACAAAAAATTACCTATGTGAACGAACCTCTTTTTTTTGTTCAATACCCATGCTTAAACCAAGTTGTAATACCTGTTCTGATACCTGTAATACCTGAAACATTTATTCTGCACGCGGTGCGCAAAGGATTGATGTTGAAAAGAAGCTTTAAGACTTTTTACAGTCAGAAAGCCCATTTTTGTTCCAATTTTTGAGCGACAACCTTCCTCATAACTTCAACACCGAACCGATTAGTCCATTAACGATAGACCAATGACAGACGTTGTCTAGACTTCATTAGATGTCTAGAGTCAGGCCTTTACCCTCTAATTCACGCAACAGAAACGAATTACGAATGACTTAAATTTGTACCGATGCTATAATTGTAGGAAGCTTATTCCAAGGAGACCTGAATCGATGATAATGGAGCCAAAGCAAAGTGGTTACGAAAGAATGGCAATACCTGCAAGCTTTTGTAAATTTTGCGTTGTCTTCATCTCCAATTAGTAATTTCGACGGAGTTGCCGGGTTTTCCTGATCTTGGCACATCGAAACACCGCTTGTGAAAGTTAATAATTGGTAGGAGCCTGCCTCTACATTGGCTCGCAGACAGAATTTCTGAAAAGTAGAAAAGACTGCAACCTGATTTTAGGCTTTTATTGAACGGATGCACCATTAATGGCTGGGAGGCGAAAACTTTAAAACGCCATACTTACGACAAAGAAGATCGAGCTGGTAGCGACAAGGAAATTGAGGATATTTTAAAACGACTTATAAGAAAACTTCCATGGAGTGCGGAGGCGAGAGATATGCATTGAAAACAGTTCTTAAGATAAACAATTAAATACTGGACTTGCTAGTCTTTAAAAATTGTAGCATCATTCTAGCTGAACTGCAGACACTACTAAGATTAAGGAAACAAATATGGTTGAGCTTGTAGTGCTAGTTTCATTTGAGTTTTTAGTGTATGATCAGCTCATTACGTTGATGTAAACATTATGGCTATATAGGTAACTTCAATAGTATAAAATATTTCAATAGTTCAGCCTCGTATTTAACTAGAATTTTTGTGTAGATTTCTGTGTTTGTATATCTATAATTAGCTTAAGTTTAGTTGTTTTCTTTATGTTAATGACCATGGGGTTGACATTGTCGTTTGCTCCCCTTGGCATCGTCTCTGTAGTATCGTTAAGTGATTTCTATGCAATTTCCTGAGTTTAATTTTTAACTGAATAGACAAATAATGCTAAAGAAGGAAAGATCAAACAAAAAGTGGGTGAGAATTTCTGAGTATTGTAGTATATGTCAATGCTAAGATTACTGTGTTTTGCCATGTACAATGATTACATGTCTGCGACTTTCACGATTCCAATCACTTGGTTTTATGCAACATATCATTAGCAAATGACATTGTTTAAAGCTGCAATTTTATTTACAATTACTTCGGTAGCATTGCTTGAATTTCACTATTTGGATGATATCAGTCTTTTAAAAAAACAGAGAGTAAAGAAAGGATGGAATTCTCACCTGATCGATTTTTGTCTCAGTAAAAGACACCAACTTTCCATGTTTTCCATCTCCCATCAGGAACATTGTAATATCACTTTCAACAAGCTCGTTTCGAAATTTACCTGGAAATGAAATCAGGATGAGCCCAAAATAATCTAAATTCATATTATATGCAATGCATCTTTCGATAGGATGTCAGTTTTAAATTTTTAGACTGAAACCAAACATTTTTAAATCATATACTAACTTAATAGTATGTAATAACATATCTTAAACCAAATCAAAAATTATATTATATTTGCTTTTGTTTGCAATAACTAACTTGAGTAGCAGATAGCTTCAAGATGCAACTCTGAGTTTTAGACTGAAATTTTGAATTTAAGCTTAGAATTTTAGGCTTCAGATTGAAACTTTGAGTTTCAGATTGAAATTTTGGGTTTCAAATTGTAACTTTCAATTTCAGTATGTAACTTTGAGTTTCAGATGGTAAATTTTAGTGTTAATTTGAGTCAAATGTTGCTACATAGAGTTAGAGCCTAAATCATATTTTTCTAAAACTCCAGTAACACAGAAGTAAACAAAAGTAAACCGAATTGATTTAAATCGAAAGTTGCGCCATTTTTGCATCACAACGCAAGAATCTAACAAAAATAAAGAGAATTGGCTTATTACCGAACATGTCTTCGTATCTTATTATCAATAAAAAGATGGGCAATCAGAAAATGGAATTTGCCTGGTGATCTTCAAAGGCCTTTTCCTAGCGATCACTGTAAATTGCGTTGTCACGCTTCAGCAGCTTTTTGTGAAACAGGCTGTTTACGGAATCTGTTTTCAAAATCAGTACGAGTCAACCTCTTGCATTCAGTCTCAGAATCATAAACAGGATTATAGCAGAGAAACCTGCCTCGGCGAACTTGGATGTGCCCTTTTTATTGATACACTATATTGAATATACATGACTCGAATATACTATATTCTATCTTGTTATCCAGTAGTTGTATCTAAAAAGTTGTTTATAAGCATATTCTAAAACTATTCTGCCATGTTCTTTGAAGTGGTCGATACGGATTCAACATCAAGTAGATTGCAATGAAGCCATATAAAACAAGTAATTACAACATGACGAAACCTTACCGTATTTTGGAGTTAATGCGTGGATGGTAATGAAAATTTCAGTTGATTCCAGCACCAAGAGGCGAAACTGATGACTCTCGACAGTTCCATCTTCCTCCATGTAAAAAGACCCCTTAATGTTTTTATATCGCCATTTCTTTGAATAATGAAAAGAAAAATATTTATTCAGTGCAGGAAAAGTATCTGCTTAGCAAAATGGAGCGATAATACAGTGTAAAATAGTCTCGCGTGCAAGGACCAACTATTAGTTTACTTCGTATAAATATGGTTGTGCTACAAGTTTCACGTCAAAATTGTATTGTTTATCGTTAACCTTTACTGCTGCTAACTTTTTAAACCATTATGGCCTATTCAGTTTTTTCACCCGCTACATAATTATTCTAAAGTTTTTATTTGAACAAAAATTACCAGAATCTGCTTAAAAATCACTCCAGGCATTCTGGGCAGTCAAACTACAGCTGCTTGAACAAGTCCAATCTAATAATATCCTAACACTGTAAAATTAATGAAAAAATTTTACAAAGACACTGAAATTAAAAAATTGATATCAGTACAGCTTATTTTGCGGATTTTTTACAGCTTTTACGATCCTCCTCCATTTGATAGCTTCGTTCGTTTTTTACCATTAAGCACCTTATTCCAAATTAAAACCCCTTGTTTTATCAACAGATAAAAGGAATGTTCTAGTAGTGCTCTTTAATCCTAAAAATCATCATCATCATCACCAATTGGGCGTCAGAAACTCATGATTACATCATTTGAACATTGCCAGCTATGGTGGATACCTCTGCAATCAACTTTCATGGAAGCATTTACCGTTAAGTTACCAAGAGAACACTTCAACATTTTAAAATCTCTTACCGTTAAGTCAGATGGTTCCTTAATCATTTTGGGACGACTAGCTTCACTAGACTTTTCAACACTCTGAAGTCTTGATGAAGGTCGTTTGGATGTTTTTCTAGCAGACGGTGGTCTTTTTGCATCCACAATTCTCCCATCTTCCTCTGAAAGAGCTTCTTTTCTGCTTTTGATGGACCTTCCCTCCTTCTTCGTTCCTTTTTTGCTTTCTTCTTTTCTCTGTTTGGAATTTTGCAAACCTGAGACTTTGTTTGCCGTGGCAAGCATCATGTCACAGAACTGCAACAGAAGAAAAATATGAATACAAAACTTTTCTTAAAAAGAACCTAATCAGCCATTGGCACCGCACAATTTGAAATAGCGCAGAAAAGCGGAAACATGTGATACTCGAGTAATTTTCGTCCGAGCATAAACGTCGGATAATTTTTACAGGTAAGCAGAAGATTTATATCGTGATGTGGTTCGAAAGTAACGTGAGAGGAAGAATAGTACATTTGATTGGTTCGCTGATTTAGACCAGTGCATTTGATTGGTTCTCTGTTTTAGACCAGTGCATTTGATTGGTTCTCTGTTTTAGACCAGTGCATTTGATTGGTTCTCTGTTTTAGACCAGTGCATTTGATTGGTTCTCTGTTTTAGACCAGTGCATTTGATTGGTTCTCTGTTTTAGACCAGTGCATTTGATTGGTTCTCTGTTTTAGACCAGTGCATTTGATTGGTTCTCTGTTTTAGACCAATCGCAGCCGCAAATCTCTCATTTAGTTAAAGGTCCAAGAGAGAAAACGAACTCTTTCTGTATACATAAGTCGGGGTCCTTTGTTTTGATGTATACAGATTCTAAGACATTTAGATGTCGCAACATCTGACGAATGTGGGACGAAGAGTACTTTAGTATGACATGTTTCCGCTTTTTCGTGCAATTTTTAAAAAGAACACTTGAAATATTTATTAGTGTTCTTCTCTCTACCAGTAAATTTCTCACCTAGTTTTAACAAAAAACAGAGTCCTAGCTGACATAGATACCAGTGAAGAAGACTTCTTTACGATTAAAATGAGTGACATAGGTCCCTTAAAAAAATGTAAAAGTTCTAGAATTGTGAAAAAACATACACTCTTTCATTTATAAGAACCAGTAAATCTAAGTCCAGGCTGACTGTTCTTAATTTTTTCGAAAATCTGAGGCCAGATTGTTTTTAATTTTTTCTTAATCTAATAGGGTGTAAGCAATGCCGTGTAGATCTTGTAGATCTTATAGTCTTTTAGAATATATGGTCCAGTTAAAAGGTTCTAAAGAATGATTTGTATGATGTCTTTCATTTGAACTCTAATTCATTAGAGGTATATACAAATGACTTCTTTTCACAGCTTCTGAATTATGGGAGACAAAGCATATTTTTAAATAAGAGCAAACCAGAGCAAGCATATCTAAAACCAATATAATTTTGAAACTGCTTTACTCACAGGAAGGCAAAGTTATACCATGGAAGACTCACAAGCATTTCATTCTAAATAGGGAGAGAATGCCATATTGATTGTTGAGGAAAATATTCAACTATTCTCCTTGAATTGAACCTGGGTCCTAAGTTCCCTTGTTGGTAGCATGTGCAACCAGAAGCAAAATTAAGATTAACTTGGATTTTTCTTAAATTGTTAAATTAGTCATGTCTTAAAAAATAATATGATTCATTTCCTCACCTCATGGTAGTCCAGTTTTCCATCGCCATTGTAATCTGCATCTTCCATCATAGCCTTCACTTCAGATTTTGTCATTCTCTCCCCGTGCTAAGTAAAAAATGTTTATAAATAGCTGTGTACAATTTATGGCAGTATTGTAAAAGCCACTGAAGAATAAAATATAATGAAATTGGGTCATCTCTTTATCCAATTGGTCGTCATCATATCTTGGAGGACACTCGCATCATATCTTGCACTCCCCTTCCAGTGTTTCTTTTTTAGTCAAATTATGTGAAAAAATACAGCTTGTAATGAGATTCTTGATGAAGCACAAGAAATAAAAGTTAATTGAAAATTTGTTTTACCCGATTAAAGTTAGATTTTCATTCTGGCCTTTATGAATCAGGGCTTGGTCAAGCTATTAAAAATGGCAATAATCTCGCACTGTTTGTATTTTGTTTGTATAAAGCATTTTCTCTGTCTGTTTTTTCATTGTGACCAAATGTTGTGATTCCTGCACCTGGATGGGCACAGGGCTGGTAACACCTTGACATGACCAAACCTATACTTTGTGAATATTTGAATATGTCACGGAGTTGAACTCTGGACACTTTGATCTGCAGTCTGCAACCCTTACCACTGAGCAATCCTTATCACAATAGACAATCTGGGAGAAAATACCATTATTTGATGCTGTCATGACAGTATCAGCACCAGTAATACACTAGGGTAGATTTAAAAAAATGTTTCTGCTAATCATACTATTTAGGCTGATAGGACCTCTGTACCAAGACCTCTAAATTTTTGTTAAAATTTCTCAACAAATAAATTGAAAAACAACATAATGTCTACCTTCTCTTAAATTAAATCATTTAAGAGTCATGTGGAAAAATCTTACCATAGTTAATACTTTTTGCAACTCTTCATGAGTTATAAAACCATCTCCATTTATATCAATTTTCCTGAAAGCTTTGATAAGGGCTTGCTTTGTCATAGGTTTATCATCTTTCAGGATTTCACAGAACTGGTAAAATGTTATTGAATCTGTCAAAATAAAACCAAAGACACACATCACCAAATATTGTAAAATAAAGAAAAATGAGCAACAAAGATAAAATTGGTTTAAAATGTGGACATTAGAAACTTTGTGAGCATTTGAGGGTATGCTATGAGTGAAACCTAAATAGCAGGGAAAGAGATAAGGGCCAAATATACATTCCTCCATTCATTGATCTATTTTCGAGATAATGACTGAAGCCTCTCTTGCTCCCCCCCCTAAAAAACTTTTGATGACCCAAAGACTTACAACCAATCTAAACCAATAGACAATATCAGAGAACATGTGACACAAGGAGCGCAAAATCTGCAATAAATACAATTGGCAACCAATATCATTGAAATTTGTAATATTCCTTTGTAACTCAAACAAAGTCAATTGGTGTGGCAGTCCTCTCTCACTCTTCAGGTCCTCTGCACTTTCTGATGAAGCTGTGATGGCTCCCCTGTTTAACTGGTAAAAGAGAAGGGCAGTGCGGGTGAATGACTCGTCCTTGGGTGTTGGCTTGAAAGCACGACCCGATAGCTCAGCGATAAAGCACTTGACATACAAAGTCAAGGGTCGTGAGTTCAAGCCTCGCTCGGGTAGGTTATTTTCCCGCACTCACTACTAATTATCATTAAAAATCCTGTTGCCTTTAAACAAGGTCAATTGTTAAGCAATGGAATTCAGATTTTAATTCTAAAAGTATTTTTCTATATTCTAAAGAAGTTTCTCAGAGAAAAAAAATAAAAGAGTGACCTCTATCCAACATCAATTTTTGGCTGGTTTACCCAACCTGATGAGGAATCCTTTGGGATTGGAACTTGCTGTAGAACAATATAATTCCATCAGGGTGTTGCAATCTCAGAAATAGTCTATGATGTAAGCAATTGGGCAGACTCAGAAATTTTTTATCCTGTCTTTTCTTACCTGTATTGCCTCCCCATATACTTGACACTGTCTTCTTGGTTGGGTTTTGTCCTGCATATTGGAGCACTGAAAAAGACAGCAGAGAGATTCTTCAATCAAAAATTATATCTATAGCAGACTTATAGTTATAGTTATAGTCACAGCAAATGTTGCTTGAGAACTTGTGACTGTAAATGGAGCTAGATTGAATAGTTTTGCATATTTGGGCCTAAATATTATGTGACTGTGGCTAGTAGTTTGACTTCAAGCACAGTGACTATAAGCAGAATGGACTGTACAAAATGACACTCAAGTCAAAAGCCATCTACAATTCTTAAAGGTATTCAAAGGAGTCATGGTAAATAGGCCTTCCAGGCCTGTAGCCAAGGGGTGGCATGGGGTGGCAATGCTACCCCTGGAGCAAAGAGTACCCACCGTTTGCCACCACAAGAATTTTGCCTCATACATTTTTTTAATGGGGTTTTTCTTCGTTTTTGTTGAGATTGACAACATACGCATGGGGTTTATCCAAGGAAGAGGGACAACCAATGCAATCTTTATAGTCTGGCAACTACAGGAAAAATATTGGGAGGTGAAAAAAGACCTGTATTTTTGTTTTGTTGATCTAGAAAAGGCTTATTTGTGATCGGATTCCAAGAGAGCTGGTGTATTGGTGTTTGAGGAAGAAGAATGTACCAGAGAAACTGGACAGGCTTGTCAAGTCAACGTACTACAATGCTAGTACAGTAGTGAGAACACCATATGGGGAAACCAAAGAGTTCACCATTGACGTCAGCTTACATCAAGGATCTGCACTTAGTCTGTTTTTGTTTGTAATTGTGATGGATGTGATCAGTGAGGTGTGGAGAAGCGGAGTTCAGTGGGAAACTCTGTTTGCTGATGATTTGGAGCTGATGGCGGATAGTGAAGAGGAACTACAAGAGAAATGGGACGTTTGGCATGAGGGTATGGCGAAGAAAGGCCTGAAAGTAAACATCAAGAAGACTGAGGTAATGGTGAGCAGTAGAAGCAAGATAAGAGTCAACATCACAGTAAAGCATAGTAACACAGCACTGAAGCAAGTTGGAGAGTTCAAGTATCTGGGTATGATGGTGAGCGAGAAAGGTGGTTGGGAAAATGGCTATCAGAGCCCGAGATAAAGCGGCCTGGAACAAGTTGAAGGAGCTATCTGGTGTCATCAGTGACAAGGGAATGCCAAGAAGCGAAAGGCTAAGCTGTATGTAACAGTGGTAAGACCTGTGTTACTGTATGGTCTGGGAACGAGTGCACTGACAAAAAAGGACAAAAGTTTGCTCCTAAAAACGGAAATGAGAATGCTACGAAGAATCATGGGCATTACATTTTGCAATCGAAGAAGGAGCGATGACATCAGGAAAGAACTGAAAGTGAGTAACATCTTAGAAAAGGTTAGGGAGAGCAGGTTGCGATGGTCTGATCATCTCAAGTGAGTGGACATCAGACACTTGAGATTGGAACGCACCAGGGGCGCGGTAGTCTGAGAGCATGGTGGCAAGACAAGATCAAGAAGGACTTGCAGGAGCTGAATTTGACGGTGAGCCTTGCTGGAAATAGGAAAGAGTGGCGGGGGAAGATTCAGTCGGCCAACCCTGATTAATCAGGACAAGGCCTACGGTGAAGAAGAAGATACTATAGTACAGTACATAGACAGGCAATGGTTTAAGAAGTAGGGGTGTTATGTTTTGTTATGCCAGAAGACATATTTTTTTAATTAGCCTTCAAAATAATCGAATATTGCAAAGAAGGCACTTGAAATTACCCCAAAATCAAGATCCTCAAAAAAAGTTACAGAAGCAAAGACCGTGGATTGGCTAAAGGATCAGCTTATCAGCTTAAAGAAGATGGGGCCAACTGGATATTCAATTTTGCAAATTGCATGCTGTTGGACATTCTTAAACCAATACACATATGGTCATAAAGCAGTTTAAATTTCCGAGTATAAATCTTTAACAGTGCTGTCTGTAGTGAAAGCAGTGAGAGCAATAATGTCCAAACTTAACTGAGGAAAATTGCTGCTGATTTCCAAAAATAGCAAACTAAACGCACTGAGGTCAGCAGCATTCAGAGAAAAAGGCCTTTATTCCCAAACACTATAGAAAGAGACCTTGATACCTCTATCAAAATGTGCAGCGAATAGTTTCATGTTCTTGAGAAAATGTTGAAGGAACTTATTTTTTTTTTCAAGCAGAGTTCAAAACCTCTCCCAAGTGCTGTCAAATGGCCAGACGGCGAGTTTGGGAAGATAGATTCAGCCACTGCCAATACTCTCCAATGTTTATTAATTTTTGTGCAGTTACTGTTACTCCTGTTACTGCTGGCTTCACATCAACACATAACAACTTTGAAGGGTGTTTGTTTTCTGCATCAACAAGGGTAGACTCCCCTAAGTGAAGTTCTTTGCAGGCAGAGAGAGAGTACAATCTCGCATGTCTGGCATTTGAAAAGGAGATCTTGATTGAAGACAAAACAATTGAAAGTTTTCTAGCTTAATAGAAATTAAGAGGGAGAAAATTATTTAATTGCTGAAAAAATTATTTTTGCTTCTTTGTTTAGACTAACACTACCACCACACCCTCCACCGCTACAAAAACTTAACTTTAAACTTTGTCTGCATTAGACACAAGGAGTTTGCCACCCCTACTCCACAGGCCTTACTACATGCTTGAGGCCTTCTCTATTTGATTTCAGTGTGATCACTGCAGTGTGATGTGATATTGTCATTCATTGTAAATACCTTGCTATTGGCAGAAGCTGTTTTGAAAATCGGTTCCAGGTGAGTTCATGTAAGCAGTTAAAGGTAAAAAACGCTGCAGCATGAAAACCACAATTCATCCAAGATTTGGGTACATTAGGGTATTCCATCTTCTTTTATTAGGCAAACAATGCCTTTAAAGATTGTAGATAGCTTTTGACTTGAATGTTATTTGGTACAGTCCATTCTGCTTACAGTCCATTAGTCACAGTAATTAATGCATTAATGAAATTCTCCCAATGAAGCTCTGTATGGCTGGTATGGCAGATTACATTCTCTTTTTGAGTTGAATAAATTTTCTTGATGGCCAATCAGGAAAATGTTTTGAAACATGTAGACCAGCAATTTAAAAACCAAGTAGTCTCTTAGTTTTGAAAATCCAGAATACAAAAGATTGTTTGCCTTGCATAATTAAAGTAGTGGAACATTGTTATTTTAAAGCCAGTTTGATGAAAGGTCGTTGCATTTAAAAAAATAAATCTTTTTGTCTTTCTCAGTACCATATTATCAATTTATAGCATGAATTAAGGATTTACATAAGACTTTCCCGCCCCGTGTTGATAAATGATTGTTTTGTTTTCTGCAAACTAGCACAAAATATACTTACACAGAGTTAGCTCTTCTGGAGATGTTATTTCATCTTTTATGTCATCAAACACCATAAGATATATAGACTTGCAATTTTCATAAAATGAGGCTTTCTCTTCATCGTAAATTGGTTTTCTCTGACTGAAGGATTTGCCAAATTTTTGACTCCCATCGAGGTAAGTAGATTTCTTCTGTGAATCAGACCTACCGCTCTTGGACTTTCTGAGAGAAACACGATCCTCTTCTCTACTCAGTCTTGATGATGTTGATGAGTTCGTTGACGAGCGTCTTAACATTTCCACAACTGTTCAAAATGCTAATTTGGATATTCAAAACAGCTCGCCATTCTCTGGTTTACATTAGTTGCTATGATTTCCTGCTAGCCTCTATTTGAAACCTTCTGTTTCGCTTTCATGCAACTTTCGCACCTGTCAACTCCAGTGTGGAAGTAGAAGTATTATGTTAAAAACAATTTATTTGATACTTTTGGCATGTTTTGATGATCTTAAATAGGAGGAAGCTATTAGATTTCAACTCCAAACCTATTTACATAGTGAAATGTTTGGCATGTTTTTATTTTGTTGTAACATGTAACAAGTTTTCATGTTGCTTATAAATGACACTTTTTATTTCTTTTTACAAGGTATGGAATGAAATAAACAAAGCTGTTCCTTTTTAGCATTTGCATGCATTCTGTTGTCTGCCCATTCTTGAATCACCATGGTCATTTTCCTTGAACCTTTTGATTTTTCAATGCCACATCCTTTAAATTCATCAATGTGCAGAACATAAGCAGTGTAACTTACTTGGCACCTTTCTGCTTATATTAATTGATTCAAACCAAATTTTACATTTAGAATTCACCCAAATCGTTCCAATTTTTGTACAATGCCTGCCAAAAGTACTTGGAACACCCAGCAATTTATGCTGCATTTGATATCTTTCATTCCTATCATGAAAAAAAATTGCTACTTCGGGCCCCCTTCCCCCTAAAACAATTTTGATGATTTAGAGAAATATCATAAAAGAAGTGCAAAAGAAAGTGCTGCCTACAATCCTAACCCGTTTGATAGTAAACCAACATTGTTCTGTAGGGGAGAGGGGGGTGATTGATTTTGACCTTGGAAATTGATGTCAGTGTTCCCAAGACTTATGGCAGGCATTGTACTTTTGGTGTAGAAACCCATGCAATAGGAATAGGCATAATCATTCAATTTGTAGGATTACATGATAAATAAGCACAAAGCCTTTTAAAAAAGCACAGATAGCATCTTAAAAGAAGATGACAGGAAAATTAATTCAAAATTTCAAATTTGTCTGTTAATACATGATAAAAATATATTTTCTATGGTAATAATATTCAATTACAAATGCAATTTTATTCAAAATCCAAGCAGAAAGATAATGCATATTCATATGTTGGTCAGAGTTCATCTTTGTTATTCTCTGAAGATTCCGTCTCATCAGGGTCAACTGATTGATGAATTATTAGTCTCTCAATTTCATCAAGCATTGCAAGTGGGGAGACAGTTGGAGGCTCAAATTTAACAACCTGTCCACTTCGGTTGATGAGGTATTTACCGAAATTCCAGCTTGGTTCCACTCCATGAACTGATTTCAGCCATTTGTACAGTGGGTGTGCATTATCCCCAATTACCTGCACTTTTGAAAAAAGTGGAAAGTCGACATCATAAGTATGTTTTACAAATCTTTCAATTGCACTGTTTCTTTTTGGCTCCTGGGCACCAAACTGGTTGCAAGGGAATGCAAGAATCAAGAATGAACCATCATTAAAAATATGCTGGAGTTCATTTAATTCCTTGTAATGGTTATCTGTGTATCCACATTCACTTGCAACATTCACAATGAGTAGCACCTGAAACAACAATGGATGATGAGAAACTAAAATGAAATTATTCTAAAAAGAGACAATTTATGAGACTTGGCGCAGTCATAAATGCAGCATGCCCTCAAAGAAACTCAGCTTCTAGCTTTCGTCTGACCATAAAACTTTAACTACAAATGTAGGGAAAGATTTTAGAAGGATTGGGGGGTGGACAATAAAGAAAATAAAGATAAATAATTTTAAATAAAGAAAATCTTAGCGTCATTTAATAATTACTGACTACCATGAAATTTTGTTAGTGAATCAAAGCAAAATTGACAGAATGACACCTAAATGTTGGGGGTCGAGCTCCTAAAACCCAATGCTAAGGCCACCCTACCACACAAATAGATGCTATTTAGATACTATTGACTCATTTAGTAAATGAGTAAAGACAGACAGATTAAACTGAGTTTGTCTCGCCTACTTTTCCACGGTAGATCGACAGATTAACCAGCTCTCCTCGGATGTTCTTTGCTTGGAAGCCATAAATATCACTTGGCACAAATCCATTGCAGTAAAGCGGCAGAAAGTATATCAAAATGAAACAAGCCAATAGCGTCCAATTTTCCTTCTGCATTTTCAACAAAAAATTAGACATAAAAGCACCGAGAAACTCTGCAACGTGGACTATTTTATGTAATAGAGAGTTTACGAAACACGACGCGACAGGTCGAGACGAGCTGGGGGAGTCTAGTAACTAGCGCGACCATCTCATGTTTTTCCAATCCAGCTCGTGGACGCCAATTTCACAACCCAGATTTTCGATTTTTACGTTGTGAGGACAACGCGGACATTTCAATCGTAAGTACACTATCCAGACTTCTTGATTTTGTTAAATTCGGCGATTTTATTCTTTTTGCATCTGATAATGTATTTTGGTTAGATTTTAAGTAATATTTCTCACTTTTGTAGGCCCATTCACGAAGAAGCTGTGAGATGAATTCTCAAGGACCCCACGAGGCAAAGAACCAAAAGTTCGTGAACATTGTAGTATAATTAATATATAGATTTTAAAAACGGTTAAGTTGAGGCAAATAGTAAAACTAATGTCAGGCGTTCTACTAAGCTAATGGGCTAGCCCTAAATGATTTCTTTCTAAATTTATGCAAAGGAAGTTATAGTGTGACATTGCTATTTTTTTGTTATTCATATCTTAACTGAGAGTAGCTCTTCATTTATTTTTAGAAATGTATTTTACCGTTTTTCCTTGAAATCCAACAAAATGAAAATTGCCATAAAGAAATCCATTATATTCCATGTTGCCACTAAATTTTGATTATGTGTTGTTGATTGTGGTACAATTGTTTATTAGTCTGAAATTTGCAAATATAAATTTATTCATGATTTGGATCAGATATGAGTGCTTATTGTGTTTTTTCTATTCTTATGTTCTATTAATTAGGCCAAAAATGACATGGACCTTAGAGCATGACACGCTGCTCTGTAGAGAGATCCTTGTTGAGGAGCCCTTTCATTTTAAAATGGGTACTCGAGAGCGTGGTCACGTTTGGGATAAGGTGGCTACCAATTTAAATAAGATATTTGAACCACGTTTCTCTGTTGATCAAAGAGCAGTGAGGGACCGATTTTTGAAGCTTGAACGAGGCTTTAAAAAAAAGATGTCAGAAGAAGAGCGTGCCAGTGGTATCAGCCCACCAGAGCCAACTGAATTGGAGCAAGCGATTCAGGACATTATTGAAAGGGGGGATGAGGCACAGAGTGAAATGGCCAGGGCTGGTGAGAGAGTTGCAGAAAAGGAGAAAGAAACAGCTGAATCTGTAAGAAAACGCTCTATGGAAAGATTGGGAGAGACAAGGGAGAGAGAGTGTCAGGAAGGTGGGAGAAAAAGAAGAAAGGCTGATGGGGACAAAGAGGTGATCAACTATATGCGAGAAAAGACCGAGAGAGATCGTCAACTAAAAAGAGAAGAGTTTGAATTGAGAAGAAGAGAGATTGAGGTAAAAGAAAAGGAAATTAAGATAAAAGAGAAAGAGATTGAGATAAAAGAAAAAGAGAAGGAGAGAGAATGGGGAGTTAAGAAGCGAGAGCTAGAAATGAAGGAAAAAAATAACGAGGCAAGGGCAAATAGGGACAGGGATATGATGGTCATGTTTCAGCAGCAGCAAGGGCAAATGCAGCATCAGAACCAGCTGCTGCTTGATGTTGTCAATAAGCTGTTGGACAAATTTACTTAAATTTTAGCCATATTGACACTAAAATTGAAATATTTTCCTAAATAAGCCTTTCTAGAATCAACATATTAAACAAGACCTTCTGTTTAATAAACCTTGCCACTATTTTGCTACTAGATTTAAAAAACACCTTTTTTACAGATATCAATGTTTAAATATTAAGACAGCTTCTATATAAGCTCCAAAAGTTTAAAGGAATCAATTTGATCTAAATGTGTTGAGTTTTACATCATTTGTTTGTTATCCATGAATTTTGTAAAGTATCTTGTATCTTTAATGATTTAGGCCTTTTGTGCATAACTCAATTAGGCAATTACAATCCTAGAAACTGTACTTGGTTCTCCAAGAATTTCTTTATGAGTTAACTGACTTTCATTATCAGGAAAGTACCACTTAAAACTGTTCTATTCTTTACACTAAAAACATATACAGTAAACATCTACAAAGCACTAAATAACAAACCAGTGAACACTGATTCTTTTCATCCAATTAACTATGCAAGACACAGTTTTAGTTTCACCATTTTAAAAACTAACAAAAATTCTTGAGAAATCTGTTAAGTGTAGAAGATGTTTGAGAGGAAGATGGCAAATTTATTGCTTAGCTAGATGACAAACTTGCTGCTTAGGGGGCTGGTTAATGAAATATTTGGTTAAAGGTATATTTTATATTCATAAACAAGCAACATTCTTGGTTTGTATGATAGTACATTTTCAATGCTTTCAATTATATCTGTATGACCTCAATATCAACCTTTTATATCACATTTACATAAATCAAAATACAAAACTTTCTTGCTGTATTTCTATAGCATTTTCTGATTGTTTGTCATGAAGAGGCAAACATCCAAATTGAAAACATGCAAATTTTCATAAGAAACAAATACTGGAAAATCAGTAAACAATTAAGATAGTTAATAGAAAGGGCTCTCATAAAAATTCATCTATATGATACAACTATAGACAGAGAATAAAATAAATTACCCTCATCTATGTACAGCATTATAATGGGAGTGAATCTTTTGAAAGAGATGTAAAGTGCATTTGAAACCAAGCAAGTCTCACCATTTGCAACTTCAATTGATTCTCCCCAACAAATTTGTGCTTGGCAATTCCCAAGAATGGAAAATCAAATAGAGGGCTCCAAAATATTGAAATAATTCAGAAACTCTCAAGAAACAATGAGCATTAAATTTTTGAAAAAGGAGTATAAGAAACTGGAGTACCCAATGTCAAACTAATGACCAAGCTTAAGAGTTCTGCATGTCATCTTTGATGAATTTTTATCTGAAAAATTTTCTTATTCTGCTACTATTTCAAACATCGAGTCATATTTCTAACTGTGGGTGGATTACAGCAAATAGGTACATATCAATGTTACAAAAAATATACAAAAAACACCAGGATAAAAGTATACTCCCAGAAAAAGACATGTACGCAAGGGCCAGACTGGAAACTTTGCTTCTTGCGCGGGCAAGTTTATTTTGAAAATTTGAGACTGCGCGCCTGAAATCATGCACTTTATTGTTAATAATGTTAAATCCTATTGTCAAGGGATCTAGGGGATTTTGCGCGGCCAATATGCAAAAGCGCGCAGAGGTGTGCGCGGGCAATATATTGCGGGCGCGCAGCAAAGTTTCCAGTCTGGCGCAAGGGTAGCCTGTTTTTTCTCTCAGCTTCTTTTTATGGAAATATCATTCTAAGTCTTTCTTTAAAAATTTGTCTAATGTGTGCAAATATTTTGTGTGGTGTTACTGAGGTATCATCATAACATTGGAAATGTGGTAGCTTTTAAAAAAACTGTTTTTATCTGTGAACATCTGGCTGATATCATCTTTCTTGTCTTCAAGTCGGTGGATTGCCAAGTAGATCTACAAGAAGTACTCATTCAGTGTTGGAGGGATGACTTCAAAGAATTTTGCAGTGTTGTTGCCATACAAGCATGTTAAAGCATTTCTTAACAATGCACCAACAACATAAAACTTTCCAACAGAACTTAGGCCAATCTTGAGATTTTTTTTGAAATCCAAAAACTTGAAGTAGTTGATGATGTCCCCAAACAGCCATTCAACAGAAATTCGGACTTGGCTCATTGATTGGTTAAAAGCCAGCTCATTTGGTGCGAGTTCTGCTCTTCTTGCAAACGGGCGCTGGAGGTGAACACGATGTGGGTAAGCAGGGTCACCATAAATGCAAAGAGCTACACCATCTGGGGAAAAGGAGTGTTGTTCCAGCTGCTCCAATAAACCAGACATTACAAGAAGCCTGCTGTCATGTCTTCTACCTTCAACAGGCCCAAAAAGGTTAGCAATCATACCATTGGGAGCCACAACTGACTGAAACTTGAGTGCATGAACCCTTTTGTGCCCATTGTAGACAGCTCTTTGATTCCTGGTTGGCCTGCATATAGGCCTGACAGTGCCATCAACAAATCCCCAGCAGTTGTCCAATGCAGCACCTTTGTTATGTATTGCATCAGCAAATGACTGGAGATTCTCTCTCGAAAGCCATGGTTGGTTCAGATCGCTCAATAGATGGGAAAACCTGTCGAAAATATCATCAATTACCAAGTTGAAGATCATGCATAGCTGTGGAACAGGCCTTCCGAACCTTGGGACTAAATCCGCGTAGCGAGAGGGATACGCGAAACGCTTCAAACAGACACAAAGTGCTTCAACGGGGTCTACAATTACACCATTGTAGCAGCGATAAACCTCTGGCAGATGAAGGGCTTGCACAAGGTTGTAAATGTCCTGTTTTTTAAAGCGCATTTCAACAGAGCACTCCTCTTCGGCCAAATCTTCCAAGCTAAAACGCTCATATTTAAAATATGGAAGCTCTAAATGAAGATTAAGGTTGTTTGGGTGACCATGATGTAATAGAAGGTAGTCCTCTACATCTTCCATATTTTCCTCGAGCACGATGAATAAATTGTTCGCCATTCTGCAGCTTCGAGTAAACTGAATTTGGCGCCAAATTCCAATGCGTTGTGACAGGCACGTTGTGAATCGTAACAGGAAAAAGGTCAACGCATCGGGATGACTAGATTCCAGACCTTTTCAGCTCGTCTCGATCTGTCGCGTCTTGTTTCGTAAACTCTCTAATATCAACCAGTCCTCGTCTTCCTCTTCCTGCGGATTTCTTTGTTCTCATTTAAGCCAATCAAATGCTCACTGTCATTCAGATTGACCAATGAACAATAAGCATTGCGTTCTGTGGATAAAGTGTGGGAAATTCAAACGAAGACAACGGTTTCATGTTCTTGTGTTCCATCGACTTTTTGAGTTTTGGAAAGTCTTTGTTTTGTTTATTACTTATTAGTTTATTTTACAATTGTTAAATATGTTTGATACTCCAATAAAATTTTGCCAATCAGCTGTCAATACTACAACGCCGAGAATGCAAAGGCGGACGAATTATGAAACTTCCAAGCCAACGGAAAACATACATCGAACTCCAACATCATCTTCTCGAATGAAAACACCTTCAAAAACACCTGGTTCTTGCCCAAGGACTCCAAAGACGAGAACACCTTGCAAATATGCAACAAGTGCAGACAGGTTTATTGCGAACCGGATGAAGACAGACTTGGATCAAGCACATTTCAAACTGTTGCATGAATCTGAAAGTGACAACGCCAGTCCTTCCAAACTGGCAGAGGAGAAGCTATTCAAAGAAAATCTCAGACCGGGCAGTTCAACCTCAAAGATATTGTCTTTCAATGTTAAAATACCTGGAACAAATGCAGGTAAGAACAGTTTAAATATTGTAAGGCTTTAGATTTACAAATGATAATGCCTGAAAGACTGAAAGACAACTAGGCCCAGTCCTACTCGAGAACAAATTGAAATTACGAAAATTAGAAGCATAGCTTAGTGTAGTATTGAATTGTGCAAGGCTTTTAGCCTCAACAGAATATATTTATGTTATGGCTATGTTAAGTTATGTCATGTTTTTGTTATGTTATGTTATGTTATGTTATGTTATGTTAAGTTTTTGTTATGTTATTTTATGTTATGTTATGTTATGTTATGTTATGTTATGTTATGTTATGTTATGTATGTTATGTTATGTTATGTTATGTAGTGTTATCTTATGTCATGTCATGCCATGCCATGTTATTTTATTTTATTTTATGTTATTTTATGTTGTGTTATGTTATGTTATGTTATGTAATGCTATCTTATGTCATGTCATGTTTTTGTTATGTATGTTATGTTTTTGTTATGTATGTTATGTTATGTTGTGTTATGTCATGTTTATGTCATGTTTTTGTTATGTATGTTATGTTTTTGTTATGTATGTTATGTTATGTATGTTATGTTGTGTTATGTTATGTTATGATGTTATGTTATTTTATTTTATGCTACATTTACAAGCAACCCTTTTACATATTTTCATGTTGTAAGCAACCCCTTTAATGATTATTGGCAGCCTTGTACTCTAACCGTTCAGAATGTTAAAATAGGAAATATATATCCCCGGATGGTACCTATAGTAAAGTTTGCTATTGATTCGAGTGTGCTGCTGTGCAGGTATGCAATAGCTGAACATATTTTGCGATGAAAAACACTCTAAAAGAAAAATACAATGCCCCTATATTTACGATATTATGCAAATTTGTGTATATCATGTCTTGTTTTGTAGTACAACCAGTTTTAAGAGGGCTTGATTATAATAATTTGTTTTGACCAATCTATCATAAAGCCATAACATACGTATTACACTCCTTTTATTAGAACACACTTTAAATATATGTAGTTGAGGAACGACTAATGTTGAAATAAGAACAGCATTAAGAAGCTGTCTAGAAACAATGAAAATTGCTTAAGTGCAGAGTTGTGGGTCGACTTGATGTATCTATTTTTTGTAAAAAATGCTGCATTGAAACAAGATATATTTTTCTTCAGAGCCAAAGCGTGCTAGATTCTAATAAGATACTATTTAGGAGCTACCATGAAACTGAATTTTTTTATACGACCAACGACGTTTAAGAAAACCCCAAGGACATCCAGTACGCCAAAAATTGACAATATGGTACTGAGCTAGATTCTATGTTGCTTATAGAATAATGCGTTTAGTCTAATTCGTGTAAAATTATTTATTATATCAACCATTTCCTTACTGTTTGGTTACTAAATGATGATAAAAAAGCGTGTACTGGAAAGGGTTTCTTATAAAAAAAAGGTGTACTGTAGAATCAGAAAAAAATAAGAAACTTCAGTACTTGAAACAAAAAAATTAAGAAACTATAAAATCGTTATAAAACTGAGAACAACGAAATTTTGTAAAATCCAAGAACATGATTGCCCTGTTGGCCTAGAACTTAAGACACAAGAGGTAAAAATGTACTTACCAGATCTAAATACAGAATCAGAACGGAAGCGAATCTCTTGACGTGTTAAAAAAAAGGTCACAAACATTTCATAACATCATTCATGACATCATGATTAAGAAACTCTCAAGAAACAATGAGTATTGTAATTTCCAGAAAATTAAGAAACTGGAGTACTCAGCATATAGCCTTTGTTTCTTATAAAAAATGAATGTAATCAAAATTGGAGTAAACCTTGCAACAATTTCCGTTATTGCAAACAAGTCGGCAATGTTTGAGGCACAGCAGTAGCAAGTGTGGTGCTCACTCAAAGTTGTGCATTGCCTTTACTGTTCAAAGCTAAAGCTCTATTCTAATAGTTGCTTCATACATTTTGAAGCTGTTTAAATCGAGTAAAAATTTCTTGCATTGCATGCTTAATCTACAGGTTTGAACGCAAGACAGCAATATTCTTCAAGTTTAACGCCAAATCCAAAGAAACCGAAGAGTCGAAATATTCCTCAAGCGCCTGAACGGATACTTGATGCGCCGGATTACGTAAACGACTATTGTGAGTATATTCTAGTTTTGATGCGTTTCTAGAGCAGGAGTCTCCTCTTTTCACCTAAAATACTTACAACATAACTATTCAACAATTCTATTTTATGATATTTGATTTTGCTTATATGAAGTGTAAGTACATTGCATGTCGCCGGCCTGCAGACTCTACTGTTTATAATTTGGCTCCACTGTTTTCGTCTTCCTACCTTCGCCCAAGTTGAACACAGTAGACTTTGCACGCAGGCTAATCACAGGCAGCCTTAAAAACATAATTCAATCATGATAGAAATTTTAACAGTAAACCAAATGATAAATAAAATTTTGAAATACAGATTGGAAAATGTATCGAGTATTCCATTCAAAACCGTAAAGGTGTAATGAAAGTTCCTTGGGGCACCACACCTGATCTTTGCTTTTTCTGATTTAGGCCAGCCATGCTCATGTGGTAAAAATACGTCATGTCAAAAATCTTCAAAACTCCTATAGTGAACAAAGTAATGTATACTCAACTCATTGAATTCTGGTAAAGCATTGCTTTCTTTCAGATTTGAATCTATTGGATTGGGGTAACAGTAGCTTGCTGGCTGTGGCCCTTTCTCAGAGTGTCTACATATGGGATTCAAAAACAGGCAAAATTGTTCATTTATGCCAACTTGAATCTGCCAACGATTATGTATCATCGCTGAAATGGGAGAAAAACAATGGTTATCTTGCAGTGGGTACCAGCGATAGTCACGTTGAAGTAAGTTAACTTTGTCGGGTAATTTCATATAGCATGGGTTTTATATAGACGTAAAGACCAATCTCGAGAACTGATTTATAACAAAACGCAACAATGTATGCCCAAAAAATTGTAAAATGTGGCAAACGACTGTAAAAAAACATTCTGAAATGTGTCTCAAGCTAATTTAAAGGGCGTGGACGCAAAAACTTTCTGCTTGCTTCGCTCGCAATGCAACTTTGTCGTTTTAGTGCATGGTTTCCAAGTAGGCACTATTTTTGACGACCTGTACTTTGTTATTTGAGATGTCAAACAAATAAGCGGACCCCCTAACGATCATTTTTTCCCGGCCCTTTTCTAGGAGCCACAACGCACCTGCACTATAATAGATTTAAATGAAGCAAAGTTAGAGCCAGGGGTTGCTCGACGGGGGGTGCCGATGCAAACTTAACAAAATGTCTTTTAGGAGATTATTCTTACAGAATATGTTATAATGCTTTCAGGGCCGTCGCTACGTGACACCCCCCGTCGAGAAAAAATGGTTGTTAATACGAGGTGTCCCCCCCCCCTGTATACAATAGCAAGCGACGGGCTTGATTGCTTTATAACGTTATTTTATTGCAACAGATACGTTGTCTACACATTACAGAATGTCTATGCAAAATTTGATTAAAAACGGCAATTTCCCCTCTTAATGTCATTGATTTTTACCTCATGCAAACCTTCGTAAGTAATTTACAAACCAATGAACAACATTGGCAGCCAATTTTTCATGTTTTTTATAGTTATGGGATATTGAAAGGACAAAGAGACTTCGACAGCTGCATGGACATATTTCAAGGGTTGGTTCCTTGTCGTGGAACTCGCACTTACTTTCAAGGTATTGTAGCAAATTGTAGCAACAAGAGATTAGGCAGAACATAAACTGTCGCTTATTTCACTTGCAAAAAGTGCCAAGGTTTCAAAGCTGAAAAGATTGTCACAGTAATAACTTAACTGATGGCTTATCTCAGTTCAGTCAGATGTAGAACAATCCTTTTTTCATTATTACACTTGCCCCTTATCAACGTCAGATCTCCTTGCCATTTCCCCCTTGCCCGCAATCTTAGTGGGCCTGCACATCTCTTTGATAATACAACCCCTTGTAAAATTCAAAGGGAGACATACTGAGCTGTCTCCCAGACATTGGTTTGCCATCCCTGGAACCCCGTTGTAAATATTGCCACCCAATTTCATTTCTAGTGGTTGCCGCAGTGGTACTATCCATCAGCATGACGTTAGAATACCCCAGCACCACGTGGGTAGCCTTGCAAAACACACACAAGAGGTGTGTGGCCTGGAATGGTCACCTGATGGCAAATACCTTGCAAGTGGTGGGAACGACAACGTCGTGAACATATGGGATGCTACGATGCTCCGTACCAGAGACCCAATGCACTGCCTGGCACGACATACGGCTGGGGTTAAGGTTTGTAGTCAAGCGCTTCCTATGCATAGCTTGAATTGAATGAATTATGCAGAGAATACAGTCCATATTCACGTACAAGTCACAATCTTTATCCTACGCCCTATACTTTCAGAAAATGTTTCAATGACACTTCGTTAATATGGTCAGTTTATGCCTCATCAAACTCTTCAGTTAATAGCAAATTTGTTCGAATTATCAAAGTTGTTCGATTCATCGAAAGTTGGCCTGAACAGAAAAGTAATGAAGGTGGATTTTTATGGTCGAATTGAAAGAAAATTAAAATTATCAGGCAGTTGAGCTGTCATACTCTAGCTATAGCTGCAGCGCCAGCTTTGCACGAGAGTTTAATGTTGTCTGTAATCTAACCCAAAACCAGCGCCCTAATGTACCAGCTGTTGGAGAAAAAACAGGTTGGTTAAAATAAGATGTTTCATTGTGGGTATGGCCAGTTGTAAAAACGATTCTTCTCAAGTAAATGTGCTCTTTTGGAACCATAAGCAAAAACGACCATAGTTCTTTGGCCGGTCTAGCATTTAAGTGATTCTGCTAAAAATGGTTTTAGACGCCCAATGTTCCGAAGATCAGACTAAGGAAGAAGTATTCCTTTTGCTTAAAATGCTGTCATCAAGCCTTAAAAAGTCTTTAATTGATTGGACAACTGATTTCTAACCCTTAACAGTTTTATGAGACTGATTTCTTTCAATTGGCAGTATTAAGGTTTTGGAAGGAGGATGCTTTTAGGTGAAGGTGGTGAATTCTGAAACATGGTAAATTCTGAAACACGATTCCAACATTTATCCTGTTTGCTTGATAAACGGATGGTTTCTACCAGAGGCGGCGCGAAGCGTCGCAAAGAAGGTAATCAAAAATTTGCGAGCAAAGCGAGCGAATCCACCAGGGGGCCCGGGAGTGGAGCCCCCGGAAAAATTTTCAGGACCACGCCCTTTCAAAAACCCTAAGAATAGTGAAGAATCGTATGCTTGATGGTTCAACTGTTTTAGCAATTTCGAAAACAATTTCCCTCTTGCTTTTCCTTGTGCGGATAAATATACAACATTATCAATGTGATTATGAACTATTTATGCGTATCTTGATGCATTTTTGTTGTGCCTAACAACCTCTCTTTGCCTTGCCTCTTCTAATGCACAAGCAACATCGATATAACCTATCTGTGCAGTTGGGTAGAATTTGGTTTTGGGATGCTTGATGACTGCCATTTTGTACCCTGTTGAAGTAAACCATGAAAGCGTCTCAGTACGAAAGGCGCTTTCATCTAAAATTTAAATAAAGAATCATCATTAAACATCCAACCTATTTAAGTTCGATCTTGATTATTTACATAATGTCTGAGTTCCCATACTGTGCTTACAACCACAAAATACTCCGCCGCACAACACAACAACCAAATGCCTTGAGGTTCTGTTTTGGAGTTGCAGTGAACGGCTGACAGTTCATGCTACGGGTTTTGAGCCTGTAAACGATTCTGAAATAACAGACCTATTCAAATCGGCCAAAAGCCCATTTTCGTGAGCCGCAAAAAGGGCAAGGTAATCAAAAGTGGATTTGCTTACCTTGAAAGGATTGACCAGGAATCACTACGTAAAGATTCCTTGCAGACTTATTTGTCCAAGATAAACGATTCTGCACATTTTCTGGACAATAATTTTCCAATAGAACACTTATTAGTAGTTTTTGAAAAGTTTTTTAAATTTACTACAAGCCTCTTTAAATTGTTTAATCTTTAATTTTTTATCAATATATGAAAAAAAACTTTCCTATTTGGCAAATATTCCAGAAATAAATTATTTAATTTTAAACGCACCGTTGATAAACCACCCATCATAAAGAGACCAGCGATAAAAAAATGTTCCTTCCTTCTTTGTTGTTACATCCACATATCCACGAATAAACACATAGACAGACTCACTGGTTCATCCTTTTTATTTTATTCTGGGGCATGGCTAACCATCCTTTTTTAATTACAAACGCTGTTCATGATTTTCTTGCTCAGAATGTAGTGAAAATACCCCAGTGATAGTCGTTTGTAAGCACTCTACTAATCATGAAGGATGGGGAACTGCTCTCGAGGTAATGAAACTGCGGAATGATTACGTTGCTGCGTGGCGCTCTTTGTTCAAAAGCCATCAGCACAATAAGACCTACGTCACAGAAACAACGAAAAGGTCATCAAACAGGGATCTGATTACCTTGCAGCTTCGCGGCCCTCGCGGTTCTCGTAGTTCTGGCGGTCGTTTGAGCAAAAAGAACATGCGTCAGAGGATTAAGAAATAATTATCGCCTGCCATGAAACAAAAGCCAAAACAAATGAAGATCTAAATGTCAACACGCCGTAAAACAGCCCCTGGACGAGCTTGTCCTTATGGATTTCGATTCACAACAGGTTCAATCAAGACTTTATAACATTCATTGTGGTCGTAATATAAAAATACTTCAGTTTAGGTTTAAGCATAATTTTTTCAAGTTCTGGAAAAAAATAGGTAATCAGCGATTACCTTGATTACCCCTAAGCGCCGCCCCTGGCTTCTACTGGCCGTTTACATTCACAAAATCCAATCAGTTGTTTTTTGCCAAAAGTTTGGGAGCGGTGGAAAACCACCCTTTAAAGGACGCCGCAAATCGCAAAATGGCACAAGTGGCTATTAGTAAAATATTGTTTGTTTTCTTCTAGGCGTTGGCTTGGTGTCCTTGGCAGTCATCTTTGTTAGCAAGTGGTGGCGGATCAGCTGATCGGTGCATTCGATTTTGGAATGTCAACACAGGCGAATGTGTAAATACTCTCGATACAAAATCTCAGGTACATAATGGTTTTCACTTTATGCTAAGAGTGCCATAATATATAGCTAACTGAAGCCTTTTTCGCCTTCTCAAAAAATAGCCGTGAATTTGCATAAATTGACGTACTATTATTGAAAATTTCTTATATATTCCCCATGTTAGAGGTTTTGTCAGAGGTTACGGTTCAATGGCAAATGTTTCATTTTTTGCTCATCTGTTGACGGGAACGGCCTATCAAGCAAATGAAAGAGAGGAGAAATTTCCATATTCGGTAGAAAGAGAATCGTCCAATCAAAGCAATTCTGTGACCAAAGTTGAGAGAACTAGAATCTTTTTCCTCCTGTCTGAAAATAATCCTTCCATCCGACCTCAACAGTGACTTATTGATAATGCGTCTGTTGGAGAGAGTGTCTCGAAACTGTCTCTTGGCTAACATGATTGCCATGGCAGTATAAATTGCTTTCTTTCAGTGACTGGTGCCTTATGTCAACCCAAGGTTAATACCTTTTAGTTAGACCTTTGAGGTACTAATGTGTCCCATTATGTTTGCAAGACGTACTAAAGTTTGCAATATCCAGATTATAGATCTTAGAGTTGGATGACCAAGTTGACAAAATTAATCCTTTGCAGATTTTTTGGGCTACGATGAGCGTTTTTTTAAAGATGAATGTTGGCATGCTTCTGGAGTTGCTGGCATGCATTACTTAAATTCAAGCCCGAGGCCATGAGAAACTTTCTGGGGGATTGGCGGTGCTAAAGCCACAAACTATAATAAGTATTTGTCCCAGCAGTAGTATTTTTCTCCAATATGGAGAGGGCTCATCCTCCAGCCCTCTTCTTGCCTCGGGTCTGCCTCAATTATCACACGAATAGCCTGAATTGAATTTGTGTATTGGACAAATACATTGACAAAGCATCGCTTTAGACTTTTAAGGTTATACGTTGACTCTGACTGCTTGTTGTCTTATTTTGAAAATTTCAAACTTGCTGTTTGCCATTGATTGCCATTAATGCAATAATCCAACAGAATATTGTATTTGCAGCTATGCTAATATTTGTAAGAATGTAGCAAACAGACATACCTCGCAAAGCGATTTCTGAAGTGCTCTCTTGACGTGCCATTTGAATGCAGTAAAACTGATCTGTATAGTCAGAAAGCTTCTGAAATAATGTTTCCAATGCCAATGAAATGCAGACTGGAAATGCAAGAAGACAAGAACACTAAATTGTACATTTTTATAGAATATCTCATGAAGCTCTCATTATGTTTGATTTGAATTAAATTCTTTTGGCATCATGCATGTTGAGAAATGTTTTGCTCTTGCGTGGCTTTGTGCAAACTAAATCATCATCGTTATTCTATTGTGAAATAACTTTTTTAGCTAGAGCGTGCAGTTTTTGACCCAATCTGCGTGCTAAACAAGATTTCGAAAGCGACTAAGAGCCAATTAAGGAACCGCTTTATCAGCTGATACAAATACTCATTCAAAACCCAAGAGTATATATCGTGCAGGAAGAAATCGGGATCTTAGCATTTCTTAGAAATAATAGGGTGTCCTACTTTAAGTTTAACAATAATTTCAATTTCACCTTGTCTTTTTTGTAGATTTGCGGGTTAATTTGGTCAAAACGTTACAAGGAGATAGTCAGCGGTCATGGTTATTCTCAGAATCAATTGACTGTGTGGAAATATCCTTCCCTGAAACGAACAGCTGATCTCACTGGACACACCGGTCGAATTCTACAACTAACTATGAGTCCAGATGAAACATATGTAATGTCGGCTGCAGCTGATGAAACTTTGAGACTGTGGAAACTGTTTCCCCCAAATGAGACGAAAAAAGAGGTTTCGTCAAAGGACAATGAGTCTTTGTCTGTCTTTAAATTTCGGTAGCCCTGTAGAATTTCATGCGTGAATTAATGAATTAATGACATCAGAGTCGTGCCTTAGGTAAAGGGAGACATCAAAGTCTTTAAGTTGGGTGTACACTGTCAGATTTATCAAATACGATGGCGTCTTAGTTGGAAGATGTACGAAAACTTTCTTACCCATGCTCTCTTCACATTGTCATGCTTTGAATATAGCGCAATCTATTCTGACTTGACAGGTGCTTACCGTATTATTTGAATTCGATGAAATCTGGCCAGGTAAACACGGCTTAACATTAAGTCTAGTTAATACTCTGCAAAATTAGGTCTTTGCAAAATTTAGACATAAGCTTTAGGGGCATAGCATAATAAAGCTTATGGCTAAATTTTGTTCATGCTCCCATCTTGTGTTTAAATTCACAGGATATTTCTCCTAGCTAAAGGAAAAGGTTCTGCGCACTTCTTTAGTCTATCCTTCCTGCAGTGTTTATTTCGTACACCTCTGACAGTGGCATGATCATAGCCCATTTCACTAATACGCTGCAGTATAGGAGTGCAAAGGATCTTCTACCAATCATCGTTTTAGAGGTAGTTTAAGAAAAGCTGTCGTTACAATGCTCAGTGGAGTGTTTGAAAATAAACTTTTAACAAATTTGTTAACATTTGATAAATTTGACTCTTTTGGTGCTTTTTCTAATAAATTTTTAAATTCATTAAGGGCTCATATCAGATATCAGCATTATACAATCTCCTTGCCCTTTCCCACGTTCAAAAGCGTCAGTCGGCCTTACACCACCGATCTAGTCTCACTGACATACATCCTGCTATTACATTGTCACAGCCTCCTGAAAAGGCATAATCCAGCTTTGATGGCGAACCTTTACACTGGCACTTTTAGTAGCAGAATGCGAATACATTTGTGTTTTTAACATGAAGTCATCTATCAAGCCTTTTGTACGTTAATTCCTTCTTGTCAGATATGCAGTTCCAATTTGTAATACTATTGCAAATTATTACTATTACAATTAAATAGTGGATTTACAAATCTGTGTTTCAAAGATATCTTGTGTTTCATTTTGGATTGCTTAATGCTATTCCCATTTAGCTATAGGAATAAGATTTAGAGCGTGTCAGCGTATCTTGAGTGAAATTTGAAAACCGAGAGATTTTATTATTGTAGGTAAAGCCATCTGTATTGGTTGAATCAGCAACATGTAATCGTTTCAACCTGTCAATTATTGCTTAATACTTGACTTTCAAGAAAGATTTCTTGGAAAAAATTAGCTTCATGCAGCTATGGGCTCTGATCGTGGCAGCCCACCTCGTGGTCTTAATAAACGAGCAATACATAGTAACAGCAGCGAAGCAGACAAAATTAGCCAGCAATAAGGGTCTGGAAGCAGCAAACAATCAACTGTCTAGACTTTGTACAATGTTGGAGACTCTGTAAGACACAATTAAATCGAACTTAGAAAGAATCATACCTGGAGCTAGAGATAATATTCTCAAAAAAACCTTGAAAAATAGAAAAATGTTCGAAATTTTATGATGAACTGGGTGATTGAGATTGGGTAGCCAATTGCCCCCCAGTCACTGTATCCTTGAATCCTGCAAATGACTTCACCCAAATAATATTGTAAAGGGACGTTTTGAGAGTATCCAGATTGAGCCCTCTCATATGCTGCAATCGCTAGCAACTTTGTAACAGGGCTTCCTCAAAATAGTGGAACTATCAGCCATCATCAACTTCAACCTAGTAATTATTTACGCTATTGCATCAGAAACTGGAATTAGTAGCTGATAGCCGTCCTGATGTATGCACCGAAAGATTGTACAGGCCTGCCTATACGGCATCGAACAATTTATGACAGACCGGTAGGTAAACAGTAATTTCCATTGCCAGTAAATATTATCCGCCATTTGTTTCGAAACTAGGAAGTCCAATACGACGATTTTAAATTCTTTTAAAAATAGTGAAAATTTTAAAAACTTCATACATCAGTAGTGTATGTAATAAAGATATTATAACAAGCTACAGCTTTCGTAGCATAACTTTTCGTAATTTTCAGTGAAAAAATGCCTTTCTTGCAGTCCTCTAGATAAAGACATTATTCCTTATTTTTGATAAAAGGATTGTTAAACAGAGGTATATATCGTTAGAATGTTACATAGATACTTTTTTGACACAATGCAGTTTACAACCTAAAAACAATGTCGCTGTTGTATCGACAAGTGGAAGGGAGGGTGCTCAGGCCCCGTTAGCAGACAGAGTGGGAGATTCATCTTTCAAATGCTGAGAAGCTTGCCAACGAAGCATCCCCGAAAAGCTCCTCGTTTTTGCAACGGAATGTTTCCAAGGGGGTGTCACCCCTCCCCCTTCCATCAGACACATGCACGACCCACGGTAAGAGCAGCCCAGCCATGTATGTAGCCATTTCATTCAAGGCCTTCAAGCATTTTCCTTGTTTTGTTGCAAGTGTTGGAAAACTGGTATATACTATTTTGAAGGCAGCCAATCTCAAAAATACTTATCCAAAACATGCACATTTAAAAATTTTTCATTCAATTGAAATAAAGAAAACTTATAAAATCATTGCTGATCTAAGGCATGTTTCATAAAGTTAGATTTCTAAATAAGTTTTGAAAGTTCCATTTTTGCGAAATAACGCAATAAAAAGGCGGAAAGTTTTTGCATAGGAAATTAAAGGAGAAACAAAAAAATTACTTCGGATTTCTTTTGCATTTTCATTCAAAATTTGGATTATCTTAGCAAACAACGTAACAAGAAAATTAGATTGCCCAATGCTGAAATAGCGAATTCATTAAGATGATGGTCAGCAAATATGTTTTCGATATTTGCATTTGAAAATGAAGGATTTAGTACTGTTATGCCAGCTGCCTGGGAAAGCAATGTTACGTAGACATTTTATGACTGCTTTATTTATATTTAAAATCATCATTCCGTTGCTATAGATTCTTAACTCGAACATAAATTAGTCTTTTAATAATCAAAGGGATTCCGCGATTTCTAGCATCAAATACATGGTAATACCCGCTCACAGGGAATGACTTAAATATCTCTCTTTGTCTCAGAAGCGTCGAAATGAATTTCATAATTGGGGGGGGGGGGGGGCGCTTCTCATTATATTGTTTCCCTTCAGAATACTGGCATAAAGGAAATGTAATACAATATAACAAACCCCTACCTCCCTTGCATCCGACGGCCCTGCTTTGCATCACAGCTTCTCTTCAATTTGCATTGCTCCTGATTTTCTGGTTCAAGTTATATTATAACTCCTGTCTTCAAAATAGAGTCGAAACCAGGGCCGGTGTCATATGCGTTTTGGTACCCTATGCAAAAGTGTAACATTGTGAAACGCAATGTGTTTCAAATCAAGTGATTTCATCGTAGTTCGATATTATGACACATTATAATTAACAAATAGAACACAATGCTCTTTTTGTTCAAAATTTCACACTTTTTAATCAAGAAAACGTTGGAGTCGCCATTAATGCTGTACTTTTTTGCATAAACGTAACAAGGGAAATCACAGCACCGCTTCTTGTTAGTACCCCCTTGTTAGAAACAGTTCGATTGTTCTTTACATTCTGAACATTATGAATCAGAACATTTGTGTTCCCAGACCAGGTCGCATGCTAAATTCCACCATTTGTTTCAGTTCCCTGTTTTTTAAAAGATTGGGTACGTTTTTGTATAAGCAAAATTGTTATGGGTTTCTGTACCAGGACCGTTTTGCATGCGAAATTCCAAGTTCGTTTTGGTACCCTATTGTTTAAGTGCTTGGGTACGTTTTTGTATAAAAAAAATTGCCATGTGTTTGTGTACCTGAACCGTTTTGCATGCTAAATTCCACCATTCGTTTTGGTACCCTATTGTTTAAGTGCTTGGGTACGATTTTGCATAACCAAAATTGCCATGCGTTTGAGTACCCGGACCGAAATGCATAGGGTTACCGAAACGCATATGACACCAGCGAAACGTATCTGAAAGTGGAGGGGCCAAAATATCAAAGTCTTGAAAGGGCTTAGGAAAGGTCGCCACCATGGTTGGCGCCAAAAAAAAATTCAGAATAATGGTGCCTTAGGGATGGCCAGAAACTGTATCTAAACATCTAAAATGAATATTGACTGAAGGTGTCGCATAGTCGCGTCTATTGTGATGTTGACTTGAAATAGAAAAGTTGTGCAAAGTTTTAGAACAACCACTATCATATAGCTCATAATGAAACCTTTTTTAGATTTAAAAAGTACCCAAAATAAGATGGGGGAGAAAAATAAATGAAACACGGATTAATAAAAAACATTAACGTTGAAATATCAACAGAAGAACTATCAACTAAAAATAAAAAATTAAGCAATTTTTTACAGTTAAGATATAACTTTGTATTATCTGATCTTAACTTTTTCGGAAATGAAGTGCTTTTACAAAAGTTTGAAAAATCTTCAAACTGGGCTTGTCAAAATGAGTTAAAATAGAATTTATAATTGCGTCGATATTTTCTCTTTCTTAGTAGGAATGGACTATCCAAACGATCAAACTCTGAAGTTTTCTTGATAATACTTTTTAAGAACAAATCTGCCCATACTTTATTTCTCATATGCTCAAAAAAGTTCTTTCCAGCTGCTTCTTTTCCTCCAACAGCTGATTTCTCCCTTTTTGTAATGTTTCTGAGAAAGTTTTCGTTAACAAATACCTTGTGTGCCAAGTTTAGGCAATGAAAAAAACGAAAATCCGTCAATTTGTGCTGGCATCAAGTTATTCTGGACTAGGTTTCTCGATCTATTTGCTAAGCCAAGCTGTTACTCGTTGTAAAACTTAGACAATGACCGATTTCTTCGATCTAATTCCCATATTCAATTTTATGTTTGCCTTCTATGGTAAAGACATAGCAACCAAGGTAAAGCTAAGGACACATTTAAGAGAATACTAGGCAAAGTTACTTACAGAATCACATACTACATTTATTTCCACTTTTGCCTAAAATTTAAACCTGGAAACACGAAAGAGAAAATTACAGAACGATCAGCTTTGAAAGCATCATTTGTCGGCAATAATGGCATATTATCCAAAATGAAATTGTTAAACATCTAGACGCAAATGGCTTTATTTCGAATGATCAGTATGGTTTCAGAGCAAAATGTTCCTGTGTAACACAGTCATTAGAAGTCTTAGAAGAATGGACTTCTCTGGTTAATAAAGGTAACAACATCGATGTAATTTACTTTGACTTCGCAAAGGCATTTGATTCTGTGCCCCATCAATGACTTCTTTCGAAGTAAAATTCGTGTGGAATTAGAGGTAGTGCTCCAATCGATCAATTGTTTCCTCCAAGATAGAAAGCACAGAGTAACACTGAATGGATTCAAATCACCTTGGTCAAACGTTTCAAGTGGAGTCCCGCAAGGTAACGTCCTTGGGCCCTTATTATTTCTTATTTATGTTAATGACTTACAAGATTGCATTGAAAACAGTTCCGTGAAGATATTTGCCGATGACTTGAAATTATACCGAAAAAGCTTAGGTAACAGCCAACCAACCAATTCAAAATAACATGAATCGGATCGAAAACTGGTCCAGCCAGTGGCATAATTGCATAAAAGTGTTTATACGTAACAATTAAGTATGAAGAGAGGAAGAAGAGAAGAGAAGTGTCAGCTCATTCAGTTTACATGTAGCATTGCAAAAGCATTTTGTCTTATTTTGTTAGCATATATTATTCGCTACCCATATTCTGACGGTTTTTGTGAGATTGATGAAAAAACAAAAAATGCTGAATGACTATCCAATTTTTCTTTGACAACGTTTACATGCTTCCTCTGTTTTCTCTATTGTCGAAACACAACTCATGCAATTTTATTGCTTGAAAGCTTTCTTTTATTTTTAGGCGCATGCGCCTGTATCTGAATAGCTTTCTCGCACAAAAAAATGGCAAAATCGTGAATTTCCGTTGATAAGCACATGCACTTTCAAGGGGAGGGGGGGGGGGATTTCTCTATTCATGTTTAGATGACAAAGAAAGATTTCGATCTTTTTTATTAAATTCATAGTTCTGCAGAGCGAAATTTTGAAAGCAACAAATTACACCAGATGGTGGGTTTCTTGTTAAATGAAACAAAACAATTGAAAGTGTAACTGCACCTGTCATTGAAATAAAAGCTTCCGGCCAGTTTCATTGAAAATTGAGTAAATATATTTTTGATGCAGTCTCATATAACACCTTTTGTTGGATGTTCCAAATTATTGTTTGGAGCACCTATGTCTGCTCTATGTAATCAATGTTTCAATTATTAGGAATAAACTGTTCTGATGTGATGTTCTCATTTCTTTTCTTCTAGAGAGTATTTCAAGCTTTTCTGTGTAATCATTTTGCCTTGCAGTTACCAGTAGCAGCTTGTTCCCTCACTTTGAACATTGCAAATATCAGGGTTTGATCTTAAAAATTATGGGGTAAAACTTGACATCGTGAAGTAAAAAAGCATATATTTGCAGAAAATCGTTTACTTCAAAAGTCACCGGGTACGCCAATATAAAAGGTTTGGTATTTTTTGAAGCATTTTCCTTTCAATAGCAGAGCTTTTACACTCTTTTTTTATAAGAACAATTTTACAAGAACACGAGCCTCAAAATTGGTCAAGAGTTAAGAACAAATTAAAAACAAGCTGAGGCTGAACTACTGTAAAATGAAATTTTGAACAAGGTTTTATCTAAAAAACGAGGATTTTTAGCCATATGTGGCTGCTTATTCGGTGAATATTTAAACATGGCAGCAAATGAAGGTTGTCTCACGCACTTTGCTGAAAAAAGAGGCCTGAACATCTCCAAAGAACAGAAAACTAGAAATCGCACTGCTTATATCTTATAAATTTAAGAACAAATTAAGAACAATCCAGCCTCAGATTTTTGAAAAAATTAAGAATAATCAGCCTGAACTCAAATTTACTTGTTCTTATAAAAAAGAGTGTTACTAATTCCTGCTAGATAAAAAAGTTTCTAATGAAATCATGCTTCATTTTTAACGAGTGATATTGCTAGCCTATTGTACATAGAAGTCTGTGGAACATCTCTCTTTTCTTTGGCAGAAATTTCTAATGCATCGCAATATTGATGAGACAGTTTAATTTTTAGCAGAATAAATCATGGCTTCTTGCAGATCAACGTCTGTTGACAATTTTTCTAAGCCCGAGCAGTCCATCTTGTACTTTGTTGCTATGCTGTGCTATAGATGAACAGAAGCTGCGATAGGAAAGAAATTATGAAGGCAAAGAGGAGAAAAAAGTAGGAAAGTAAGGCGTGCGAGTAAGGTGCTTAGATTTTATAGAATTTACTTCTTTATTTCAAACTATATCGACAGGCTATGTGATGGTAATTGCTTTTTCACTGAACTGTCATGAAGTGCTCGATGCCGTATAGGCAGAGCTGAACTCGCTTTGGTGTATAGAACAAGACGGTTCTTAGCTGTAAGTCCAGGTTTAATGGTTATTGTAATCATCAGGCTCTATGGTTGTTATTATATTTGGTTGTTACGTCCCTGGAGGTATCGGAAATTTCAATTGTTAGACACGCTCGTAAGTAGACAGGTCATGTATACCTTTAATGTGTACTTTAAACAGAAATTTCATACTGGTGGAAGAGGAAAAATCGCGAATTGTATATTCAAATAAAGACACTGAGTACTTTGAGCGGAAATTTGTTCTTCAATTTATTTCCACAGAAAAAATAAAAGTTTGAAGCATATCAATTGACAGTAGCGAATTGCACCCCCTGCTCGAGTTCAGAATCAAGGCAAGAACCCCCCGATTTCTGTGAGTATAAAGCAGCAAACTGCTTCGATATCTAGGCAAAGCGAATTTGTTCAATGCTGACACTATGGTTTACCTCGCTTCATACTTTGCATTTGCCAACGAAACAAAATACTTCTGCATACGGCAATTCACGTTGACAGAAAATATCTGGAGGTATAACGACATCTGTGACCAACTAGAATACACGTTTATGCACCACCTTTTCAAAGGATGCATCGCAGATTCGCTTCAGAATTTGACACAAATGCTGGTTAAAAATCCAAAATGCCTCTTCGAAACTGCCGAGCTGTATTCTAGAGAAACTGGAATAGCCTTTGTTTTCATTTACAGCCTTGTATTTCTGTTGGGGATTCCTGGTAATGCTATGGTTATGATGGTGCTCGGTATGTTGCGCTGGAGCGCATTCTTCTTCTTCCTTTCTTTCATTCACTTTTTGCGTGGATAATATACTCATACTATATTGAATATTGAATATTTGGGTTTTCTTATTGAATATTTGGGGATGCTCCCAAACTTTGTTAATTTACTGCGGAAGGTCCACTTAAAAGGATTGTACCAAGCTGAAGGAGTTGAGGGCTTTTTGTTAGAAGTCCAGTTGTTGTTCCCCTCTGTACGATGGTAAATCCTAATATCTTTTGACAGTGATGCGAAATGATAAACTGTTATTTGAAAGATAAGACTGAAAGTATTTCATTGTGATCAGCTGTTTCTTCAAAACTACGAGGAAAGTACTCGACAGCACCTAATTGTGAGACCTGGTGACAATAGCGGTTGATACTTATGGATGGGACCTTTGTTTAAATAAAGAGGAGGACAATAGCCCATTGGTTTCAACTCACTGGGGTGGAAGGGGCAATTGCCCTCTAGTTAGTCTGTTAAAAAGGGTCCTGTAAGAACGGTACGTTTACAATTAGGCAACACGTTTAGTTCCTAAACCATTAGCTTTTTTCTCTTTTCGATGTCAGTATCCCCCTTCACATTTCTTCACTCTCTTTTGCAGGGAAAAAGAAGACGAAAAACAAAAGCGAAATGTTCATCATCTCCCTCGCAGTAGCCGACTTCTTGGCATCTTTCTTTGCCCCATTTACATACATTGCATTCTACCTTATTCCGTATACGAAATGGAATCCACCAAAATACTGGAGAGACATGTCTGGCATCGTAAACATGTCATCGTTAACAGTGTCTTCGTGGTCACTTGTTTTGATAGCGATGGAGCGTCGAAGGTATGTTTTTGTCGTAGTATTCTCATGCCCCTTTGTGCTATGTGCCAAACATAGCAGCATATATTACGTAAAATCTTGTAAGTCAATAGAAAAAGAGAAACCTTGAACTCAGCCATCATCATCATCATCATTATAATCATCATTTTTAACAACCTTCGAGGGTCAATACCAATGGGATTTATAAACACAACAACCAAGGACGAACGGCTTTGAAAAATAACTTTTTATCTTAAGAAGAATCAAGCTACAGTTCTGACGCCACAAATAGGTTGGTGTATGTGACGCCAGAAATAGCTCACACGTAAGCCCATTGCCCATTTTCATTTTCAACTTCGTGATCAGATTCTTGATTTGCACTAGATAGCGAATGTTTAGCAAAGTACGCCCTCTAGAAATCAAGGAACATTGATATAAAGCAAAACATCATGTAGCCTTTGCCTTAAGTCATCTGTACCTTTGTCATCTTCACCGTGTTAAGGAAAATTCGAATTCGGCATCTATGTCAAGATTTCGCCAGGACAATTTTTTTAACAATAGTCTAACAGGTGGCTTTCTTTTAGAAAGGCTTTACCGTATGTAAACAACAGCAACGCCACGATAGCAAACTGATCGACGGGCTCCAGTGGAATTCATGCGGCAAAAAGTCGATGAAATGTAGAAAATAAGGGCATATAAGTTAGAGTTCACTAATATTTTGTTTCCGCATACGGAGCTTCATCAGAGCGAAAGTGAAACTTAGTGTAGCTCCTCCCTTTGGGAACGCAACCTGATCAATTTTTGGAGTTTAATGAAACATTGAAGTTTTCTTAAAAGTATGACCCGTTTATATCATATTCTTAGAGTCATCGCCAAGCCTTTACATGGGACATTTTCTAAAACCTCCAAATTGCTTGCAATATCCGGCATCTGGCTTACATCATTTGCTGTATATACACCACTTCTCCTGGCATACAACGGTTCGCTTTCTATGACAATGATAGCGATTTCTTGGTATACGATGATATGGACAGTACTTGGCTGGATTATTCCACTTGTAATCATCTGTGTATTCTATGTCGACGCCGTCAGATCCCTAAGGAAGCAAAACCTAATTGCCCTTGGCGGTGAAGCCATGAAGAAACGGCAAAAGGAAAACAAACGTGTCGTTATAATGTTAATAACGATTGTGAGCTTGTTCTTCATCCTCACTCTTCCAACGGTTGTTTTCCAAGCGATTTTCATTCATATCAACGTTATGGATAACATCCTGGAATGGAAAACGTTTTGGAAGCTGAAGTTGGTCCAAGAATGTCTGGGTATACCATTGGTGTTGAATAGCTGCATCAATCCACTCGTCTACGCAAAAATGCATCAAGACATACACGCATTTGTAAAGCGATGTTGGCAAAAAATGAAATGCAGAAATGTCCCAAAGCAAGAGGCATCGACATCAGGGATATCAAATGGTGGTTTAACGCAGGATACAGCTCTATGACGAGGCTAAGACAACGAGAGACGTTTTGCAAACGAGGACGAAAACTGTGCCCTTTGTATGCGATCTAGCAATCCTCAATGTGTAGATGGCTGGATGATGCTTTTTTGTTGAGCGTTTAGTTATATCTAGAACCAGTTAAGTATTACGTTAAAGGAAGGTTGTCCTGTTTGATTGGTTCATGGTTTAGTTTACCCATCACCTACAATCTCGGACCAAAATGTTGAGAGAAAATGCAATTTTTGTATATTTCTACTTTACCTTGCCTCTGTAAATTCGAATCCCCCTTCCCCCAAACCAATGTTGGATTTGTAGTTCTACCATTTTTGCTTCAAAATTGTGCATTCAACATTGAATTGGGGGAGTTATTTTTTAGTTATTTTTTAAACATAGTTATTTTTTAAAAGAAAGTGAAAATATAAAGTTTTCTTGAAAAGTCTCAACTATTTTCGTCCGGGATCGTAGTTTGAAATACTATTGATTGTCTGATTTCCATCCAGAGTGAAACAAAAACCTGCCTCTATCGCCCGCCAAAATTTCTTTTGTTAAGCATAAAAATATTACAATCGGCTAGTAAAATAGAGCATCATACTGTTTCTGAGGCTAAAAATTTTACTCTCTTATCCTCTGATTTAGCCTGTTAAAGTGGCTGTTGTCAATGAATCAACTTCGAAGTTTCAATAGTCCTGAATTTAGGATAAATGTTTATTCAACATTCAAGTAACTTGATATAGTTTTAGAGGGAAGCATTTAATAGAAGGTTATATTTAGCAAATAAGTGGGTTGGTTTTGCATAAATTCAGCAAAATTTGCAATTGGGAAATTTATTCTAATTATCAGGCGTGAAGACGGTGAAGCAACTTTAGATAACATTGTAATCGCAAAATTTCGTTGGACTGAGAGGACCAACGAAAGCTAGCCTGAGCCCCAGACTCCAAATACTTCTAGTTTGGGGTCTGGAACTCAGGCTAACGAAAGCAAGCACCGCGCACCAGTCTAAAAGTGGATGGGCTGAGATGGGTGTAGACGAACATTTTTTGAAGCCATGTCCTTAAGAACGCCGGAAAGCACCCCTTTTTGAAAATACTTGCTTCTTTCAACTTATTCCTTAGGCAGCTCGATTTAGAGAAGATAACAATCGCTATGAAAATAGGTTAGCAAGATAAGACGCCAAGAAACTGAACAAAAAAGGGTTTCCAGCCAAGAAGAACTGCTACTGCTTAGGATCCGTTAGAGGAAACTTTCCAAAGTTCCGTTAGAGGAAACTTTCCAAAGTTCCACTAGAGTAAACTTTCTAAAATATTTCTAACCTATTATTGCAAACAAGTGGGGGGGGGGGGCTATAGTTCCTGCTAGCCCAATGGCTGCGCGATTCCTGAACAAAAGATAACAAAACTTTTAGCCTTATAGCAAGAGATCAATTAGCTTGTGGCCCAGACCTGCAAGGCTAGAGATCAGCTAAATAGCATGAAACCGTAAATCCTCGAATAAGCTCCCACGCTCGAATAAGCCCCCCTAAATAAGCCCCCACCTAAAAAATCACTTTTGCAAATAAGCCTTATTGCAGAAGCATAATTGCAGAATAATATCTTATTTCAAGAAAACTACCACAGGATTATAGCTAAACAGTATTACTTTCTTTGATTGGAGACCAAAAAGCAAAAAAGCGACTTCTGTGATGATAAGAAATTATAATATTTGTTAGATCTTCACACAGCACTTTGCAAATCTTTTAATGATATCAGTTGTTGTAATTAGAAGCTAAAAATTCTCATGTTTATCTTTTTTACCATTCAATTTTCCATTTCCATTCATTTATTTCATTCAGAAAATTAATTCGTTTTTATGTCGACCTTTGAGGAAAATATACTAAACTTTGAAATAGCCCCCTCCCCCTCGAATAAACCCCCACCCAAAATATATCTTTGCAAATAAGCCCCCGGGGGCTTATTCGAGGATTTACGGTATCACGTGCTTGTAGTTATAGTTTACTTGAATCTGTTTATACGCCCGACTTTGCACGCCCGACTTTCACGATAAATACGATCATCGTCGAATCGCAAAGTGCAGCAGACTTTACCGAGGATTGGGTTCTCAGATGTGCTATGCTGGACGGTAATCAAATGAGCGCACAGAATAGCGATTGTTTGGCTATTAGCAACTTCCATATGATCAAATTGTACTCTAGCATAATATAAAATACAATTTAAAGTACGAAATTTGGTTCCTAGAGTCTTTTTCTCAAAACCAGGCCTTTGATACAAAGCCCCTCTGCACCTCTGTTCAAGGGGGGCAGTTTCCAATGTCCCAGGAACTATGAGTTCATGCGTGGATTGGCAACTCTTGTTTCTACACAAAGTCAGTAATGTAAAAAAGAGAGTCCACTTACTTCGTTGTTATAAGAATGGAAAGTGGTACACTCTTTTTATAAGAATATTGTTAATAAGAATATTCAGGCTCAGAATCATCAAATTTTTAAGAATATTGTTAGAATATTACTCAGCCTCAGCTCGCAGATTTGTCTCATTTTCAGCAAGTTGCCTGTTTTGTCATGTTCAGAACAGATAATCGCATGACTAACATATCTCGCCTTTTCAAAACAGCGGCTATTCTATTCGAGGGCGCGCAATATTCCCCTGAAACGATGTCAAATTTGAAAAAAGTAAAAATATTTTAAGAATATATTTGAGACTGGGCAAAATTTATAGTATTCTTATAAAAAGAGTGTTATTCTTATTTTCATTGTACATAGATAGAATTATATTTGCTTCGACATCAATCTATTTTTATCAAAGTCGTCAGTCAATTCTATATTATGTTGTACTTATACTGCATTTGTCAGCTATCATACAATTATTGAAAACTGTGTATCATTCTGTTGTTTTTCTTGCCTAACTTGAATAAATCGATATTTGTACATGGAAGTTGAATATTATTGTGATGTCTCGAGCATAACTCTTTTTCTTCATTGTGTTATGTTCTCGTGACTCATTCAATGTACAACACGTTGAACTATGTATGCACATTGTTTTTCAAACTCAATTTCTTCAGCTCTTTTTCCCATAAAGGGCTCTTTAGCTGAAAAACTTCACTGTCAAGATGCTCTTCAGATATCTTTGCACAAAATAACTGAATCCACTTATTCATGAGATAATAAACACGCTTTAGTTTATCGGCCTATACTTTTTTGCAGTTGTCAACAGGCACCGGGGAGCAGGAGGCTGGGGGTGCTTTAGCCCCCTACTTTTTGCAAAAAAACCAAATATTGAGTAATAAACTTCCAGTAAAGCCTCTTTTTATATGGTTTTAGCCCTTCCAAGCCCCACTTTTTTAGACCCTTCACTTCTTTCAACGCTCCGCGGTGCATGGTCAACGGCCATTCTCATAAAAAATCAAACTGAATTTTGTACATGAAAATATCAATTGGTCGCATATATCGAAGGCATGGTTGCAAGCATTAACTGGCCCGTGCACAGTTTATGTGCACAGTTAGTAGAGGCTGCGTTTTTTAACACAATACATTTTTAAATGTTTTCTTTTTGAACCATTCCGAAATCATTACACAAAAGGGACTACGGAGGAGCATAAAAGAAATCGAGTCTCAAAACATGATTTTACTGAGCCCGATTTCTTTTAAGCCCATACTCATTTGTGACCGTTCAATACGTCCACACAAGCTTTTAGGAACATTTCACCAAAAGTTCAGAAGGGTAGTGCATACAAGAAATAACATAGTTGATCGAATTTTATTCCGTAAAAATATTGAACTTATATTGAAAATATCGATTACCTCTGACTTGGAATAACATACGTCTTGTTGTGTGTTTCACGGGATGGAAGCCAGAACGTTCGCCAAAAGTTCAAATACAGCTTTCAGTTTCTTCTAGGTTTCTGTTACCTGGTATCAAAGATTACAAGAGTCTAACAGTAGCTTAAAAACCTGTTTATTACAGGAACTTTCTGCTTGCTTAGAATGGTCAACTGTTGAGGCCAATAGTGATAGGACGCGATCAATAGTCAATGTTTTATAATCATGTTGTTTGAATCACTCTTAATTGTACTTCTATTCTTATTGATATCAACACTCCCTTTTGGCAGTATTTTCGAACCTTCAGCATCGAAATCACATCCCTGAAGACTTGCGAAGCGAACTTTCATCCTCCCAGTTGACAGGAATAAGTAAGGACCGTTGTCAAGAGACTTATGTTCTTTATTCTTAGCATACAATTAACCCCCCCTTTTGAAATCACTTAGCAGTGCAGTGCCTCATAAATTTGAAAGTAATCTGTCTACCTCACTCAATGACGCGGGGGTCATATAAGTTATGCTGAATATGAGTAATATGTTTCAAATTTCTTGAAAAAAATGACAAAAAAATACATCACCGTTTGTATACACCATACAATTTTTTATAAAAAACTATAAATTTTGTCCTAATAAGCTTTGATATTCTTAAGGAACTTTGATTTGTCTTTGAAATGTTCTTATTTTCTTCAAATCTGGCATGGTTTCAGGGAAACATCGCGCGCCCTTGTAAAGAATCAACACAGACGTCATGCAGACGTCATGCGATTCTCTGTTATGAACATCGCAAAACAAGCCACTGCTGAGAGTGAGACTCAAACATACGATATGAGGCTGAGCAATAAAATCTTATAACATTCGAAAAATTGGCTGACTCTGAGCCTCAATATTCTTATAAACAACATTCTTAAAGAAGAAAAAAAGTGTAGTAGGAAATAGTCATCAACATAAACTGCCTGCCCGAAATTGAATTCAGACATTATATATCAAATATTATGGAGAAGCAAAAGCAAACTAACACAAGGTCGCACTGGTGCCATACAGTAAAGAAGTTTTCTAAGAATATTGAAAAGCTAATGACACAACCAAATCATAAAGTAACATTGATAAATAAAAGAAAGGAAACATATAGAGGCAGGGGCGAAAGGGTGTCACACTCGCTTGGTGGAAGAAACGCTTTAGGTAATTCAGAGACCTTCATGCCATGAAATCGATAAAGGATCAAGCAAAGGAAGTTACTCCGTTGGTTAAATATGATATTCCTTGATATGAATGTAGGTAAACAAACAAATGATTTGAAGATTTGAATGCTTCTTGTTGGCACTAGATCTAAAAATCCAGGCCCTCTTTAGATAAAATTGTTCCTTGTATCCATTTCCCCAAAAGTTTCTCGGTAGAAACATCAACTGTAATTTACTATGAGCTCTAGATTTTTTTTAACATTCAAAAGGCGTGCTAAGATGGAAAGAGGGATCTAAATTAACAACCAGTGTTGCTTGTTACCTAGCTTTAGAAGTAACTGACAACATGGTATTTTTCAAGAAAACGGTGAAATTGTACCAATTGTTTTTATCTACTGTTCAATTTGTTTGCAGAAAAAATAATTTTCAATAGGTTTATGAGGATTGCTTTGGTAAAATTTACTTAAAAGAGTGGAGTGCATTTTCCAGGGAACTAGAAGCATCAAAATTCGAAAATCTCCTCCTTCGGCGGCAACCTTGGTGCCGCCTCGGGTAGTAAAATATCCTTTGCCGGTCCCAATATAGAGATTTGACAAAACTATTAGGAATTTCCGTTATCATCATATAAAAATCAAAGTTGAATATTATATACAGAGTTAGACTGACAAAATGTATTGCAGAGGTTTGTGACAGCAACTAAAACATTTCAGGCAATAATTTTTAATCAGGTAAATTTGTAGTCCACACCCCCCCCCCCCAACAAGGCTTGCCTCGCGACGGCCCTGGATAGAGGAGACCTTCAGATAGACAAAGCTGTGATTATGCAATCTATAATCTTAAATGAAAACCCAAATGGTCAAGAAAATGAGAACAAAGAGTGTACAAATCTAGCAAAAAAGCTCAAAATGGCAATGGCACTTTCTGAGATTTGTGGAAAGCACAAATGCAAAGTAAAGCTTACTTGGGGTCTGTAGTTCTGGGGGGAGGGGTCTTAAATTATAACAAATCCTTTGCTTCCAATGAAAAATCCCTTATGTTTCTATTGATTTCAAACAATTGAGCCTGCTCAATAATTCTATCTTTCCTACGGCACTGACTCACATTAATGAATGGGGAAAAGACCACAAGATAAGATGCAGTGACACTTGGTTAAATGCTGAAATGGTTTTAAATTGTCTATCTAAATCTGCATATAATATTTTGCCATAGATAGATTTTAAATGGTTAACGTAGGCCTATAGAATATTCTATTATAGCCATGTACTCTAATCATGAAATAATGATGATAAACAGCTTGGATAGCTAGCAATATGTTGGTAAGAGACTCTCCATCAGGGCTGTATTCTCCAGGGTGGCTAGGGCATTGAAATTTTCTCAAAAAATTTTGAGGACAAAAATTATTTTGTACCTAAATTTATTTTAGAAAGCGAGTCACATTGTAAATTAACAGGAAAAACCAAATTCAGCCTTATATAGTGGCTTTTTTCACCCAACCATACTGGAGAAATTAGCCTCCTTAAAATTGTTTTCAAAATTAGGACCCTGTCTTTTCTGAACACTGAACAACAAGGTTAAATAAAAACTGTTGCAGCTGAGAACCTCTGAGGATCAAGTAGGATTTGGGGAGGTGTGAAGGGTTGTGGACACAAGAAGTATTTTCCCATTAAGAGGTGTTTGTCAGCAAATTTTCAGATTTGTTTTGTAAAAACAGGATGTCTCCCTCACTTTGTTGGCAAACCGGATAGGGGCACCCTCCTTGGGCACAGTAGCTAGTGACAGCCCTGCTGTTACATTGCAAAAAAATATATACTGGTAAGGAGCTGATCTACAATATCAAAGCGGGATCAAACTGTGAATAAATGTTGTTCTCTCCTTCTGATTATCATACCTAATGAAGAAATATAATATTGACAAAGACATTCAAATGATAGAAGATTTGAATAACTTAATGTGAGATATTTGAACGCAAAAGATGAAGATTACTTGTATTTTGTATTTGTAATTGTATTTGCTGCTACTTAGCATCTTAAAGTAGTTTTTAGGACACTGAGAAGCTGTGCTTATCAAGCAGTGTCCTGGTCCTTCCTCTTGATTTGACCACACCTCGTGACTCTCGCCACTCTGGGTGAAAGTTTGGTCATCAAATTTGCAACATTGTTTCAAGTTACTGAAAGAATTTGATTAACCCCTTTTGTTTAAGCCTTCCTTTAACATTGAGTTTTGAAAATGACTCACATCTGGAAAACGACCCACCATTGTGCTGTCCAATTTTGAAAACAAACCAATTTATCATAAGGTTGGGAAAAAAATTAACTAGACTTGATTATCAAAACTACATTTGTAGTGCTCTTTAGCAAACACATGTTGCAAGAAAATTATTTCTGAAATATATTCAGCTTATCAAAAAGGCCCCATAAAGAAGACCAAGTTTGGAATAAACCAGAAATTAGCCCTTTCCCAATTTAAGCATTGATTTATGAAATGGCTTATTCAAATAATTACTCTGCTTGCACATTACTTCAAATCAGCATTCCCAAATTATGTACAAGTTAACATTAATTTCAATTGACATGCTTTTTAAAAATTCATTATACTTATATGCAAAATGAAGACCAGCAAGTCATTCAAATAACTTTTGTTGCTAAGATCAGCAGCATCATGGGAAGGAAGAAGGAGATCAGCCTTTTCCCTGATAAGTGAATATTTGCTTGCCTTGTTTGGATGAATTTTCAACTATATATTGGTACTACCCTTTTTAGAAATATCCAAATTGGACAGAGCATGATGTCCCTGGCTTACAACTTGAATCAATTTTCATCCATGCTTTCATTGTTATTTTTGTTGATGTCATTGACAAAATATAAACTACCTTCATCAAATTTTGACCCTCCAACAATTTTAGTAATCTTTGGATCAGGGACAACACCAAGTGGATTTTTTGTTGAATGCTCTTCAAACCAGATTGAAACCTGACTCGTAACCAAACGAAAGTACTGTCTGTATTTTCCTTTTTTTAGGCATAGTGACTCATGAGGGGTACGGTCAGTCAGCCAATATAAATGATTTTCTTTCATTACTTCACTGTTTGGTAAGAATTCTCTAAGATACTCAATGTCACCAAGCTTCCCAATTAGACGGTCATCACTTATCTGACAGTCCCAAATGCGACAAGAATCTTTAACATTTGAGGCCATGAATATTCCACCTTTTATCTCAAATGCATTATGACCTTTCCTCCACAACCCTAGACCCCAATTATGGTATATTTGATCTTCTTTCACAAATGAATCCCCTCTTCCTGAATCTGTTTCCTCATCCACAAGATCTTTTGATTTTCTTACCTTAAGTTTGCCTGGTCTTTCTGTGTGAAGACCAGGTCTTCTTTGAGAGCAGTTTGCTTTGACATCACTTTCATGTATAGTAAGATACCCAATCTTTCCCTTTTCCTCTTTATCCAAAAGACACCTTGAAATAAATAGTGACCAGTAACGTTCAAGATTGCTCGGAAGGCAGCAATCCTCAAATTTTTTATTCATAACGAAAGGCATCATGTTGATGTTAATCCCTGTTGGTTTTGGAAAGCAAATATCACTTTCAAACGAGGAAATAAACGGGTGCTTCCTATAATCAATAGGATCACAGAGATCTAAAAACGACAGTAAGTCACCTGGCAGGATAGCCTCTCTTTTAGTTGTTATCACTATATTTTCTTTCCAGAAACTCGTAATGTAGCCCCAAATCTTACACAGTATGTGCCACATTCCCTTCAATCTGTTCAGATCACAGTCATCATCATGCACACCCTCAAGAAACGCCTTGAGAACTGGGTTTAAACTTCTCTTGTCCAATTCACTCGGTTCAACAGCTGCCTTGGGCAATCCTCGTAATTTTGAAATAAACTTCCCCGCCATAACGCGTCTCGGAATTATAAAACGTAAATGAAATGATTATACATGCATACTGTAAGTAGGAGTAGGAACTTGTTGGTTCACGGAAGTGAGCGAAGATCTCGGAACCAAACAATCTCAACTTTAAACGAGGTTGTTGGGAGATGCCGGAAAGGGTTTGTTTTACATCAGGTGAGCAAAATTATTGCACCACACTTCGAAAAATGAATACTGGCGTCAGCGTTGTGAACAATGTGCCCTTCGGAATTCAAACCACTTTTGTGAAACGATTAGGCGTTATTCCACGATTAAAACTCAATCACACAACAACTTCAAACCATTAGCAACATTTTTTATTTTAATTTTGATAAAAATGTTCTTTTAAAAAATCAGAAAAGTAAATTCATCATTGGACAGTCTGGAAGCTTTGAAAACCCTTGTTAAAATCAGTCAAAAACTTTTGCAGCAGGCTACTTTTAAGCGCCACATAATGAATTTAAATAAACTTTGGCAAGATCACGTTTAGGTAACCAAAAGATCATTATTGTCCTTAACTTTAGCGAAAAGTGACACTTTTGCAACCGATTTAAATAAAGGCTTTTCAGGCACTTGCGTGTCACTGTTTACGACTGTTTATCGCAGAAATTTTTGTATTTTCATGCAAAGCGGAGATGAAATGCTGTTTTGAGCAATTTACAGTGTCAGTTTTTTCCTGAACAACATCGCAATTGGCTGGAAAAGATGGATTTAAAGAATACTTACATGTTTATTGATTGTATTCTGTGGTACCATGTTTTCGAAATGGTATCCAAAATTAGGTCCTTAGCAGGATGAAGAACGTGCGACCAAGATTTTTGATAAATACTTTAATAACAGTGAGAAAAATTAACAGTTTTGGGCAACCAAGCAGAAAGTAAGTATCAACGAGCTCGTTGATGAAATCTTACCGGTTTGTGCAAAGAACAACTTTTTATTGCAAATATTGTACAGGTACTCTTATCATCATAGCTCAGTTTTCGTATTTTTGCAGTGGTCGATATAGCTTAAAAATAAAAAGTAAGAAAAAGTATTTTTGCATTTTCAGTTTCATTAGCATACATACATTGATAAATCTTCCACTATTTTCCACCCTAACAGTCATCTTAAAACTTTTATTCACCTTGCTATAGTTTTTTGATATATGGTTGGCTATAAAACGTTCGCGGCGGTGCCTAGTGTAGTTAAGGCCTGCCACCGCTTTTTGGCTTAATTTGGCTACAGATCGTTTTTCATTTAGAAATTTGATTTACCAAAATTTGGTAAATCGAATGGCAACAGTCAAAAGACAAGGCCCTTGACGTTGGAAAACCATGTGAGGACTTAGGGTTACATCACATTTCTATCACAGAATGGGTTTATCTTTTTAAAATTCTAGTTGATGAGAAACGGAGTTCTTAGGACATGTTATGAGGAAAGAAGAGCTAGAAGATCTGATGCTGACTGGACGTGTAAATGGGAAAAGAAGTAGAGAAAGACAGCGATTGACGTATCTTGAAAGCCTAAGCAGAGTAAGAACTTGTTGTCTCACGGAAGTGACCGTAGTTCTCGGAACCAAACAATCTCAACTTTGAACGAGGTTGTTAGATCTCAATTCTGTGATCTCACCGCAGCTCTAAGCAGCTCATGCTTATATTAACCTCTCCTGCTCACTCTCCCTGCAAGCCTTGCGAGAAAAGGTTATTAAATTTATCATGAAAAACCAGTAAATGAAAGTGACACGATTTAGTTTAATTCTATAAATTCCTATGATATTTGCCGGTGAAACGAATTTGTTGAAAGTAGCCTCTGCGTGCAGCCTCTACTGCTATTGTGAAGGAAGACGGAGAGGAGGAGGAAAGAGCGCAAATCACAAAGTGGAGACCCCCAAATATCAAATGCTGGAAGGGGTTAGTAAATATCGCTACAATGGTTGGCGGCAAGAAATTCTTAGCAATGCGGTGTTCTTGGGATGGCTAGAAATGCCATCTAATATAGATTTTGACCGAAGGTAAGTCTAAGGCAATATTTTCGAGGTTTCTTTCATCCCTAGTGTAGTAGAGTAGGTCCCAGGCCCCCTGGGCAACGCGTAGACAGAATGTAAACACGTGTGTGAAGATAGAGAGGAGTTTGCTTGCTGTAGAAAGTCTCATGTCTTGCCTTGGCCTTCCACCTCAAGATACGTAAATATTATATTGGCGACGAGGATGGGATAAGAGGAAACCAGTGCACCAGTATGTCGCACGCTGTTTCACTACAACCTGTTCCCGAATTTAATCCCGATAGCGGAGAGGTTGGCGCAAGTATCGCGATTTCGTGGAAAAAATGGATTTCTGATTTTGAAATGTTTACTGTTGCTGCAGGCATCGCCGATAACACTCGTAAACGAGCGCTGTTGTTATACCAAGCTGGCCCCCGAGTAAGAGAGATTTTTGATCAGCTCGAAAACACCGGTGAAGCAAGTGCCTACGATACAGCCAAAGATAAACTTACAGCCTATTTTGAACCGCAGAAAAATCGCCGATATGACGTGTACTGTTTTCGAAAGGCACATCAAGAGCCTACTGAAACATTGGACCAATATCACACTAGGTTGCGAACACTGGCTTTACCTTGTGAGTTTGGTGACAATCTAAAATTTGAGCTGGAACAGCAAATTATCATTGGGGGAACTTCCTCTCGCCTTAGGAAGCAGGCCCTGCGAGACCCCACATACGACTTGAAAGCCATGCTGATCGATGGGAGAAGGGATGAAATAAGTCGATTTCAGTCGAAAGAAATTGAATCTCAGAAAATCGAGCCTCTTTCAGCCGAAACAAAGCAAGTTGTGGCAAAAACGACCCACAAATGTCGAAACTGTGGACGGGCATCTCACCCCCAAGACACTGTTTGCCCCGCAAAAGGGAAGGCATGCCGAAAATGTGGAAAACCAAACCACTTTGCTATAGTGTGTCGTTCTAGTGCAAAAAGCCAGCAAAATTCCTCGACAAGACACAGACAAAGAAAGGGAAACAAAACTGTGCACCCACTTAATCATTCTGAGTCTGAGTCGGATGATGGATACTTGTATGCCGTAAACAAAAGAAGCAAGGCTAGGCCCTACGCAAGAGCAACAGTCCTTGGATATACCTTTGACGCCATGATCGATACCGGAGCGTCCATTAACGTCATAGACAAGGCTACATTTGCAAAATTACCAGAAATCAAGCTGGAAAATACGAAAACCCGTGCCTTTGCTTATAATACTGAACAACCCGTTAAATTTATAGGCAAATTCAATGCGGTAGTGGAAACAAAGAAGCGGTATGCAGTCGCGACGTTCTACGTTGTCAATAACAACAAGTCGGGTAATCTCATTAGTGGAGATACAGCACAAGAATTAGGTCTTGTTACGCTCCATTTAAATAAAGTGTCAACAAATAAAACGCCTTCATCACCCGTGACTGATGATGGAAAGCTGAATAAACTTCTTGCAAAGCATTCTTCTGTGTTCGAAGGATTAGGAAAATTGAAAGGCGCCATTGTAAAGCTGAACATTGATGAAAACGTTGTTCCAGTTGCGGAGCCGCAGAGGCGCATTCCGTTCCATATTCGTGAAAAAGTCAAGCGTGCCATTGGAAAGCTGGAGAAGGATGACATAATCGAAAGGGTTCCAGAAACCCAACCTACGCCATGGATTAGCCCGATAGTTGCAGTACCAAAGAAAGGTGATGACGTACGCATATGTGTAGATATGAGAAAGCCAAATCAAGCAATCAAGAGAACCAGGCATCTCATTCCTACAGTCGATGATATTAATCTGAAGTTAACTGGAGCAACAGTGTTTTCAAAACTGGACATGTCTCAGGCATATCATCAGCTCCAATTGCACGAAAGCAGTCGCTACATTACAACATTTAGCACACATGTAGGCCTGTTTCGTTACAAAAGACTAAACTATGGAACAAACGCAGCTGCAGAGATTTTCCAAAATGCCTTGCAAACGGCCTTACAAGGAATTAAAGGAGTTTGCAATATAGCAGATGACATTATTGTCTTTGGAGTAGACCGTCAAGATCATGATAGAGCACTTAATGACTGCCTGCAGAAACTATCAGATAAAGGTCTCACTCTGAATGCAACTAAATGCAAGTTTTTATCGAAATCATTGTCCTTCTTTGGACAGATTTTTTCAGCTGTTGGTACAAGACCAGATCCAAAGCATATTCAAGACTTGCAAGATGTACAAGTACCAACCAACGTGCATGAAGTGCGAAGTTTTCTAGGAATGGCGAACTACAATTGTAAATATATTCAAGACTACGCAACTACCAGTGCTCCACTTAGAGAACTAACAAAGAAAAATTCACATTTTCAGTGGAAAGCTGAACACCAAAAGGCGTTTGAAAAGTTAAAGAATGCTCTGACATCAGTTCCAGTAATGGCCTATTTCGATACCACAAAGGACACTATAATTACTGTAGATGCCAGTCCTGTTGGCATATCAGCTATTCTTGCTCAGAAAGATTCAGCAAGTGATGATTGTCGTATTGTTGCATATGCAAGCCGAGCATTATCTTCTGTGGAAAAAAGATATTCACAAACTGAGAAAGAGGCATTGAGCATCGTCTGGGCGGTAGAGCATTTTCATTTGTTTATTTATGGAAAGCCATTTCATCTGATCACAGATCACAAACCATTAGAAATCATATATGGCAGCCCTAAATCAAAGCCATCTGCTCGCATTGAACGATGGGTCTTGCGCCTTCAGCCTTACAGATTTACAGTGCAGTATAAGCCAGGTGTAGACAATCCTGCAGACTACCTTTCCCGCCATCCAACAAAAGAAAGTACATACAAACAAGAGAAGATGACGGAACCCTACATCGCCATGTTGACCAATGCAGCAGTTCCGAAAACGATGACAATTACAGAGATAAAAAGCGCTACTGACAGTGATAGGACTCTGCAAGCTCTACGTGCTGCTATCAGACTAAACCGATGGGACTGTGATGCAATCAAGTCATTTAAAGCGATAAAAGATGAGCTCACCATCGGAGCTTATAACATAGTTTTGCGTGGAACCAGAATTGTCATTCCAGAATCACTTCAAAAGAAAGCAATAGACCTTGCACATACCACTCATCAAGGCCTATCCAAGACCAAATCATTTCTCCGAGAAAAAGTTTGGTTTCCAGATATTGATAAGCTGGTAAAAGAAACAATCGATCATTGTGTACCTTGTCAAGCTACTGGAAGACCAAACCCACCAGAGCCTTTACAGATGACTGAAATGCCGCAAGGACCATGGCAGAAACTTCATGTAGATTTCTACGGACCATTGCCATCTGGAGAGTATTTGCTTGTTGTTGTAGACAGATACTCGCGATATCCTGAAGTAGAAATTGTGCGATCCACAAAAGCTTCAACCGTTATACCAAAGCTGGACAAGATCTTCGCTACTCATGGTATACCAGAAACACTCACATCTGACAACGGCCCACCCTTTAATGGTGAAGAGTACCAGCGATACCTCACTGCCCTTGGCATAAACAAAAATCATTCTACTCCGAAATGGCCTCAGGGGAATGCGGAGGTGGAAAGATTTAATCAGCCACTTGGAAAAGCATTGAAAGCTGCTACAATTGAAGGAAAGGTGTGGCAGCAAGAAATAAATCGTTTTTTGTTGCAATACCGCACCACACCACACAGTACAACAAAGGTACCTCCTGCAGAGCTGCTGTACAACAGAACAGTTCAAGGAATATTACCTTCGCTGAAAAAACACAACGTTATTAATAGACACAAAGAAGCAAAGAAGAATGAACTTTCAAGTCAAGCATACAACAAACTTTACGCAGACAAAAAGCGAAGAGTAAAACCAAGCGACTTGAAAATTGGAGACCATGTACTTGTGAAACAAGACCGACGCAATAAACTGACACCAACATACAATGAGACTCCATACGTTGTAAACTGCCAGAACAAATTCACGTTTAACAGCTAAGAACAAACATGATCATAAGATTACACGTAACATCTCACATTACAAACGTATACCAAAACCAACAGAGACTGACAACGATGACGACATATCTTACAGTGACAAAAACAATCAAGTTGACAAAGACAAGACAGAGGAATGTGAACAGCCCTTAAGACGATCTAACAGAATTGTCAAAGCACCACAACGGTTTGGACATTCATTATCTTCGAACATTTTTAAGTAAAACAAAAAATCTAATAGCTAAGAAATGGACTTTAAAAAAAAGGAGAAGCAATGTAGTAGAGTAGGTCCCAGGCCCCCTGGGCAACGCGTAGACAGAATGTAAACACGTGTGTGAAGATAGAGAGGAGTTTGCTTGCTGTAGAAAGTCTCATGTCTTGCCTTGGCCTTCCACCTCAAGATACGTAAATATTATACCTAGGTCCCTTTTTTCTATTAGATATTTACATGAAATTGGAAAGGTTTTGCAAATTTTGTAAAAACAACCTTTTTAGTGGAGCAACACCTTAGTTATCAAATTTCAGATTGAATAAGGAACCAAAATAAATTGGAAATAAGAAATTAATAAAACACAGTTCAGCAATAAAACAAGAACTACTCGATTGAGTAAGGCTGGGTGATCGATAAAATCAGACTTTAAAGCTTTCTTTACAATACTTTCAAAGAACAAATCTGCCAATTCTCTGTTTGTCAGTCAACAATTATCTTCCTAGAGATTTCATTTCACTAAACAGATGATATTCTCTCTTTAGAAGAATTTTTTTCTAACACAAATAAACCTTGTGAGCCATGTTTAAGCCATAGAAAAACGACACTCCGTCATTCGGCATTGACACCAAGGTATTCTGGGTCAGGTTTCATAATAATAATAATGGAAACAATTCATTTTCAATTAAACTTAAACTACAATTACAAATCTCACTACTGCAAGGTAATCTGCAATTGGCTAGCTTGGTTTTACAAGAAAAAAAACTATAACAATCGTAAGGTAAAAGGGATAACTGAGAAAAATAAAACAACCAAAATTAAAAAAGGATGTAATCCCGGATTTGTCCATGGTTTATGTTTGTAACAAATATGTAGTACGTAGTACGGATGGCAATGTTGGAAAGTTTAGATATGAGGTACCGTTTTTGTTGTTGATCTATGCAGAGAGAGTCACACACTTTGAAGAAGGAGATACAGGAATTGCCAAGGATGACAAGAGAGCTCATAGAAAGATTCACAAAAGAGACTTATTTGAACTGCCGTTGTAAGTCAGATAGGAGAGAAGCATATTTGCTGTGTTTTCTTGTTGCATTTGTGTGAAGACTGGATTCGAAACCAGCAGTGAGCTCTAAGATGCAGAGATAATTGTTGTTAGTTTCAAGAGAAGGTCTGACGTCTGAGCGAAGGTTTTCTCCAGTTATGATTGATAGTGAAATATAGCCAGGTAGAAAACAGAAAGAACAGTCAGAGAGGTCTCTGTGTGGGAAAGGAATTGTTTAGGTACCGTATTGTGAAATTTGAGATATTTTGAGGCATGCTTCTTTGCACCTTGGCCTAAAGTTTGTTTATTTGTGGAAGATCCTGGTTAATAAGATATGATAACAAAGATCCTTGAGAAGTTAGGATGTTTTGCAGACGATCTTTATGCTCTTGCTGGACAGCCTTTAATGCTTCTTTCGTGTTCCTATATATACTAATTTGAATATTTGTGCTACTGCTGCTGGTATTTTTCCATAAAGAACGAATGTTATCGTTTGGTGAAGATTTCAATGCGTTGCGTAAAACAGTTTGACACTGTAGGAATTTGGCGGATGGTAAAGTTAGCCTGAGTCCAAACTGGTTTTTAGAAAGAATAATGCTCCTCAGGTAGCACTTACCGTAAATCCTCAAATTAGCCCCCTGGGGGCTTATTTATTTTTTATATCTTTGGACGGGGGCTTATTTGAGGGGGAGGGGGCTCCTACGAGGGGGGGGGGCTTATAAAATTATTGTATACAATAAGAAGACATTATTAAAAGACCTTGCTTATTTTAGTAGGAATTTCTTTATGAGCATTTAATTAATTACTATCAAAAATACGAATTTGTCGTGGTAATTCAATAAAACATTTTAGGCAACCTCAGATGGCAAAAACCGTCAAATTGAAGGGTCCAGTTCGAGAATATACGGTAGCAATGGGGGTTTATTCGAGGGGGCTTATTAACAATTTGTGGTTCTAGGGTGGGGCTTATTCGAGGGGGGGGGGTTATACGGTATTCGAGGATTTACGGTATTTGAAGGTCGAGCCATTGGCGGATGTATTTGAATACGAGATTGTCAAGATTCTCGACAACCCACGTCTTTAAAAGATCTGCTACAGTAAGGTTCCAAGAGATTTTAGAAAGAAAAAGTTGTGATAAAGACGCAGACGCGGATCCAGCCTGAGTTCTGACCTATGCAATGCAAAGGTTGTTAGACAGCGAAGCCACGCCCTTTGTGTTGGAAACGCCCAAACTTTTCTCAGTAAAATTTTTATCTCTGATACTGAATAGGGGATTCAAGAAAGGGATTCTAAGGAAACGACTCGCAAAGAGAAGACTAAATTTATCTGCAATTCGAAGGAAAAAGGTATTGAGAAAGCCTACTCCGATAGGATTCAAACCAGGGCCTTCCACTTTTCAAACACAGTGGTCATATCACAAGACCAAAGAACAGACGTTCCTTCCTTAGCAGATTAGCAGGGGGTGAAGCAGCGATTGTCGATTGCCATTTCATTGGCTGTAACAAACAATTGCATAGGTCCACTGTAAACGATTGCATAGGTCAACTCTGATTCCTATTGGTTGGCTGAACCGCTGCAGAGGCAAGCTCGGCTTCTGATTTGCTAAATCAAATCTCACCTATGCTCCCGCCAAAGATTGCAGAGGTGAAGTACACTCTGATTGGCTTACAAGACGTTTGCAGAGGTCAAACAAGCAGTGATTGGCTCTCGAGGGACAAACAAATTTCTGGATTCAGAAAATGCGGACCAGATAAATGCCTAGAATCGCCATTCGACTATTCTGTGCAGAGGCCGAAAGGCAGTCAGCAAAGTATTTGCCCTTCTGTCTTCTGCATGTTGTTGGTATCAACGGGGGCAGATCTGGGACGGACGTTGCTGAAAAATTTGCCAAAGAAAATATTGCTTAAAAATTTTGAAAGTTTCTTATTGAAAGTGAAAGAATCTTATTTTGTTGTTGTAAAAATCTCACTTATGCTTCTGCATAGGTTGCTGTAGTCTGGCTACGCCTCTGAGACGCAGCTTATTTTTTGCATGAAGAGGCTGGGAATCGATTTGTTTAAGCGTTTTGGACAGTGATGATAAAATGTCAGATTTATGTTTTTTGTTTGTCATTTCAAAGTCAAAATGACAACTGAGGTACTTAAAAGAGTTCACATTCCAGGCAGATGGGGAGATTTGATGTTTATGAAAGCTTAGGTTGATACTGAAGAGAACGTGAGGAAAATTTCTTGATTCCAAAAGTGACAACGGCAAACAATTCAGTAGAAGTTAGTTTTCTTTCTCATTGCTGGTGATAACGGCAAACATACGGTCATTTTGATCTTGTGGGAAGAAACCTAACTGTTTGTATTTTCCAGCTTTTATGTACTGTATGAATGTGTTGAAGCATAGATTAAATAGTAGGGGACTGAGGCAATCCCGTTAAAGCACACCACAATGGACTGAAATAGCAGGAGTATTATAGTGGCTTCTGATGATAGAGGTTTTAAAATCGGTGTAAAGGCTGGAGATATGAAGTTGTATGTTGCCAGGGATAAGATGATAAGAAAGTACAGTGGGTATCAAATTATGATGTACTTCTCCAAATGCGTTTTTAAAATCGAGAAGAATGACAACGAGTGAACGTTTCTTGACACAAGCTTATTAAATATAGCATAAAATGAGAATCCCGGAAAATTATACTCTATATTTACATTAAATTTGCAACATCAATAAAAATAATTAAGACATAAATCAATTGCAGTTCCTATTAGATGTGGCTCCTCTACATTAATTATTCTAAAATTGCACACAACAGATATTTACACCACATACTATCATCCAAAGAGCAAATCCTTTCTGCATATTTCTAGCTACCAAAATAATCCAATTAAGCCCAGCCTCACTTGAAAAAGCTTCAATAATACTTTAATTGTAACCCCTCTGGTATAAGCCCCCATTTTATGCTGTGAGCTTTTTAAAAAAGACAATAACTGATTACAATAGTGTTGCAATGCTTCTTTGCATGACATTATCAACAAATATATGTAGTGTTTATATGTAGTCTAATTGAGTTCATTTTTGCCAAACTATTTGGGTAACAAACCTTGTTGTCTATAAAATATATTCTTCTGGTCAAGTAAGCCCCTATAAAGAAGGTCAAGTTTGAAATGAGCCCTTCTCTGAAATGAGCCCTCTCCTAACTCTCTAATAAGATCTATGAGTATTAATTTTTGAATGTCTGGGTTAATTGATTCATTATTGTACTTTGACATTAAATCAAACATCAATTCATTGTAAAAAACTTTTTTCTAACAGCAGCAGCATTGTAGGAGAGCAGGCTGGTTGGTCAAATGCCCCCTAACATCATCTTGTCAGAAATTCTCTGCTTTCTCTGATAACTTTCAAATTATATTTATATGCTATTATTTATATAGACAGCCCTAGTAATAATAGATGTGCGGTCACATGTGTATGCCTCTAGGCAAACCTAAAACACCAACAAAGACCTGCTATTTATGACATGAGCAGAACAACAATTTTGATTTACTATTGTTTTTTCTTTGTTAATTCTTTTAATTTCTCATTAATTTCTCTTAATATTAGTTTCTTATGTGTGCTTTATCTTATTGTCTGGGGGCATACTCACTCTTTAAAAAACTTGTATGCTTTTTTTTTAAATTATTCTTCATTCAAGAAACTCCTTCTAAAATTCTGTAGAAAATTATTTGGTTTAAAAAAAGCTCTTATCCTTTTTCAAACAGTAATAAAC